TTTGCATTGTAATTTAAAACATGTTCATCTGCAAAAAAAAAATCACATGGTGTGAATACTGGGCCTTTTTCTATTGAATCTTTTTAGATGGATATGCTAAAAATTCACATAAACAACTGGATTAAAATTTAGCTAGTGAGAGAAAAGAGCCTTACACTGAACTCTGTGGAGATTCCTCTGTCAGTCTCCCTCAGTGAACTCCATGGGAACTGCCCTGTGACTTTGTATATATTGATGGAGAAACTACAACAAATCTGAGTGTTAGTAGCAAACAGGGGCAGTTTGGCACACTGAAGAGTTTTTTAAAGCTCATAAAACAGAGATTATGGATGGAATAAAACCATGATAACTACAGTATAGACCAGTGTTTCCCAACCCTTCATATATTCCACAGTCTATATACCAGCTATTACATGTTCATGATCACTTGGTATAGGTGCTTTGGGAGATTTGATACAAAGAAGACATGAACTGTCCATGGATTATTGTGGACTGGACTAGGGGGGCACTAATTTAGAGTACATTCTGTATCAATGACCAAATCAAAATTAAATAATGGCTTATAACCAAAAGATCCCCTTAATAATGAAACATTTACTAAAGGAGAATTCCACCAATTTTTCAGCTTTTCTGCATAACTCAATCACTGAGATGTAAACAAATGATTCATTGTTGAGAAACTTACTGACACAGATGTTCTAATTTACAATAGTGATAATAGGGATCAGAACTTGTGATGTCCACAACACAAATATAGCCATTTTATTACTATCCAAAACAACAAGTGAACATGTTTTATGAGTTTTTATATGTAATGCTGATGGTAAAATAGTAGTAAATCCAAAATAACAGGGACTATTTTACTTTACAACATTCTGCAGGTACCCGCCTTCCATGGCTGGATTAAAAAAAATGTTTTAAGCCAAAAACTTATTTCATATCAACTGTAAAGCAATGTCTCAGGCATCAGTCAGTGTATTCGTAACCACTTAATGTAATAACTTTATTAGGTGGCCTTTAGAGGCATTAACTCTTCAGATGTGTGGTACCCAACACCACTACTGTGAGTCAGTAAGTTTCTCATTACACCACCCTGAATGACTTTGTTTACATCTTAATTAATTATTTATGCAGAAATTTTAAATCATTAGTGGAAATCCCCTTCAATGCAACGATGAGGCCACTAAGCATACTTGCGCTCAAAGTGTCCAGGCTGGGGCTTAAAGAAGGAGAGGCCGTAGGACGTTTCCTTGGTACCATAAGAGAACTGAAAGGTGAGTTTTTCAGCACGGCCAAAACTATTTGGCAGTTTCAAACCCAGCACCTGAAATCAGATCAGAAAAACAGCCATGCTTTACTTCCTATAATAAATTTATTTTATTGACAGGCTTCTCTTATTGCTATTATGAATATTCTCTACAGAAAATTGAGGACATGAAGGTGCCTTTTAGAATATTAACTATTATTAACACTGCTACTTTGATTTATCTATGATAAGGAGAATAACAAAATAAGCATCTGAATGACATAAAAAGAATTTTGTCTATTCTGTGCTTGTACACTTAGTCAGAAGCACCTTGATAACTCACCATGCTTCCCTCATTGTTTCCAACCATGGTGTTGTAGCTTCCAGTCATTCTTCTGAGCTCCTTCACCTCGAATGTTACATCCAGTCCATTGGGCAGTGCATCCTCACCTACGGTCATGTCATACAGCATTTCAAACTTCTGACACTTGCAGCAAATAAGCACTGTCTGTCAAAATAACGTACCTTCGGCAGTATCGATGACAACTTCCACTTGTCTGAATATTCCTAGACGCAGCAGTTTCTGTCTGGCATCATGGGACTTTTTCATCACCTGTAATGAAGATACAACAAAATCCACTCTTTCTTGTGGGTTCCCAAACTTTGATCAGCTCTAATCGCAGTGTTCCAATAATAAATACACAATACTCACATCAATCAAGTTCTTGGCTCGGAAAACATCTGCAATTTCATATGTCAAGATGTCCTCCTTTGTTCTTCCAAGCCCATCTATATGCACACGCTGGACTACAACCTAAACAATCACAGAGGATTCAATAAGTGCTGACCTAAAACAATAAAACATTGTTGCTTTTTGCAGAAAATAAACCAGACTCACATCTTTGTTTTCAAGAACTTCTTGCTGAGGCTCTTGCTCTGGTTCCACCAAGTCCAGGTCATCTGCTTGCACCCCCAGTTCAGGTCCTTGCATAGGTAGAGGGTCTAAACTCTAAAGGAGAAGATTGTAGCATTTTGTGAGAAGGATGCAATGCCTGTTCTCACAATGTTAACTAACAACAGACGTAGCACAGTGTAGCATAAAACCATCCTCAATGAAATAATGACTCAAGCAGAAGCGCAAGAAGCTTCCAAATCGCAACTTCAGTAAGAACACAAAATCTTCAGTTTAAAACAAACAACCCCTCAAATGCTAGGCCTATATTTCCTGTGTGACTGCAATGGAACTTCTAGCACATCCATCATCTATTACTATAAGAAGTGAAGTTTGTTAGGTGATATTCATATATCTATTGGATCTCTTACAGTCTATATTAAAATAACTCCAAAAGTTCCAAACATGAGAGATCAGGTGATGAAGCAACAGGACAGAATGAATTTGAGCCCAAAAATGAATGAGGAACTACATATGAGGCAGCTTTTATTCTTCACAAATGTTCATTGTACACAGAGTACAAAAAAATAAATAAATAAACAAAACCAAAAAAGAAATTAGATTTTAACTTAAAAAGTACGTTGACCTGGCAATTTTAACATTTAAAATTTTAACAATTTAACATAATTTTTAGATTTTACTGACATAAATAACAAACAATAAGCTGACATAATGCACCATATTGAATAATGTTTTGTTAACATAATATTAGAACTTTAACTTTGTTGTGTATAAATATTATTTGGTAAAATACTCCGAAACGTAGAAGTGCGTCCAAATTTTGCTGAAGTACATGGAACTGAATAAACAGAGAAACATTACATTTACTACGGACGTTACGTCACATTAAGGTATGTTAACTTTTCTAGTTAATTCAGTCTAATTAGGTCTAGTTAAAGCTCACTGTATTCATCCGCGCGCACTGATACCAGTCTTATCTTGCGAGACCTGTAATAAACAGAGTAATTACAGCACATTACAGCACAGCACGGTGCACCCACTCCGCTTTCTTTATGTACAATATCTGAACAGAAGGAATTCACAGAATTTATTTTCGCAGCTTCTTATTCGATTTTTCCCCTCAGGCGCCAGAAAGTAACTGCTGCACCATTTAAGGTGGAGCTGTAACTTCGAACAAGAACCGGACTTAAGCTTCGTAATGATTCTTTCACGTCTTGTGGATCAGCTGTGCTGACAATGTAAACCAACGACCTGAATATTTACACACAGCCCTTGATTCTCTCTGACCCACAGATGTGTAATGAAACTTCCAGCCTGCTCTGTCAGTAATAGCCCGAGCAGGAGCTCAGCGCTGGCCCTTATCAGAGGTCATTGCTCTGTTTTCTCCAGTAAGTACGGAAAAACACCCTCACTTACTCTGGCGTGCACGGCCCCCATGTCTAAAAGCTCTGTTACATTCAGATGTCCCTAAAACTACGACGACTCGTGAATGAGTTTTGGAGAAGTTTCTGCGGCTCTGACTGCTAACGCCTCAAACAGTCACCAGGAGGCCGCCATGACACCTCTTAACTCCTCCCCCCGTGTGACGAGCCAAGCGGACGTCATACCCCTAACTTCTTTCCTTCTTTTTATTTCTTTGTTTGTTTGTTTATTTCTTTATTTTCTTGTTTCTTTCTTCTTTCTTTCGTACTATATTTATTTTCTTAAGCATTCAAACAATAACTGTCCATAAAAACACTTGTGAAACATTTTTGAAGGGCCCAGGTTCTACATTTTTCTCGTATTTAATTTTCCCCTTTAGGTCCACTCATAACATGTGGTTTTATGTACCAGAACTGTTGTGATTTCTGATCTTTTTTAATCCTTTGGAATTGAAGCCCCTGTTCTGTTGCTGTGCCTTTACGACTGGTGTAGGTAAATAATCTCTGCTCTGATTGGCTGCTCTGTACAGCCACATTCAAAAAGCAGCGCATTCCTTGTAACTTCTGCATGAATGGGCGGGGGCGAAGCTGCTATAGGCTGCAGAGGCGGATATATGTAAATGAATTGGTTGTCATGACATCACAAAAACAATTAATTAAAAGTGGGCTTTTCGTGCACCTTAGTTTTGGACCATATGGACTGAGAAGTGAACAGCATAGTTTTAACAGTGTTCAAACACTACATCAAACTTTTTTATTTACGAAAGAAAGGAAAAAATGTTTTTTCCTGAAGGTGTGGGCCCTTTAGTGAAAGTGGCCAGGTCTGACTTTGCACTGAGATGAAGCGGCCAAAATGCACATGCTTAATACCAGTGGTGATATTATGTAGATCTAAAAGCTTTTAAAGTGTTCAACATACTATATAAATACGTCAATAAGGTCATGTGTTCAAATTCACCTTATTTATTTATTTATTTATTTATTTATTTCTCACAGGCACTGGGAACTGGATTTTACAAGTTCACACCAACAGTTCAGAGTAACGTGTTACAACTTAGTAAAGTTGCCTTTTCTTTAAATTTCAAATTACTACAAAATTTACTATATGACCAGCTCCTACATTTTTTTCTGGCAACCAAGAATGAAACATTTAAACAGATCGTCCAGTAGATTTTTTTTTAATAATTTGTGTCAAATGTGTTAAATATTAATCGTCATTAGTATGTAATTGCGTCAAATTGAAAAGAGTGACACAAACCAACTTTAAAATTAAGTATCTTTAAGTGTTTTGACAACTAAGTTTAAAAGTCATTTATTTCCTTTGCAGTGCCTTTTGTGGGGAGCTGGGAGATATTTGAATCAGTGGGCGGGGTCTCGCTCTGACTGACAGAATGAACGTGGCGCGTGGATCTCCATGACAACACAGAGCGTCGACTGGTAACAGTGAACATTGTAACGTGTGATTTTCCAACCAGGCTAATGCTAATGGAGTGAAAATAGGACGAGAAGAAAAGGATTCATCAAACTTGTTCCTCCCTAGTCATCTTTGGAGAATTAGGTAAGCTTTCAGAGTGAAGTTTCCATCTTCAGGTTGATTAAATGAGTATTTTTAACAAACAACACTATCATGTGTTCACATTCTAACCTGTGCTCAGGAACAAGTGTGCTGACCAGCTAAAGCTGATTAATCGATGCCTATAAAGCATGTTTCTCTGTTTAACTCAAAGGTTGAGAATAATTTAAAGCACAGAAAGGATACAAAAATAATGAACTCTGAAATGTATCTGTCACAGTAAGATACCTCTTAACATCCACAGTCCCAGGTAATCAGTACAAAAGTGAAATAAGTTAACAACTAAATAAACTTTTGTGGTGTAGCTTCCAGCAGTGATGTTCACGGTAGTTCCTCTCAGTCCAAGTCTGGAGAGTTTGAGGCCTACGTCTCAAGGAATTGCCATCATCCCCAGAAGCAGGAGCACCTCTCGCACACCCAGTGGAGACCTTCAGTGGAAAAATGCTCTCAAATCTGACTCTGGTAAGCATAAATGTCGCCTAACAAAAGGTGCATAACTAATAACATTTACTCAGTTACATTAAATTACTAACAAAGTAAACTTTTGATAAATTTGTACTTGAAATGATTACATTTTTACTTTTGCTCAAATATATTTGTGCAGGAAGTAATTACTTTTTACTACTTGTAGACATGAACCTTTACTTTTACATACTGTTCTAGATGGTAATTTCTTATTTGTGGTTAATGTCATTATGTCACACTTTTAAAGTTTATCATGTTATTTTAAAGGGAACTCTGAAAGTTAAGACTTTTAAGACTTTTCTTTTGTACTTTCACGCTCTAGCTAAAGGTTGAAAAGCTAAATGATATGTTTGAGTTAAACCACATACTTTGCTTGCTGTTCCTTGAACAATAAACAAGAGCGAGAGCAACCATTTGATGCTGTAACAAAAATGACAACCTACTATTAGAGGGATTTGGTCTATTTTTAATAATTCATGAAGTGTTTTGGTTGGTTTATACAACATATGTTAATAGCATTAGACATGTATACTATATTGAGGCTTCCATGTATTAACATTTAGGGTTCCCTTTAAATTCAGAGTGATTTAGATTCTCACAAAAAGAAGAAATAATGAAAGAATAGAGCCTAACAACTTTCACTTCCAATGCAAATAGATGCTGGATGTACTAAGAAGTTCCACTGCAGTTCTATATGTATAAGGTCTATAAGTACTTTTATTTTTTTATTGTTTTTGGAAAAGTACCATAACTCCTACCTGAATCATTATTTCCCAGCAGTACCAATGCTTTTACTTGAGTATGGGTTTAGGCTGCTCTGCCTACCTCTAGGCCTATACCTTAGGGCAAGACAAGCAGTTACATTTTAACTTCTCAAACCCTGAGATGCCTAAATGTGGGCCTATACTTTAGTTCTTCACTCTCATAACGTATATATTAGTTTCATTGTAGTTATTAAATCATTTCTAGAGATCAGAGGATTAATGGGCCACTTTTCCATCTTAATGGAACAACTTAACTGAGAACTGTATTGGCCAGAGATTCAGTAGAGTAGATGTTTAGTGGACAATTACGGTCCTCTTGTTTTACAATCCTGACCAAGACGTAATCTGACTCAAAAGCCAGGTCAATGTGTATTAACTACTATCAAATTCTGAACATTAAGAAAGTGTTGTAAATTTTATCCTTGTTTTCCTCGTCCTGTCTAGCCTCCTCTGTGCAGTCAGTGGCAGATGAGAATCTGTCTTTAGCAGACATTGAGAGCATGCTCTCACAGAAAGTGGGAGATCAGGAAGGATGACCTGAAGGCAGCTTTCCGTGCCTTTGACCAGGAGAGCAGGGGAACTATCACCAAAGGAGAATTTCGCCGTGTTATAGAGGGCTTCCTTGTGCCACTTACTCAGTCACAGTTTGAAGCCTTGTTAGCAAAGGTGAGCAAATTAAAGGATAAAATTTCTTAAGATGTTAAGTACGGTCGCTAGTTTACTTTGATAAATATATAATGTTGTGAGTGAGCTGAAAGTATCAAGATTCTTGGATACATAGAACTTATGTTCAGAGTTGGAATGTGCAGATTCAAACTGTGGATGTTTAAATTTTTGACCATATTCTTTGTAATATTGTATTTATGTCAGGTTCCAAAGAGAGCGAAATGGAACAATACCTTACCTGGATTTCCTGCGACAATACTGCAGGGTCTCATCAGGAACTAGGTATTGTAGTTGCAGGTTTAATTTTTTTTTCTTTAACAATATGAACTTGAATCATCATAGAAACATATCAGTTTCTCTTGCTACAGGATACCTTCTGTAGGTGGTAGTCACCGGAGGTGGCCACTGGGAGAGCTACAGTGCCGCCTGAAGGACAAGGCAGGAAAATTTTGCCCCTTTGAAATGTAGCAGCAAAGCATGTTTTTGTTAAGTTTTTAAAATAGCCTTTCCTTTTTCTAACAGATTGGAGGCAACCTAAAAAACATCACAAGAGCCTTTCGCCTGTTTGATTATAATCGAGATGGGCGGATTCAACAGCATGAACTGAGGAGAGTTCTGGAGAGCTACTGCTTTCCTCTGAGCCAGCAGGAATTTCACAGGTCCACCCATTCCATTACTGTCCATCAATAATAGGGTCAAGATTTTTTAATTTGAATAACTACAATTACATGTACTGTTATTTGTTGATGATTACAGGCTCTGGTCACACTACAGTCCAAATAACTCACAAACAATATCCTACAAGGAGTTTCTTGAGAGGCTTGGTGTTGATTGTGAGAACTACAGGAAGATTGCACCTGACTCTGTAAAACTTGGTAATGACTATTGAGTTTTATACGATGCTGTGATGCTGTGATGCATTGGAGAGACTGCTAATAGGGTTATAACCAGGTCAAATAACTAGGTATACAGACTACTATAGGGGTTGTACCAGGCCAAATAACTAAGCAAACAGACTGATATAAAGATTATAACTAGGTCAAATAACCAGCTAAACAGATTAGTATAGGAGTTATAACCAGGCCAAATAACAGGTTAGACATGCTACTGTAGGGATCATAAACAGGTCAAATAACTAGGCATACAGACTACAATAGGGATTACACCAGGTCAAATAACTAGCCATACAGACTACTATAGAGGTCATAACCAGGTCAAACAGACAACTATAAAGGTTATATCAGACTACTATAGAAACTACTATTACAACTATAACCACATCAAATAACCACGTAAACCGAGCACTATAGGGGTTATAACCAGTCCAAATAACAGGTTAGACATGCTAGTGTAGGGGTTATAACAGGTCAAATAACCAGGCAAGCAGACTGCTATAGGGCTTGCATAACATGAAGAGGTCAGTACAACATGAAGAGGTCAGTACAACATGTAGAGGTCAGTACTTAAATAACAAAAGCAAGCTGGGGACAAACAGGTTCAGAGACACAACTAAAGCAGCAAGAAACTTTGCATTCAACAGCGGTGTGATGTGGAGTTTTATAACAGTCCTAATGGGTCCTTAACATGGATATGTGTGCAGTGAGCATACAGGGAACACAGTGGAGCTGATGATCGCTAGCCCGGCAACATTATCCTTTTACTTTTGCCCCTCCTTAAATAGGCCAATTTTCAGTAGTTCCTTTTTCTTTGAAGAATTGTTTTGAGGCTGAGGTTTTACTGCTCTGTTACAATGCTCCACTTTATAATCACAGTTGTTTTCTGCTTTCCCCTTTAATTTGTCTCTACAAAAAACCTTGCACAAGCTTTGAATTGGGATGCAGTAAACCGATCAACAGCAAGGCCCAAAAGCAGAACAGCAGTTTGGACTGCTTCATCTGAGACCGCAGATTCTTTGGATGAAATCCACACCAAGTTTCTGAAAAAAGTGAGTATGTGTGACCACTCAAACTACAACTAAACTGCATCATAACAAAATACTGTAACCTGAGTATACACTGTGTTATGTGCAATAGATGAGCTCAAATTATGCCTTTGTGGAAAGAGCCCTTCAAGCATTTGACGTCAAAGACAGAGGTGTTGTCTCCCATGATGACCTGAAGTCAGTCCTGAGCAGTTTCCTTTTCCCAATCAGTGACAGAATTTTTCCGAGTCTCTTGAGCAGGTATGATTCCCTAGTTGTATAACAGGAGCTGATTCTGCACTGTAATGGTTACCTTTACTCATTTATCTGCATTTTATTTTGGTCAGATTTGGAGTGAACCCTGCAGAACCTGTGGAATGGAGAAAGTTCATTGGTCTATTCAGAGAAGAAGAGAAGATGTCACCTGTGGGGTGAGACAAAGTCTTAACATTTCTGTTTAACCTTTTAAACTCCAAGCACCTGTCAGCGAGTCTATGCTTTCTGTTCCTCACTGACATTACCAATTAAATATTAGTAATATGAAATAATAACTCATTAATTGGTGAACAGTAAGTCTGCAGTTCATGTAAACAATGAAATTCAGTGAAACACAGATACTAAAATAATAAATAATTGCAACGAAGAGTGAAAGTGTTTACAACCTCGTGATTTTTGTATCCATCAGGAAAGACACAGGTGCTGTAACCCCTGACTTGTCCAGTTTTGAAGAAGTCTTATCAAAGTTAAGAGAGCAGATACTTAAGGTTTTCCCTCTTCTGAAGAGAGGATTCCTGGTCTTGGATGAGGTTTGTTAAAAGTTTCAAATTGTACTGTAAACTATGTAGCATGACAGAAATTAAATTTCTTAGTTCCACTATCAGTCATTTTTCACCTGTTGTAAAATTAACATAATTATAAAATTACAAACGTGAACTCTGAAATCTACTTGCATTCAATTTTGTGAATGTGTTGGGTTGTTTGTTAACTCCAGAGCAGAACTGGAGTGGTCAGCAGGCCTGATCTGCGGAGGCTTCTGGAGAGTTTGACCATAAGGCTGACAGATGAGCAGTTCAAAGGGCTGATAGATTTTTTCTGTGAACCAAACTCAGGAACAGTCAACTACCAGCACTTCATGGACTTTATCCAACAAAAAAGACCAGCAGTGGTAACATTTTTGCAATGCGATATGCCCAACCAAATAGATTATATGTTCACAAAATGAATTTGACTATTTGTCTAAAATTACTGGCTGATCTCTTTCTTCTCCTTCTTTTTTTCTGTTAATACATAGTCCTTCACTCTAAGGTCATAATGAACATGCAGTAGCTTACATTTTCAGCATAGTTGTGTGAGCAGTTTTGTTTTCTTGTGTCATTTGCAGGGTCAGGAGCAGAGTAGCAAGCCTCCAGAGCAGCCAGAGACCCAGTGTCAGCTTTCTGCTGTATCTCCATCATCCACAGCAACCTGGCCTACGGTATGTAGGGGAGAATAGGGCACAGCCTATTCTCCTGGCAGGAGTCTAAACGTTACAACTAGGTGGGGTTAATTGTATCAGACTGAGGGACTGGTTGTAGCAGTCTATGGCATATTTATGCAAAACACAGTTAATTCAGTACAATTCTATGTCGTTTAAACCAGAATACATACATAAAAATATATTCATCATCATAAATATGATTCCTGAAAAGAGAGAGTGTCTCATATATATATATATATATATATATATATATATATATATATATATAGCACACATATGTATATATATATATATAATATTGGTGTGAATTGTGTGATTTATACAGACAAAGCAGTATTCAAAAATCAGTATGAGAAAACAAACTTATCATACGAAAAATGATCTTTGACTGCCAACAGTTGCAGGTGACGCTGCTATGGGGATACTAAAAGATCATATGTTAGTTTGTGCCATGCTCTTTCCTTCAATTTCACTTAATATGTTAGCGATCTGTACTATTATGGCGAAGGTCTCCAAACCTGGTCCTGGAGAGCTCTTTACCGCAGAGCCTAATTCCACCCACAATTTGCCACCCCTGCGTCCATGAGTCCATTTAAAATACATGTTAACCTGGTTAAATGTAACCAGGGCAGAAAAGCACAATCATGATGATTAGACTGTTTATTTCAGATTACTTTTTTAAATTTAGCCAACCAGGGGCCTGATGCTCTTGAAATGGCTCACTTTTTATTCTTAGGGCCATTACAGTTCTTGAGTCTGTAGTTGAATGAAGTTAGCAAACATTTGAAGAGTGTATCACTGCTGTTGGAACAAAACCTCACATCTCTGAAAGGATAATGTTGCAGGAGAAGGGAAAAATAGTATTATGAAATTTCTACGGGTCCATTCGTCATGAAATCTAACTCAAGGCAAAGTGTAACTGGAGAAAAAAAAAAAATGGACACAAGGTTTTTGCGTGCCAACATGTAAGAGACCTTATTATGTCCAGAGCAACTCTTAAATTATTATATATTTCATTTGTAGGTGGAGGAAATTCTTAAGGAGAAGTTGTCTGAGCAATATGATTCACTGATGGTATCTCTAAGCCTTGCGGACCCAATGCAGAGCTGCTGTGTTCCTCCTGAAGACTTGAGAAAGCTCATACAGCAGTATGGGCTGCCACTGTCTGACAGCCACTTCAACAAGTAAGATTCCCACAGTGTTACACGGAGACCTAGCATTACTTCAACATGAACAGACTTTATTCATTTTGGAACTTTTCTCTCCTTTTTGCTCCCCTGTAGGCTCTGTGAGCCATTTATAGAGTCTGGAGGAGTGAACTACAAGCTGTTGATGATGAGCCTTGGACTCTCCAAGATTAGAAAGATAAGAAGTGCTAACAAAAGTCCTAGCATCATAGAAAGGTCTGTTCTAAGACTCTGTCTCAAAAGTCTAGAGAACAATGTACACATTTTCATCCTTTATTATACAACAGTTAGTTCCGACCACACAAGCTGATTGGTTGAGAAGCATTCTAACCGCGCTGATATTTGGCCATAACATCACGGGTTTTTCACAAACACTGTATCACTCCACTGAGACGCAGTTGCTAAGCAACGACTTTGACAGCTGTAGGAGACGCTCAAGCCATTTGAACGTTTTTACTTCTTACTTTGCGCACAAGCAGAAAATGGATACTTTTAAGATCACATTTGACCGACAGCCGATTTGGTCAGACTCTGAAGATGAGGCTACACTAAATTCCCAAACTGTCAGTTGGTCTGTGTGGAGCTGGAGAACGAACTGCCGGCTGTGCACATCCAAATTTATTAATTTCTCACTTTTTTATTTAACTGTTGTATAAAAGCAACAGAACACTCGAGGTTGTGTGTTATCGTATATAACATCACGGCTGTGATGATCTACGGCGACCAAATCACAGCTGTGATGTTATTTCACGATAACACACTCCCTCTCTATCAATCAAAAACGTTTGCTTCTTTATTTTTGCAAGCTAATGGACCCTGCTGATTACCGTTTAGCAAAGTGCATGCCTAAAACTTCATGCTTCAAACAAGTTGCTAAGTAATTTCAGATAGACTTGCTTACGGTTTCTGACATTGTATGATGTACCGTTCTATATTCTATATGATGTACTGATCGATAAAAATAGGCCAGCCTTGTTGTTATTCTTCAGTTTCTCTATTATAGTGTTTTAAGTGGCAGTCATTATGCACTGTTTGATTTACAGAAATGAGAGTGCTTATATGGAGAGGACTGGGAAGCAGGAGGTGGTGGATGTTGTTCTAAGGAGGCTCAGAGACAGGCTGCAGATGCATGGAGTCACTCTTGAACACTATCTAATGGCCATCTGCAGGTCTGCAGCAATGCTTGACTTGAGAGACTTCCAGAAGGTAATTAACCCTTATAATCCCAAGCTTATTACATACTAAGCCTTATTATTCAGTAACTACAGGACTTCAATGCAAACTGGCTGAGCTATTCTTAGGTAATAGGAGTGTGTAATAAAACCTGTGGGCTCTGGCCATGTAAGAGGTTAACTCAAACATGCCTGTAAAGAATCCACATTTGGAAATACAGGGCCTAAGAGAGAACATAAAAGCACTCTGTATTGCTCAGTCATTACATGCTTTCTGCCTCTGTCTTAGATTCTGGATGACTGTAGAATTTCCCTACAAGTGCCAGAGTTTCAGATCCTCATCCAGGCTCTTGGTTTCTGTGATGGACAGATCTCCTTTGCAGAATTTGTGGCCAAATATGAAGGTGAGAGCGCTAGCAAAGCCTCAGTATGACCTATGACTGACAGAACTTGGTAATGCATCTCTAACATAACTTTTTTTTCCACACAGATGCTGTGCAAAAAGAAAATGAAGAGCAAAGAATAAAGTCAAGCAATATTAAAGCCAGCAGTGTGATGTCCGCAGAGGACTGTTTCAATCAACTTGAGAAGAGAATCAAAGATGTTCACGGGGTATGATATTTCTCTGATTTAGTGGAATGATTATATGTTTAGTCTGAAGTCAAGAATATCACAGTGTGAATAAATCACTACTCAAAAACTGACTTTACAACAGAAGGTGAAAAAAAGGTCTCATCGTTTTCTCTCAGGATGTTTTAACAGCATTCCGGCTGATGGACAGGAACAGAGATGGACTGGTGTATCAGAACGACTTCAGAGTTCTGTTTGACAGCCTGAAGTTTGTCACTAAGGAACAGGAATATCAGAGACTGCTGAAGCTGCTGGGCTTTAAGCCTGGCTCCAATCTTAACTACGCTGAGTTCTTCCACAAGATCCAGCCTAACAAGAGAAATGGACTACAGCTCATCACTAACATGACGTGAGTGCGTCAAATTTCTCACACTGTGAAACGGCTGCAATACTGTGCATGCAACATAGAGAAGGTCCACTTATAAATTTGTTTCTTGTATTTGTGTCGCCAGAGCCGATCAGTTGCTTGAACGAGCATGTGAGCAGGTTCACACCTACCTAATGACCTCTGTACGCACAGAGTGGGGAAAGTTCTCAAAGGTAACTGGTACATTTCTCTAAGCCGCTTCTGCTCACTCTTTATCTGTTGCTGCCTCCAAAGCACTGTTGTGCCACTGCATCTGTTTTCATATATCTCAAGTATGACACTTTATTGTTGTCACGATAAATTACATCACAATATGTCACAAGTTTTTCTGAGTGTATCTTCAGTGCTTAAAGAACACTGACTGATCAACTGCATGCTTTATAACAAAGAATGGATAATTAATCTTGGTTAATTTGATTATGTAGTATTATGATATATTATGATATATTATGATATATTTCTTACTTATTGTCCATGCCTAATCTGAAGCTTAATTTACCAATTTGGTGTTTTGGCTTCTAAAGAATTGTTGTGACCAATTGTTTTTTATTCTCTCCACTGTGTTTGTATTTACACTAATGAGACTGAACAGTAATTTAACTCATTAAATTCCAAGGTTTATTACATACTAAGTCATATTATTTAGTAATAACACTGAAACCAATGCACACTGGCTAAATCATTCTTAAATTATAGGAGTAAGGATTAAAGGTCTGGACCCTGGGCATTTAAGAAGTTAAAACTCTTTTTATACGTTCTTCACAGACTTTCTGCCAGTATGGTGAGGATGGTGAAAGTATAATTACTAAGAATGATCTGAGGAATGTCCTTTACAAATACTACTTGCCCATCACTCCAAGAGAATTTGAGAAAATATGGGCAAGGTAAAGAACACTGTGTACTTCCTAGTATGTATAATGCTTTTTTATAGAAGTCTGAACATTGGACCTCATTCATCAACCGTTCTTAAGAAGAAATTTCTTCTTAAAACCCACTTACACAGTTTTTTTTACAAAAATTCTGACATTCACCAATGTTTTCTTATCTGGGATTTGTTCTTAAGTAAGAACAGAATCTACACACACTAAAGAGCACAAAAGTGTGAACAATTCTGCGATTTAAGTACACATCGTGAATCTGACATAGACTTTTTCTTAGGACCTTTCCGAAAAACAAATTTAGAAAAAACTTTTTATTGGTGAATGAGGCCCATTGACATCATGTCTTTTGGATGCCAGTTTTTGCTCATAAATAGAAGAGTCAAGACAGATGTAAGGATAACTGATCCCAGGTGCCTTATATCTACTAGGTACGATGACGATGGGAAAGGATACGTCACTCAGACAGAGTTCCTGGACAAGTTAAATATCGTACCGAATGAGTTTACGCAGCCAGTGAGTCCGAAAGAAAAGCCCACAAACAGAACAGCCTGTACGACCCCCCTCACAGAGACCACACTGCACAGGCTGCGGTGAGTAACATGCATAGTAATCTTCTACTTAGTCCCAATAAAATCCCTTTAAAATCCAATCTAATTTTAATTTTGAGGAAGTTTAGCTTTAGTTTCAGTTTGATGTTTAGGCATTATTTACTTCTTATTTCTTATTTTCTACTTATTTACATCATGTACTGTCTTCACTGGCAAATATACAAATAAATATTTTTTTTATTTCTTTATAGGGATCGGTTAAAGCTCAGCTTGGAAGATGTGAGCAACAGCCTGGTGTCAATGGATAAGAGCAGAGATGGCAATGTGACAGTGACAGACCTGCTGTCTCTTTTAAATAGACATGGCTTCCAGATAGAAGAATTCCAGTTACTGCATCTAATCAACAAGTATGACAAACATCCACAAAAATAATCATATATACACCTTTCAAACAACCTGATTGGTTCCTGGTCCACATATACTTTGGAGTGGTTTAGGAGTTCAGCAAGATACAGGTGAAAACATATGAGTTAGCTGAAACTGTTCTCTGCATCAATGCCCTTGTATAAGTCCTCTTTTTTCTCTGTTCTTGTTCCTTCTTTCTGCTTCTCTTCAGTCTTGGAGTTAATGTCACACACAGTAAGCTGTCTTACCTTGATTTTCTTGAGCATCTTGCTGGTCCTGGAGCTGTAATGGCATCTCCACGCAGCCAATCCAGAGGGTCTCCTACACCAGGAGAAGATGTTGGAGAACTCAGCCCTGACAGAGCCTTACAGAGGGTCAGAGAGCTGGTCACCACCTTCTCAGACACTCTTTCCAAGGTAATGAACAGCGGGTGGTCTTACAAGGTAACTGATTGAATTAACTGCGGGTGTAATAACGAAATTATGCATGTATCGACCAAAATCAAATTCTCAGGTTACATTCCTAAATCCAAAACACAAAGCTTCGTGTATTGATTTTATCATCTGTATTTGAATTTTATTAAAATGAACAAATTGAATTGTGGTGCGATAACCAAAAATCTCTTTTCTATTGTTTTGGTGACTTCAGGCTTTTAAAGCATTTGATAAAACTAAAAATGGCATGATAGCTCAGCCTGAATTTCGGCGGGTGCTGGACCATTTCTGCATCAGGCTCTCTGATGTGCAGTACAAGAAGCTTCTGGCTAAACTCTCAGTCAGAGATGGAGAAGAAACCATGGTAGATTGGAAGCAGTTTCTGCAAACCTTCAATCTTCGCAATCAAGAGGTGAAATGGATGGATGGATGGATGGATGGATGGATGGATGGACAAATAGAGTTTCCTCAAGGGGAAAAACAGTAGCTGACAAACACAGGACATTATATACACATGTCACGTATTAATGACTATTACACCATTGATTAAATTAATAAAGACCAAAAAAGTTACTATAAATAGCATAACAAACTATGTTGCGCAGTATTTGTCCTGTTATGTCAAGTTATAATTATTTTGTTGCTTCTTTAGACCTCCGAAGAATGGCTAGAGAAGGTCCAGAAGATGCGCTTCCCTAACCAAGCCCATCCTCTGCCAATCAGTGATATATTACAGAGGATTCGAGAGGTGGTCACTGCTCGTCTTTACACCATAACCAAGGAGATGGTGGACCTGGACTATGCCAGCATGAATGCCATTTCAAAAGAGCACTTCAAGGTCATCTGTGACCACCACTTCATGAGACTTACTGTTGATCAGGTAAGTCATTGTACTGTCAGATAACCGCAACTAAATCTAAACCTAACAGCTTTACCAAGTCATCAGCCCTTCTTGCTCTCCACCACCCTATGAGTCATAAAAAATGCATTCTTTGCCAGTTTGAAAAGCTGTGGAAAATGTTGCCTGTCAACTCACATGGCCGCCTGGATTACCGTGAGTTCCTGAAGAAGTTCAGTGGAGAAATGCAAGAACAGGAAAAACCTGGAGTATCACCTTCCCCAGACCGTTTAGTCCCATCAGAGAGCTCACCTGCTGTTCTGCCACAATGCCCTAAATCTGCATCCTGCATCCTTGAACGAAGCAAGGTGCTGTATATGTTTCTAAGTATATGCCTGTCTATACCGCCTCACTCTTTTTTGTTAACCCCTTCAACTCACGTCCACACTTTCCTTTCTTATTCTCATAACTACATGCCTTATATATTAGTTTCATAGTAGTTACCAAATAATTTGTTGTACTTGCTGAATCATAAGCCTTCAGATTACTAAAACAATCAGAGCTGTGCATAACAATAGGGCAACATGTATTAGTTCACAAATCATGACATAAATGTAAGTTTTTTTAAATGGATTCAATTTTTTTTGTTATTTTTGTATGTGTTCCATATAAACCCAGTCATTAACTCCAGAGCAGCCCAAGCGTCCCTCCACAGTATGTGGTAGGATTTCGGTGCCGTTGGATCCTGAAGCTGTGGAGCAGACGTTGCGCTCCCAGATCCGCGGCTGTTGGAGGAGGGTCCAGAGGAGGTGTAGGGAGGCCGACCCTGGCAGAACCGGAGAGATTGACAAAGAGGCCTTCTTAGGTATGGTTAATAATGGTAATGTTGTTTAAAGCCAAATCAGTGTAACACTGCTTATTTTCAATGTTTTGTAATGAAATAAATTGGACTACCATTCCAGCACATTGTCATTTACATTTACATTTATTCATCCAGAGCGATTTACAGGATTATTTTGTTTTCTACATTGCAAATAAGCCAGAGTTTAAGGATACCATCAAATGAATAATATGATATAATACAATGTCTTAACACTTGTGGACTCAATGTTTTAGTATACATTAGTGGTTTCAGTGTTCCTGGTTACAGAGTTGATGTTTGCTCGTATGTATGTTTCCCACAGACATACTGGAGAATCTCCATATTGACCTGACACAGCCTCAGTTTGAACAGCTGTCTGAGAAGTATAACATCAGCAAAAATGGACACGTCTGCTACTCAGAATTTCTGCAGCACTTTGTGCTCATGCTCAGACCTCAGGCCAACACCTGCACCGGCAGACGCAAACTGCACCTGCCCAGAACACCAGTGAGGTTTCTGCACTCATTACTGTGCTGTGAATGATAGTAGCACTCTTTCACATGACTGAATTTACTTGGCTCTCATATGTTATAAAAGATACTGTATAGTAGTTTAGACTTTACCAGTATACAACACTCATAAAGGGCAATGGTTTTTCAAAATGTCTGCATAATTCAAGCTTTGACAAAATGTCAGTTAGGTTTGATGTGAAATGGTTCACTGTAGAGAAATTTAATGACTTGGGTTTATTTACGGTGGTGGTGATTGGAACCAGGGGTCACAATATTTTATTGACTATCCAAAATGACCAGTGAACCTACACTTGTCTTCTGTGTTATTATATGTAATGTTGATGATGTGAACGTAGCCTAAGATGACTGTGAACAATTCTGACTCAGTAAGTTTCTCTATAATCAAACCACTCTGAATGACTTTGTTTACATCTTAGGCTACATTCACGAGCCTCATTGCTCAGTTATGATTTTTTGCTTAGATCTGATCTTTTTAACTCTGTGGTTCACATTTGTATAGGTAAGTGACTCAAATCTGTCATTAGTGTGAACAAACCTGTGTCCTGAAACAATCCGCATGCGCACATCCTAACCAATAACGTCACATGAATGAACCACATGAGTCATGAACAACAAACAAATTAACCAGCAGGACAAGCCTTCTTCGCATTATTAGAGCAAGATGAAGGCAAAAAAGGGTCAGATGCTTTTGCAGCATTTATTGGCTGTTAACACTGAATGTTGGTGCCTGAGCAGTGAAAAAACCCTCATGAATTCTGATCTGGCCTTTCTCACCAAGGTCGCATGGCCACAAATGGGATATGTGTCTGATCTAGGACCACGTATGACAGCGGCTCAGATCTGATTTGAAAAGATCAGCTTTGTATGTCAACACAGCTCTGAAAAATCTGATCTGTGTTAAATTAAGGCAAAGAATTGGATTTGTGTCACTTCAGCCTGGTAATGTAAATGTAGCCTTAATTTTGAGAAATTGGTGGAATTCCCCTTTAATTACTGCATACTTGATCACTTTCAGAGATGACTGGATTACTAGAAACAGTGGTTGAGTGGTAGAATGAAAAGGACAATGACAGCAATTTTTAGGGTGTGAAGTTTTATTTTGACTGCATTGCCCAGCATGCTGTATGTCTCTGTCTCTCTTCCTCAGATGAGTGCTGGGCCCTTAAGCAGGCTGGGCGTGGATGCCTTGCTCAGGCTGTTTGGTCCTATCCAGCTCAACTGGAGGACCATCAGACGGACGTTTGTCTCCTATGATAAAGAGCGTACAGGGAAGATTTCTGTACAGGACTTCAGAAAGGTGAATAATATTTGCTAACTTTGTTGCCATCGAACTTGTTCTTGATGACAATGATCCCAATGCAATAACGACCTATCCCAAATTTTGGGAAACATGGCATGAGTGTCTAGGACTTTGGAGCTTAGTTAAGTAAACTGATTTATGAATATTCAAACATGACAACCAGTGTATTTCTTACCTCTTCATCAAAATAGAACTTTACTTCGTTCATCTCTCTAATCATATTAAACACAATTCATCATACTGTACCATTTAAAATACAAAATTCTTGTTCTCCTGTAATCTTTAATCCCATCTCTAATGCTGCCTCTAAATCGTTTTATATTTTTGTGTCACAGTGTGTCAATAAAATCATGTTTTCCCCTACCCCGTCCCACCACCTAGCTCAGAGACCCTCTCTGTTACGGCACAGGAGAGTGTGTTGTGATTTCCGGTTCACATTGATCATTCTGACCGGAACATCTTTGTTGAAGTGCTCATAAAACTACTAAAGTGTTTGTTATCGCCACAGGTTTTGAGACAGTACAACGTAAATATCTCGGAGGAAGATTTCTTTCATCTTACATCTTTCTTGGACAAGAACATCTCGGGAAAAATTTCATACAATGAATTTCTATGCATTTTCCAAAAATGAGTGCACTGTCATCACATTTCTTCTATGAAATAAAATGCATAAATATATGAAATAAAATGGATAAAAGAACAACTTTTCTTTTCTTTCTTACCATAAGGAATTACCAAAGTAGAACTAATTAACTGGTAAGAAACTGTATAGAGTTGGCCTGAAAGACAGCATAGTTCAAAATGACAGTGAGAAGAGCCAAACAGTGAGTGATCCCTTCTCCTTTACACAGCACACAGTAACATCACTGTGTTCACCGGTAATTTTTTAAATGTTCTGTGTGGTGTGTATAAAATATTTAACTCATGATGCAATACAGTTTAAATAGCAGAAAGGCTTGTTTTATGAACCTGTTTTGAATAGTCAAAGAAGCATTTCACTGATTTTACAAAATTTCAGCATTATTAAATCATTAGCATGTAAAAAAAGTCATTCATATTCATAGTCAGTTTATTCAGAATAGTTTGATGTGAAATGCTCTATTTTTGAGAAAATAACCAAGTCAGAATTGTGAACAGTGGTGATGATGGGAACCAGACATCTGAAGAGTTTAATGCCTCTAAAAGCTCCCTTAAGCAAAGTTACTAAATAAAATAGTTATGAATACACTGCCTCATGCCTGAGACGTTGTTTTACAATAGTTTTAAGATCAGGTTACTGATTAAAGTGTATTTTTTTTAATTGTTTTAAGGGAGAGAGGTACATGCTTGTGTAAAAGCAAATTAGTCCTTTTTCAGATACTATTTTGATATTAGTACTACCACTATTTTTGGAATTGGTATATATATATATATATATAGATATATATATATATATATATATATATATATATAAATTCAGAAAACACATGTGGGTTCAGAGGTGGTTTTGGATAGTAAATTAAATGGCTATATTTGTGTTGTAGACATCACGACACCTGGTTCTCATCACCACCACTGTAAAGAAATTGGATTTGATAAGTTTGTCTGCAGTTACCTATTTCACATCAATCACTCTCAACCATTGAAGAAACGCAGAAACTTTGAAAAGTTGGTAGAATTCCCTTTTAAGATTATGCTAAGTTCAAAGTCACCAGTTATATAGCGCCTCTATTGCATAAGTGATATTTTAGGCATCGTCAACAGGAATGACCTTTCACCTCATTTGTAGTAAAGCCTCAGATATATTCAGGTGTCCTGACTGCGAGGCACAAGAAACATGCATAACTCAAATAAAGAGTGGACTATTTCTTTTTCTGGCTGTGGGTTTTTGAGCATATATTATTTGGGAGTGTATGTCTGTCTGTTGGAGCGGGCGCGTGACCTGATTGAAAGGACAACAAAGATTTGTGGGGCTTCATCGGGAGCACTGATAGGAGCAATGATAGCATGCCAACTGTCACCAGGTAAGTAATGGCACTCTTTTTCTTTATCATTATAAAAGGCGAGAATGTGTGTGGTTACATACTGTATTTATACTGAATAATCAATCTTAAGATTAATGACTGAATAACAGGTCTACAGTTAAACGTCAGAGTTAGAAGTTTTTACAGTTCAAACTATTATCAAGGTGTTTGAGAGATGTTTTTAAAAGGAACACACTCCTCAGTAGATCCAGTATATTTACCTCATAAAGGGAGCACTGTTAAACTGTAGTATTTCTTTTTTCACAGTCATTGTTGATTCAGCTACTTAATGATTAAAAGGGGAATTCCACCAATTTCTCTCATTTCTGCATAATTAAATGGCTAATATGTAAACTTAGTCAGAGTGGTTCAGAGTTCAGAGTGGTTTAATGTGAAATGCACCGTTCTAGAGAAACTTGCCGAGTCATAATTGTTTACAGTGGTGCTGTCAGGAACCAGACGTCCAGCTCTGAAAGCTCCCTCGCAGAAAGTTATTACATGAAACAGTTAAGAACACGCTGCCTGATGCCCGACACGTTAGTTTTTGACAGCTTTGAGATAAACTTTTTTTCCATTCGTGACAGAGAGGTACATGCAGGGTGATGTAAGGCAAAATAGTCCCCAAAGACACAGTGATTGAACTATACAGAAATTTTGAACATTTGATGGAGTTCCCCTTTCAGGACTCTACACTCTTAAAAATAAATGTTTTGTATTAATCAGAGAAGGACCCCTTTTTGGTTCCCTAAAGAACCATTTCTGTAAATTATGTGATTGTGGAGAACTTTTTAAAAAGGTTTAGAGAACCTCCACATACTGTACATGTTCTGTACCAATTAAAGGTTTTCCTAGAACCTTTAATGTCCGATCCAAGAACCAACTAGGAACCTTTCATTTTAAGAGTGTGCTGTTAAATCAATAACAAGGTAGATAAGCACCAACACGGAAGTAAGAATGTTCTGATGAATGGAGCTGAATGGCTCTGATGAATGGATCTTTCACTGTGAAGCAAAGTGCTGTAAAAATCTGATGGAACTTTCCAAAGAGGCTCGGAAGGGCACACTGGGCTCCATGCATCCGTCCTTCAACTTACTGAAGTTAACTAGGAGGCTCCTGGTCCAAGAGCTGCCCTACTAACGCTCACCACCTGGCCAGTGGGAGACTGTGTGTGTCACTAACACGCGTTTCAGACGGAGAGAATGTGCTGGTGTCTGAGTTTGCAAGCAAAAATGACCTCATCCAGGTGAACGCAACCACCTCAAAGAGAGATCTGACACGAATAATGGATCAGATCTACAGTACCAGTCAAAGGTTTAGACACACTTGACAAAATGTGTTTACATTACCTGAAAGAATTTCCCAATTGGACAAACAGCAACCAGGAAGATCTCAGGAATATGTGGGACTTCCCACCTGCTTGAGAGAATTAAGACAAAAAGTGAGCTACTTTAGCACTTTAACAGGTCTTCATTTAACCTTCTATAAATAAAGATTCATTGTGTGTTATTTCATTGTGGTATCTTCACTATTATTCTAAAATGTCGAAGAGTAAAAACAGAAAAAAAGAAAAACTCATCTGTCTGTCTGGTGTCTAAACACTTTCACTGGTACTCTAGACAAGGCAATAAATATTACAGTATACTGTAAATCCTCATTTCCTCTTGTGTAAATGTTTAACCTGTATCTGTGTGGCTTTTTCCTAGGCTCTAATTTGTAGCTGCTTTTTCCCCCTTTACTGTGGAGTGGTGCCACCAAGTTATCATGGTACTGTAAGTAGTAAAGAAAAAATAAAATACCTCTATATAATTCGGTGAAATTTGTACTGCATTTGTAATGATCTTACCTTTCAGGGTCCATCGCTTGTCACCGGGGCAGTACATCTTCAGTACCTTTAGTTAGGGAACATAACTGCACCATATTCCATTGCAATTATTTATTATTATGCAATTATTAAATTTCATTTACTTCACAGAAACTGTCTTGGCTCCAGGCTTTTCATTTTCATTTTAATTTTATGTTTGCAAAAGTTTCCCATCTAAAACTCATTTAAAGTGCACAGTTAAACTTTAAAGGTTACATTATGTACCAGCACATATTTTCTGACAAGGTGTTTCGAATACACATGTATATGATGAGAATTTTAACATGACTTGTTGTTTTTCAAGTATGGTTCTATATAGATCATCTACCAAATTGATTCAAAGTCTGAGTTCAGAACACATTTTGGACTTTTAACTGATCTGGACTTAAGACCAAAATACTTTTGCTTTGAATGACCCTATACCCCTGATTTCCCTCCTAAAACAGAACAGACCAGCATGAATCCCATGCTGGTTTAAGCTGGTTTATGTTGTTCTGGTGCTGGTTTAGCTGGTCACCCAACCTGGTCATGCTAGCTGACCAGCACACCAGCATCCAAAACACAACATATACTGGTTTTGCTGGTGACCAGCCATGCTGGTCTGTGCTGTTTTTTCTCACAGGGTTACTAAAACAAATTATTGAACACTTAATTCTGTCTCTAACAGAACAATCATGACTGTTTTAGTAGTGACAATTTTAGCTAATTTTGAGCAAAAATGCCAGCCAGTACATAATATCACAGCTCTGAACAGCTGTACACACAGAAAATCATTATATTTTTCACTAAAACACAAAAAAGTTTACTTATTTGCAGAAAATATGTGTTTCAGTAGTCAATTCTTAATGTTCTGCATTGTTTTTCAGACTTTGGGACACATTTACTTTAAAACAATGGGATTTAACTGCTCACCATGTGGCCATGAGGGACAGGGATGTAGTCTCACTTCCTGTTCTGTAGTGCAGTGGGAGTGGTTCAAATAAGGTTCCGCCTACAGACTAAAACTGTGTTTTGGCAGTGACGAAAATGTGGGACAGCATTTTTGAATTCATGACAAATCTAAACTTTTCAACTTTAAAAACCTTTCACCTTAAAAGAAATAAAGATTTTTAAAAAATGTTTTTTTTTCCTGTGAGTCTGCATTTTGAACTCATCTGGCAGAATAGTCTATATATGAACCAAAACCTGCTATCTCTAAGTGAACTTTACTTCTCCGGGTTTACTGCTGCCTTGCCTGTCTTTTTCTTCTTTTTCAGCGCTATGTGGATGGAGCCCTGAGTAATAACCTACCTTACTGCAGTCTGAAGAACACCATCACTGTCTCTGTGTTTTCTGGAGAAAGTGATATCTGTCCGTATGATTATCCATTTTACTTCCATGAAGTTCGACATAGCAATGTTAGCATCCAGGTCAACTTTGCGAATGTGCACCGTGTCATCCAGGCCTTCTTCCCTCCAGAAGCTGAGGTAAACTTAAATTACACTTCAAATAATATCAGCTTATGAAAAATGGATTTTTGTGTTTGAGAGAACAGAACAAAGTGACATTTAGTTGTGGAGTTTTTAATGGCTGGATAGTCAGACTGAACATTATGAGTTTTTTTTTTTTAGGTTATGGCAGAGTTCTGTCAAAATGGATACAAAGATGCTTTAACTTTTCTGAAAGAAAATGGTAAGGGTATTTTACATATAGCAAAATGCTTATGTATGTGTATATATATATATATATATATATATATATATATATATATATATACACACTACCCATTTTGTGCTTACTGAAATTTGATACTTTTTTGGGGTTTCAGATTTCCTAGAAATAGACTCAACTAGGACTGATCTAATTATAACTCACAAGCAAGACAAATCATTCAGTCACTACAATGTACACAACCAGTCAACAGTGGACACAGACCAAGATAGCCACAGTGAATCCATACAGTACGGATCAAAGAGGAGACAGAGCTGTCAGCTGGATAGACATGAGGCTGGCCTGCTTCCTGAGCCCATTCAAAAAGGTATTTGAGCGTACAAAATGAAAACTGTATGTGGAAAATTGTTTACTGGTGAGAGATCATAAATAATCAACATAACCAGTCATAAATCTACTGTTATGTCCATTCCTTAGTTTTCTCTGCGGCCAGCATGAACAAACATAGATGGATACCTGAAACTATTTGTAGTGAAGTTGGTCACATCCATACTGATGCTGTGTCTTCTGCCTGTTGAGATAATCTACTTCACACTTCTGAAGTAAGGCCACTTCTTTATAACCACCATTAACCATTTTATGAGATCTTCGGCCAGGGGTGCCCAATCCTGGTCCTGGAGATCTACCATCCTGCTGGAGATCTCCAACCCTAATTTAACATACCTAAACCAAATAATGAAGGTCTTTTGGAGCATCTGAACATTAGAGCCAGGTGAGCTGGATTTGAACTCTCCAGGGTGGTAGATCTCCAGGACCAGGAATGGGCATCCCAGTCTTAGGCCATGTTTTTGAAGTTTGCCAATTTTACAAATATGTCTGTAACAATGACCATCAATCAGATTTGCTGACTGGATGCCTGAGATAGCGGCTGATCTGCTGTGGCTGTGGGACATGACCATGCAGATGACGGGACTGGTGTGGAGACGACTATGATCTAAAGGTTTGGACATGCAAAAATATAACTGCATGTGTTGAAAGGATGATGACCGTGAATAACTGGACGTTTTAAGATGGCTGATTTCAATCTATATTACTTTTTGTTGATTTTCTCTTTCAGAGAAACACCTCTGAAGATTACTTCAGAGACAACTGTACATCCATTATAATGATTTAGTAAGACTTTTTATAATAAAGTTTTTTTTAAGCCTGAATGACTTGTCAGGTATGCTTCTGAAGTGTAAATGTATGACAAAATGAATAAAAAACTAATGAGCACTACATTCTCCTCGGATGTAATTAGAGGCAAATGAATAACTGTGCTAAAGATGGACATACCCTCCTTAATAAGTTAAATGAAATGCAGTTTTAATAAACAGAAAAAACAAAGAAAAAACATTAATAATGTTCACAAGAAGAGTAACAAAATAGCACCAATAGTGTTTCATATAAACAGTAAAAGCACAGTACGTTGACTGTTTTCAATCTTAAAATTCACACTGCATCAGGTGTCATAATCATGGTGTTTTACAGTACTTAAGAAGGCTGAGTGGTTGTCTTTGACACTTAATAAATTCTTAGTCGCAATATCACAAATACCGGCACTACCAGTAATTGCAGTCTTCTTCTAAAATGTACCTTTATATCAGAATTGGTGGCACCATTGTTTTGATAATTTCATCTGTGTTACTCAATCACACTATATCCCTGTCAACAAAAAATGCTGTTACTCATAATCCTGACTGTTCCCATGTAACATATACGCAGAGCAGAATGTGTGCAAACATTTTGCACAAGAAAAAAAAAAGGAGGAATTATATCCAAACAAATCAAATTACACACTGTCCTCGCATAATAAAATCAAGTATCAGTCCCTGATATCACATAAAGCATAAAAACTTCAGCAGTGCTGATCATCACTCACTAAACAAAGATGACCAAAATGTTTTGGACATAAAATTAAAAAACAAAACAGTTCCATAGAAATACTACTTCCTAAAATGTCTACTTTAAATTCATTGCAAAAAAAAAATTATAATAATAATTGTGTGTCTCTTCAAAGACGAAGAGTGTTTCATGCTAATGGTCTTCAGTTGAAAGACTGAGGTACAGTTTCTTTATAAAAGGAGCAGCAACTGATTTCTCCTTGTGTGTAAGCTTAAGCAGCCGCCTCCATTACTTAAACCCGTTCTTGCCATCCAGGTCTGCTGAGCGAGTTATGCACCCAGCAACTGTAGTTGCTTTCTATGTCTAACGTAACAAACTTTGCAATAAGTCAGCAGGAAGAGTTGGTGGACTCCTTGAGGACTCCTGAATTGGATGAAGCTGGTGAGAGGCACTGTGTCTCAGCTGAGGATGAACACAGGAGCTCTGTCTATAAGGCTGCACATGAAGTCTCTAACTGAGGCTCATACAGCCCCGGGCTGAGCTTGCGTAGAGCTGCTGATGTCTGGAATCTTGTCAGTAAATGATTCGTTCATCCACTGGCCCTCTGGAACCTGGCCCACTGTGTTAGGATTTCTAGGGTCTTTTTCTGCTGTTTCTGGAAATATAAATGGAGGAATGGTCAACAAACTTTACAATGATAGCACTCATTTAACTTTAAGCTCTTGAACCTTAGACTTATTTTCCAGTTATTACTCTCAACAAGTTACTTATTGCTCAATCCGTTACTTATTACTACTAATTTATTAAATCCCAAGTAATTCCTATAATTATGTGTTATAATCATTACTATGACACTAATATGTATATTGTTCAGTAACCTTTGAAGGCTGAGGTTAGCTTCCACAAGTAAATTCCACAGGGCTTAAACAACTGTCCAGAACTCAGCAACGAACCTGTCTCTCCAGAAGAGAAGGCACAGTGGCCATTACTTTGGCCTTCCTCGAATCCAGGTTCACCGTACGCCCCTCCATAGGCAGCCTCGTAGCCAGGATCATACTGCTCCTCCTTAATGGCCATCCTCTTGGCATCCTCTGTGGAAACAAGAACACAGAATTAAAAAAAGCATAGTTCAGTAGCTCACATTATAATTGTAATCTGGAACAGAAAGATTAAGTCTAGTGAATGAACAAAGAACTCTCCAACACCGCTCCAAATCTGGTTTCTCACCTTTGGCCATGCCAAGATCAAAGGAGTAATTGACTTCCTCCACCTCTTTGGGCTTGGCTACTCCCTTCAGCTGGTCTCTGAGTTCTCTGAGCTTGATGTAGAAGTGCACTTTATCCTGAGCTCGAGGGAACTGGGCACAGCGGGCGCTTGAAGAGGGCATCAGGTACAACGCCTTAAGATCCACAGTGGATAAGTAACATGTGTTACAGCTGTTGCCAAGAACCGGTCAAGATAATGTCCATTTTTTACAATGACAAACATTAAAATCTGAAAAGTAATCTGTTTACATTTCGAGGCCAGTAATCTAACCAATATCTACCACTGAATAGAGAATCTGGATTACACCACTGCCATGCACACGGAAGACTGAAGGTTCAGGCAGGAATACCCCTGCTTTACCATGAAGAGTCCTTGAGCAAGACTCCTAAGACCATTGTATGCAAGACCATTGTAACCTGCTCTGTAAAAAGTGGGGAATTGTAATGGGAATTGTAAATGTCCTACCGTGTCCGAGTCTGGAATCCTATGAGGCTGCAAGCCAAATTCCAAGGTTTTGGGTTTTTTCCCAAATATCTCTCTACAGAACATCTCATAAATACCTGCAGTAAAATAATGTAAATGTTAGGACTGTATTTCTTATCACATCTACCTAACAATTTTCAGTCATTAGATACCTACATTTTCCATTGAAAACTGCTATGAGTGGCTTGAACTTCTTAATCTTCTCCACTAAAATTTTGCCACCCTCTCGAAGCTCTTTACTGTAGAGGCAGAAAAAAGAATTTGGAAAAGAGGCCACAGTGTACATTTTAAAGAGGTGCACAGCTGAGCAGCTGTCTAACCTTGAGAGATCCTTGCTTCCTGGTGTCGCTCTGGCTACCATGTTTGTAAAGCCAATGCCGTATTTCTCAGGGAGAGACTGGTCATGCATATGGTTTAGTAGCTGCTCAGTGAACCCAGACAGGAACAAACACTTCCCTTTAAGACAGAATATCATACCGACAAAATGACAAATTGTTAAAGATTATGGAAATTAAAATAAACTAACTGAAAGCCTTTGAGACCACTGAATTAGTACTACATGCAACTCACAAAAGTGGTTTCCAGGTCCAGGGAACCATCTTCCAATATATGCTGCCATTAACCCTGGATTGATTCCAATCTGTTCAAAGGAAAAACAACTTACAGTCAAATACATGACAGGCAGGTCACGACTGACCTTAGCGTTTTCATTTATTTCATCATGTTCAGACATTTCACACAAAAATACTACAAATATACTTACAATTACATAATCCAAGTTGTAGGCAAGAATATCCGGCAGTGTCTTTTTCATAACTTCCTCTTCTGTCATGCCCTTAAAGCGGTCCACTTTCCTCTTAACTTTCTTGAACGTTTCATCAATCTTCTCTTGTGTTCCTTCAGCAGGCTGGCCATTTTTGTCCACCTTGGCTTTCTTAGGCTTCGGACCAGGTTTAGCCTTGGGCTCAGATTTAGCTTTGGGCTCAGCTTTGGCCTTGGGCTCCTTGTTTGCTGGCCTACCCCTCTTCCCTTTGGCAGGAGCTGTGGGTTCAAATAAAGACATTTTTGCATTTTCTTAAACAAGCCAAACGTCTTCAGATGGCATGCATTCATCCACCTCCCCAAAATGGAGAAAATCAACAAAATGAAAGGCTTAAAATATAAAATGAAATGTAATTCACTAACGAACCAAAATAAATATTTAAAAACTGCTCACCATCACAGCTACCTTTGGCATCTTTATCAATACAGAAAAGTTGTGACCATATAGTACTAGTAGTAGCAGGATCACTCTCACATCCCCTAGATGTGACTATGTGAAGTGTGGCACAAATTATTCAGTGACTTAAAGCAATGAGGGGACAACAGTGTAAATTTGTGTAACAGTGTACATTACTAGGGGAGCTTGAGTGTACCTTTCTGTGGAGCACCAGGTTCCAGCTGGGCAGGAATCTGTTCCTGTACAGGCATCTGTGCCATGACCCCTTCCTCCCTGGGTCCCTCCATGTATTGGGCGGCATTACCATTAGCCATATAAGAGTACTGAGCGTGAAGTGCCTGGAGATGCTGCTGAGCTGACTGAACCCTAAGAAAAGATGCAAAAGAAGCACTGAAGCAGTCCGTTTTTTTACCTTATCCCTCCAGTACCTGAACTATACAGGCATAACCCTGACATGAAGCAGTTAAAGTAACCTGTATCTTCAGAAACCTTCAGGAAAAACTGTAAAACAACACTCGCACTGTATGTAAACTGGCAAGAAACATAAACAAAAAACAAGCCAAGAAAATAACAAAACCAAAGCCTCATTCTCATACTATTCAGCATGATTGTTACGTTAACCTCTGACACATATCATAGCCTGGTTAGTAACATTCAAGATATTGCGCAGCTGAACAGTGCTCCGTCCACACGAGTTAGAAATTCGGATGGAAACAAAGTGAAATCCTGGCGCCATTTGATGACAAAGGGGGGAAAACTCACCAGTGTTGGACATAATCCGAGGGGGCATGAGGCAAAGATCCGTAACTCCTTTCATCCATCTTTAGGGTACTTAGTGATAAACCAACATTCATATTTATTTAAACAGTTATCATTATCAGTGGTAGCTACAGTAAAATCATGGAGAATGTTTCTAACCAGTCTATTTGTTTAGCAGGTGCCATTTACACTGCCTGCTTTTTGTCACCACAAACTAACAGTTTATAACCACGTTTATAACCGTTAAATACATCTTCTGTAACTGACAACACAGCTAGCTAGTTTACACTTAAACCACAGCTTCATTAAGGTGAACGCTAATTTAGTAGCTACACATCAAAGTGTGCGAACACTTCAGCTCAGCTAGCTTTGCGTTAGCTTGGTTCCTTTTACCATTTAACTCGTCTCCCGTGGACTAAGTTTACCTTAACTTACCGACAAACCATGGATTTGAAAACATAATTAATATATTTTATTTTATTTATTATATTATCGACCATGTTAGAACATATACCTGAGAAATGCCTTTGCTCTTATGTCAAGCTAACTCCGACGGACGTAGCGAACAGGCTAACGTTAGCCACCTATAGAATGAATGGATGTCAGCTAGCTGTGTTAGCTCGCCTAATATGATATCAAATATCAGTAGCGTCTTTAGATAATAATAAAAGTATAATCACGAGTAAAATAATACATACCGTTATGATTTCAACCGAAAACTATACTAATCCAGTAAAATTATAGTTTTAATCCTAGCAAAACAAATCCTGATGACGGCAACAAAGACCCGCACACAGCCGAAGAGCAACTTGGCACTGGAACGTACCAATGAGAGATTGTGGGGGGTTCGAGGATCAACGCATTTACGATTTGTACAACTAAAGAAACACCCGATTCTGCACTTCCCTTTTCTAGCGCAGTGAAAGATGTATGTCTACAAATGTATGTGCTTTTTACTTATCATTCATGTGGCGCTATTTTTTTATTTAGCCTTATCTTCCAAACCCTCCTCTTTTCAGTCTACCCTCTTACTTGACGTTTAAATGTTTTAAAGCCTAATTTCTATTGGTTGCCAGTCGCTCTACGAGAAATGCCGTTTTCTCCAGGCATTTTGTAATAAAGTTAACTACTACCCATATAATAAAACTCACACATGCTTAAAGTCTTTACATTTGACTGTTTTTAAAATTATTTAATGTTTTAAAACATCGCCTCGATTCACAGTCAAAGAGGTTTAACACAAAACTATCTTTAGGTTGCCACAGCCGTGAATAAAACTCCAAACCTGACATTTCTTAGACATCAGAAGGAGAAAACAGCAGTAAAATCCCCTTCTGACAGTGACGAATCTAGGGTCAGATTTTAGGATCTTTTATTTGTTTATTTATTTACAGCTCAGCTGTGACTTTTTTTTTAACAAATCAAACAATTCCATAAAAAACACAGCTTTCCTTGTATTTTTTTAATGTCACATTCTATCAAGTAATTACACAATAAATATAAAAAGTCTGTACAGTTTTAGTGTACATGTGAAACATGGTAGAAAAACTTAAAACCCTTACATTTAATTCTGCATTCACATGCATAGGTATAACTCAAGGGACACTTGATTTAACAACACATTTTAAATCAGCCTTCTCAATTTTTTGTGAGTTTGTGAACCGTTCTTTAAATATTTCTCACACACAATCACATACATGACAACACATTGAAAACAGAGAATAAAACACATAATACCACTCAACTGAGGTAATGGTCAGAAATAGTGAATGAGCACCAATAGGATTCAACATGGCCAAATACTGTGCAAGTTTACAGAATCATGCATGAAACTCATGCATGACCTCGAGGGTAAATACAGTAAAAACAAAATGAATAAAACCCTGAGAGCAAAGTTTTGTATATCTTTCCAATCTGAAAGATCTGAGAATAAACTGAACCGCAAGGGTTTGAGTCATTATCAGTAGGAATACATAACTCACATAAAAAACCTTTGCTTCTCTACATAGACATTCATAGTACAGAAATGAGGCTACACTGACCCTGGAGCACATGATCCAAGATCAAAGTTATGAAACAAAAAAAAATATGGATGAAATACAGATACATATTAAACGTTTGTATTTGGTCCTTTAATCAGTTTACACTTAGCTTATAATGAAAGTTCTTTAATTAGTTACTTATGTCAAGATATCCTATTATCGCTGGGGCATCTAATGTCCGGAATCTGGTCTTCAAACGGCTGTACCGTCCACTGGTTTGACCTAATGTGATCCATAACTCGGGAGTATTCTGAATTTGCAGCACCTGTAATATTTTCAGTTTAATAAAACCATTATATCATATTGAAGAAGCTGAAAACTGGCAGTGTAGGCATTCTGAACTTTCTCTTTGTACATTTTAGAGTCACTCATTCATTATAATATCATACAATCAACACATTTTTTCTTAAAAATCTTTGTTTCATCTGGCTTTTGAATTTAAAAAGAGCCCATGCAGCCTACATTATATCTTTATGATCTATTTTCAACAAATTTGTGCTAGAAAATGTGCCAGAGTGTGATTATTAACTTGCAATGGATGTAAGCTATAAATAAATAGGGGTATGATTACCTCTCTCATTAGGATAGAAACTACAGGCCTGTTGAGTTCCACTTGTACAGCTTTCCTCATAGCCAGGATCATGCTGCTCTTCTTTGATGACCATCCTTTTGGCATCCTCTGTAATGAAAACATGCAAAAAATACAAGTTAATCTGTTGCCCACAAAGTCCGCCTTTAAACAACACAAATAATCTTAAGTGCTGAAAATTATGGCTTACTTATATTCAAAAAATCCAAGCAAATCAAGTTGTGTCACCTTTAGCCATGGCCAAGTCAAATGTGTACTGGGTCTCCTGAACCTCCTGGTTCTTCACGAAACCCTTGAGCTGGTTCCTAAGCTCCTTCAGCTTAATGTAGAAATGAACTTTGTCTTGAGCACGAGGGAACTGAGCACAGCGGGGACTGGAGGATGGCATAAGATAACAAACCTGCACAAGTGTAGAAAATGTTACATCAGTAAGTATTTCATGATATTTAATGATAGTAAAATCATTAACAATGTATGGTAATAAGGTCTGAAAATCATACTGTTTCTGTGTCTGGAACCTTGTAGGGCTGTAGTCCAAATTCTAGGTTCTTGGCTTTCACTCCAAAAATTTCATTACAGAATATTTCATAAATACCTGAAATAAAATATGACTGGTTTACACATGACAACCAGAGCAAAGAGGTTTCAGGAAGATAGTTGTTGTCTTACTGTCTTACCTTTCCCATTAAATGCTGCTATTCGTGGCCTGTATTTCTGCAGCTTTTCCAGAAGTTGTTTACCTCCTTCCCGAATCTCTTTACTGAAAAAAGGCACACATTTTTATCTGATCCCTAATGAATCAAAAGCTTTTAAACTATGCCTATGAATATGAATTAGAGCTGTTTGATTACAGAAGTTGTGGAGTAAACTCTGCTCCTAAATGTTGGGAACTGATAGAGTCCATTTTACACAGTAATTTTGATTCCAAGGACCAAGACACAGAGAAGGACATCTGGTAAAACTAAAGAGTACTATATTAATTATAAAATGACCTTAGCAAGGAAACTGGGACAGTTAGTGTTAGCAAATTTAAAGCGTTTTTGATTTTGTCCAGAGTAAAAAACAGCCAATGCATTGACGTGTATGCTGTGAAAGGACGCATATTTCAGACAGGCTGTCTAGAGAATAACAGCAGAATATCTCTCTCTGTGTGCGTGTGGGTGCAGGCAAACTTTAAACAAGCTGTGTGGAATCAAGTCCAAGGCTTCAGAAATGACTCAATTCCCAAATGCCATGAATCAAAGAATCAGTTCTTTTTAGGAATAGACTCCCTAACATAGGAATAGAGCCCTAATATGAATAAATGAATGAATGAATTAATTATGGGTATGCATGGACATTAGTTTGCAGTCCTTACTTCGAGAGGTCTTTACTCCCAGGTGTAGTCCTCTCTACCATATTAGTGAAGCCGATGCCATACTTTTCTGGAAGAGTCTGATCATGCATATAGTTTAACTGCTCATCTGTGAGTCCTGATAAGAACAGGCATTTCCCTACAGGAGAGTATATACAGTAATTACTATCAGAAATCAAAACCAAAAGAATAAACAAAGTAAAAGGAAAACAGCACATACAAAAATGGTTCCCGGGATTCGGGTAATGGCGTCCTTTGTATGCTGACATCAGTCCAGGATTGATCCCAATCTACAAAAGTCCATAGAATAACTGAATCTAAAAATATTTAGAGCACTTGATAACATGGTTACATTTAAGCTACACAATACTAACACTACAATGAACACCAATGAATGAACAACCCCAATTCCAAAAAGGTTGTGTAAAATGTAAATACATGTATATAAAACCAGAATGCAATGATTTGCAAATCTCATAGACCCATATTTTATTCACAATAGAACGAATGCCATAGGCACTAATGCTCCCCCATACCATCATGGATGCTGGCTTTTGAACTGTGTGCTAATAACAAGCTGGGAGGTCTTTAGCATGGAGGATGCAGTGTTCATTATTTCTGAAAAGACTTCCAAATATTGATTCATCTGACCACAGGACAATTTTCCATTTTGCCTCAGTCTGTTTTAAATGAGCTTTGGCCCAGAGAAGTTGGCAGTGTTTCTGGATCCTGTTTATATATGGTTTCTTCTTTGAATGATACGGCTTTAACTTGCAATTGTGGATTGCATGGCGAACTGTGTTCACAGACAATGATTTCTAGACGTGTTCCTGAGCTCATGCAGTGATTTCCTGTAAAGAATCATGCCTGTTTTCAATGCAGTGCCACCTGAGGGCCTGAAGATCACGAGCAACCAATACTGACCATCGGCCTTGTCCCTTGAGTACAGGGATTTCTCCAGATTCCCTGAATCTTTTGGTGATATTATGTACTTTAGATGGTGGGATATCCAAAGTCTTTGCAAAGTAAAATATGGGTCTATGAGATTTGTTAATCATTGCATTCTGTTTTTATTTACAATTTACACAGTGTCCCAACTTTTCTGGAATTGGGGTTGGACATTCTTCAGTGTATCAGTCTATGGACAACTGGATACTCACTATAAGAATGTCGAGATTGTAGGTGATGATATCCGGCAGCTTTCTGGCCATGACCTCTTCCACAGACATGCCATTAAATCTGTCCAGGGTTCTTTTGGCTTTTTTCACAGTGTCTTTGGTATCTGCCTGCTCTTCTCCCTCTTCTGGCTTCTGTTTTGGTGGTCTCCCTCGCTTCTTCCCTTTGCTAGGTGTTGATGGAAGAGCTGCAGAACACACACAGAGTTTACTCCCTAATCTGATAAAATGTGATGATATCCATTGATTTAGCAGGTTCTTAGACTGTACCTGTAGGCGGAACAGGCAGCTGGTGGGGTTGACTGGTTTGTACTGGATACTGATCTTTATACACAGCTAATTCACTCATGATTCTGTCCTCTCCGAGTTCCTGCTGGTGTTGAAAAGCGTTTACCATCTGGCTGTACTGAGGAACCGGCTGTGGCTGAAACTGTTCTGGAGTGGAATGGTACCTGAGAGGTGAAAAACAAAGAAGGACAAATACAGAGAAAGAAAGAGAAAGAAAGAGAAAGAGAGAGAGAGAGAGAGAGAGAGAGAGAGAGAGAGAGAGAGAGAGAGATTAACTGAATGATTGCTATGAATCATGCTTATCTAAAAAAAATGCTTACTTTGGGTGTACCCAAAAGTCTCCAAAAGGTTCATCATTAAAAGGACTATCACATACTGAAAACAATGTAAAATCCTGTTTTTGTTGATGGAAGTCAAACTCCACATCAAAAGTCTAACTGAGTCCAGAGCCTGGATTCATGAAACCTCTCAGAGTAGAAGTGCTGATCTAGGATCTGCTCCTATCTGTAAGGCCATCTGAAATTTGAGAGAAATCTAATCTTAGATCAGCACTCCTACACTTCTAGCTTCATGAATACAGACACAGGCATACATTATACATTTCCATACTGGGTTACAATCTCATTTCTACACTATTTACCTGTCACATAAAAACATGTTAAATGAAATCAAAAATATACCTATTGTGCTACCTGTAAATACATCAATTTGTGCACATGAAATGTCAACAGACCCTTTAATTCTTCTGCAGTTTGGGTTTACTCACCAATGCTGAAAATAATCCATGGGGGCCGTCTGATATTCATACTGCTTTTCTTCCATCTTAACTGGTGGATTTACTTTAATAGATTCATATTTGTATAGATGTTACTCACACGTTTTGCAATTCTCCCTTTGTTTGGCAGTGTTTACATTTTAAAACACCTGTCTGACTGACTGACTGACTGTCTGTCTGTCTGTCTGTCTGTCTCTCTCTCTCTCTCTCTCTCTCTCTCTCTCTCTCTACTCGTGGAGGGATCTATGTCTCCATATATATGCAGAAAATATTTTTTACATACGAAGTGAGCTGCAAAATAAGTCACCTTCCATTTTCGTCGCTGACAACTTACTATTAGCGATACAGCAAAGAGAACTACAGAGCTAGGTTAACATTAGCCAGCTAAATCAATTAACTTACACATCCTACGTTCATTTAAAACTAATTCACGACGAAAGATACACAAGACATTCGAAAGAGACTTACCTGTCAGAGACAATCTTGTCAGGGTTTTCTCAATCAAGACTTTCAAGGCCGAAAATAGAAAAATAAAACCATAAAGCTTCAACCGGCTTCCCTACATGTACCAATAAGACAAAGCATTGGTGGAGTTTTCAAATTAAAAGTCCTTAAAGGTCTTCAAAATGTGGTGTCTGATTTTCGACCCTCATACACAAGAACTGAAGTCGTATTTATTTAGAATAAATGTATAAGCTTATTTTATTTTGTTATTTAAGAGATACACGCTGGAAAGTAAAACAAACAACATAAACTAGAGATTTCTAATGTTCACAACTTAGCAATGTTGACTTCTCAGAGCCTAACGGAATTTTTTAACTCTAGGGGGGAGTTGTCTTTCTGTTCGCTACATATTCATATCCAAAATATTATTTCTGCGTATGTTATATTGATTCTGTAATATTATGTACAATGTTTTTAAAGGCAATTATCTAGAAAAAGTAATTATCGTACAGAAAGTGCATTTTAAACTGTACGGTAATATACATCTCCCCCGCTCTCGGCAGTGGAATTGACCATTTTGCCACAGGACGGCGTGAGGTTTGGACGAACGAGCCATGTTCACCTACAGCTCTTTACAGCTTCTTGCTAACGTAGTATCGGCAATGTGAGGACGTAGACTCCAGGACTCATCAAACTTAATCCCAATAAATAAGAGAGGTTCGTATATGCTGATTTAGTTCTTACTACATTAAGAATTTGTTATTGTTGTATCTGAAAGGCTCTATGCCTGATTGGAAGCGTGCTTGCTCGTGTTTATAGTTCACTACGCTTGACTTCTGAATGTCATCCCAAATGTCTCATGTAACGCCTGACGCGCCTTATCAACTCATTATCAACCTCTCAGGGAGGTGAAGTGAGTGTTATAAAACAGGGAAAGCAGGGAAATCTCTAAAATGTGAAGGGCAGCGAGCCTCCAGGACCAGGGAAGGGAAGCTCTGGCAATGATGTAACTGCGTCCAAATCGCGTAACTTACTACAGTACAAATAATATGTCAAATAGGACACCACCATTATGGTTGGTAGTAGTGATGGCTGAATACAGTGTCTTAAATGTATTCAGTAATGTATTCCGTTACACTACCTGAAACATAACACATTCAGAATACATCTAGAATACATTTATAATACATCTCCATAAAGCACATGGGACAAACTTTTTTTAACTTACATGGTTACTTGCTATTATTGTTCTTCATATAATTATTCTGTTGATACGTTTCATAAAAAATCCTTATAAAAAAAAACCCACCTGCTTCTGTCCGGTGATGCTCCCACAATCCCTCGTGCAGATGTACAACACTGATGCTAAACTTCACTATTACTTGCAAACCCAATACCCAATGTCCAATACTGAGATTATTAGTTTCATCATTCCTTTAAAAGAGCACAGTAACACTGAGATTAATAACTGTTTATCACAGTGATTTATCAGTCTACTCAGGCTTTAGCAGAGCTCAGTAACACTGAGATTAATAACTGATCCTCACATTGATTTATCAGTCTACTCAGGCTTTAGCAGAGCTCAGTAACACTGAGATTAATAACCGATTGTCACATTGATTTATCAGTCTACTCAGGCTTTAGTAAGAACCTCAGTTTAACAAGCATGTTTGCTGATTGTTGTGTGCTGATTCTAAAATAGTTAATAAACAAGCATTAATGATGTTTATATTGAATAATGTTTTTTTATTGTTTAGAGGTAAGCACTCTAAAAGCATTCTCCTACAAATATAAAAAGTAACTGCATTCTGTATACTGTCTTTACACACTGTAACTGGACTAATTACAAATACTTAATTTTTGTATTCCAAATATTTCTAAATATGTATTGATACAAGAAAAGCACACAATTTAAACGATAACTGTTCTCTTTTTTCATCCAGTTGCAAAAAAACTTTCCTGTCCATAATCCCTAACCAGAAGATGCCTGCTGGTGTGTCATGGCCAAGATACCTGAAAATGTTTGGTGCTAGCGTATTGTCCATGTTTGCTGGTGCCGAGGTCGTCCATCGGTATTACCAACCAGATTTGGTAGTATATCTTGATAGTGCTGCATTTGATTTTATTAGTTTGTTTGTTTTATCTGTTTTTATTTTTATGAATATGTAGAAACATACTTTATTAATAAATTAATGAGTATAATTATTATTTTTCAGACTATTCCAGAGGTCCCCCCAAAGCCTGGGGAACTGCAGACAGAACTTCTTGGGCTGAAAGCAAAGCAGGCAGCCTCAGAGAAACACTGATGTCACTTTTTATATTTAATTGTACATATACACTGAATATTGTAAACATGATGCAGACAACTTTTGAATCCTCTTGTGAATTTGTATAATGCTGGAATAAAGTTATTTGTACTTTGTCGAGTGTGTGCAACAGACATTTGTAGATTTGTTGTACAATCACTCCATATAAAACAAAAGCTGATGCCATCAATGTAGATCTGACTGATGTTTTTTTTGCACGAATGTATACACATACACAAAATTCACAATTATAAACAAAAGGATTAGTTACATAAGAATATACATATAGTAATATTAATAGCAGAGTGAATTAAGTGTTCGGGGTGTGCAACTCTGGTCCTGGAGGGCCGGTTTCCAGCACGGTTTGTTGATTGCCCTACTCAAACACACCCATTAAACCTGGCTATTAACAGATGAGTAGAATGAGGTGTGTTTGAGTAGCTAAATCACCAGCTGTGCTTCAGTTAAGGAACCCTGATAAACTGTTTAAACTGTTAATTTGCATTTTCAAAATAGAAAATCTAGACATTTATGTGCGCACATAAACAAACATACTAATTCTCCCCAGTGCCATTCATATTTGTAATATTTACAATTATTTGTTTATAATTATTTATTTGTTAATGTATTTTTGAATGTGTAGGGGTGCACACAACAGACTCGTAGTTCTACCAGAGAATATTGATTAAGAATTGCCACTCCGTAATGTGTCCTGGGTTTATGAAACACTAGAGGGCGCTCCTGAGCAAGTCCAAAATGAATGGGTTGATATAATCATTTTTTTATTTAGAAGAATGTATACATTTAATGAACACAGAAAACAATTTAACACTGCTGTTATATTTTTGAGTGTTGTGAACTCCAGTTATGAGAGTTTATAACGGCGCCTTATGTACTTTCACGACGTCAGTAAGCGCAACCCCCTTTATTCAGCCAATAAGCTGCTTCGCTCGCCAACCAATCAGCACTCAGTAGCAGTAACGCTAGCATCCTACTGCCCAAAACCCATTTGCTTTTGAAAAAAGGAAATATATAGGCACGGTTTTTGTTTTGTTTTTCTGCTTTCTACTTTTCAAAATTAAAGGAAGATTCTGGACGAATGGTTAGAAAATATTTTAACTTTTCATTTTTAGCCGTTTAGTTCCGTTCACCCCCATTCAACGATGACTCGCTCGCGGGCGCCTTCTGGCGTTTGTAGTGCTTTTTTGACATAACTGGAGAAATAAGGAGAGGCCAAGCTCCTCCTAAACCGGCTCTGGTTCTGCTGTTTTATGGAATGACTTTTATTATGAAATGAGGCTGTGAGCGTGAAAACGGAAAGTACCCAAGTATTTTTACCCGTGACAGGCTGTTGCAGTGGGCACTATCAGGCAGCCCGGCGGAGAGGAGCTGAGTTTCAGGCTCATGTAGCCGGCGCTGTGGCCGCTCTCGGTTGATAGGACCTACACAGGGGGAACGGTTGTGGGGCAGAGAGGAACCATGCCGACCTTGTTTTTGCCCCTCTCTCGCCTCGCCAGAAGCGGGAGCGGTGTTGGGAAGCTGCTGGCTCGCTGTACGGCTCTCCACCCACCTGGCGGGACAGGGATTTCTGAGAAATGTCAACCGGCGTATCGAAACCTATCCTCCCCGGCACGGCTCTCCACAGCCGGCATGAGCACCAGCTCCGCGGACGGAGACGTGACCGGCTGGCTGTGGTCTGTTTACAATGAAACCAAACGGCAGACTGAAGGTGGGTTTAGTGAATTCCCTCTGAGGACCACTGTCACCTGTCACCCCACAGGAGGGGAAGCAGCTGAAGTCAGCTTCTCATTCGCCGGCTTCCTTGTTCGAATTTTGCCGTTCTACCTTAAATGGTGTAGCAGTTACATCCTTGTGCTTGTAACCGCAGCACTATTTGCACCATTTAAGGTGCAACGGCAACCGATTTCTGCCCCGTCATACGGGGATTGATTTTCCTAAATTTGGGTTGCCAGTTGTTTTCTCTTAAGTGTCTCGTAGCTTATATCTAAACACTTAAGATAGCGATAATGTAATTCTCTACAGATTCTATAGTGGTCTGTATAGTTAAAGCACAGGAATTTCTACAGAATTTATTTATTTTAATTTATAGTAAATTCAGACAGTCATTCTAGTTTACTACTATACATGTAACGTTATTGTGTATTACCATTATATAGTACCACAGGAATATTATACACAAGTGCAACTGTTATAAATAATTAACTTACACAAGTATTATACAGCATTATAGAAATATAGTTGCTTATAGTATTACTGCAGATCTTTTATGTACATGGGGATATGAACAAAACTTGTAATTTTAGTCATAGACGCACTAGTTAAATTGTATATTTTAAACTGTATTATTACAGTGTAAACTTAAAACTGTGGTAAGATTTATGTTGTGCTGTATTATACTTCTGTAATCTATATTTTAATTTCTATATTAATATTCCTGTAGTACCATCTTGAAGTAATCTATAATACTTCCGTAACATTCCGTAGTGAATTAAACTGAATTTACCATAAGAACCTAAGAAATCCTGTCGAAATTACTGTAATACTATTACTTAATTACTTACTTACTTACTAAATTCCTGTTATTTCAAAAGGGTAATCCATGTCATTTTAAGATGATTTTACAGAATTCCCATCATGACAAAAATGTTATTTTACATGCAGATATGAATCGCTGACTAACTACCAAGACATGGATAACAGAATAAGTGATTTCAAACTTTTTTTATTTACACTCCTAAAAAAGATGGTGCTTTAAGGGTTCTTTAGTAAAGAAAATCGTTCTATATAGAACCAAGAACACTCAAAGTGGACTTTGCATGATTAAAGGGTTCTTAGCATCATTAAAGGTTCTTCAGACTGATGGAGGATATGCATGTATGTGCTATAGATGGTTCTTTATGGAAACTTTTTGAAAATGGTTCTATATAGCACCCAAAAGGGTTCTTTTTTTTATTACAGGCTTGACATCGTGACAATAGAAGAACGCTTTTCAAAAAGGCTCTATATAGAACCATCTACAGCACATTCTCTATCAGTCTGAAAAACCCTTTTATGATACAGAGATCCCTTTAATCATGCAAAGGGTTCTTTGAGTGTTCATGGTTCTATATAGAACCATTTTCTTTACTAAAGAACCCTTAAAGCACCATCTCTTTTAAGAGCGTAGCACAAAAGTATCTAGAGAACACTTCTTACCCAAGAGATTTTAAGTAAGAGAAAGAAAATAGCTTTACATTTAAATGAATGTTTCTTGATCACTAAAATTAACACAACACTGTTTTTCTCCACAGATTTAATCCCAGCAATATCGAACAACTTTGTGAATCCGGACACCATCTTCGCCAACAATGAGATGAGCTTGCAGGATATTGAAATCTATGGCTTTGACTACGACTACACTTTAGCCTTCTATTCCAGCAATCTCCACACCCTGATCTTCAACATCGCTCGGGATATTCTCATCCAAGAACACAGGGTCAGTACTCAGTTTCGTCATAAGAAGTGCACAGATTTAAAGTCAGTTATAATGTAGTTTTATCTTACTTATTCTTACAGTGTAAATACCTGTAAATGCACCAGAACAATGTGAGCATTGTGTGCAGGAACAAAGTACTACTGAGCTTTTGCATATGTTGACATTTGAATGCTCTGTTAAAGTTGTTGGTATGAAGCAATAAGGAGGTTAGAGTGTGCCTGTTACTTGTGTAGACACACTGGAACTAGTACTAGCTGGATGTGAAGAAAGATACAAGTGTCCACAGTAATATTTGACCTTTTTTTAATTTCTGTCTTTGGTCCAGTACCCAGAGGGACTGAAGGAGTACGAGTACATCCCTGATTTTGTGGTTCGGGGGCTGCACTATGATGTTCAGAAGGTGTGTAGCTGTTGCTGATAGATTTATATGATGAGGATGTGCGTGTTTGTTTAGGTCACACTTTTATATGGTATAATTATCTTGATCTCTCTTCTTATTCAGGCTTTACTGATGAAGATAGATGCTTTTCATTATATCCAGCTTGGAACAGTGTATAGGTAGGTAATATGAAAGGGGAAGACTGAATTTAACAGACTAGTCATTTCAATTCAGCCAATTGCATGGTGTAAATATTCAGTGTAATCAAAATGTTATTTTATTTTATTTATTAAAGCCAGATTGATGTTTCTGAAGCCTGAGATTGGTCAGTATGTTATGATTATTGTGGTAAATTGTACCACAGTGCACTTTTCTGAATATTCTTTAATAGTGCAGTTGCATGCATAATATAAAGATTTTGCAGTCTTGTGTTCTAGCCCCACCTTAGCATTCCTAAACTGGATAGAACAAAATGAAGAAAGAGTTAATATCGTTCCTTTTTATGTAAACTGATATAATAAAATAGTAGGTTTAGAAAACTATTAGAGCCAGCAGTTGTGCTTGTATTGATATGCACATCTCCACACCCAAGCTATGGAGTTTTACTGTTTATAAATCAGTAAATTGCTCCAGCATATAGCTATGAAACAGTCAATGTTGAAGGTTTTTATGATCAAAATAAATTAAAATCCATTGTTAAACTCTGTCAACTGTGTCAGCAAATTCTCTGTTTAATAATGCAGACATGCTAACTGGTTAAATGGTTTCTCACATTATGACACATGACTCACAAAATTATGTGAAAGTGTGCAGAACAGCACAGAGGACATGCAGAGCTATTGTCTGCTTATAGGTGGTGATTACGGAATGAATGTATAGCCTAAGCACAAAAATACCAGATATATGCCCAGCATTTGACCTGCCATCATACAACCGCCTGGCTTGTTTGCTTCGGCTTTTATTTGGTATGTGCTCATTTTTGGCCAAAGAATTATTCTCAGTCTGTTTTTACAACTAAAGATGCACTAAATTCAGATTATCATAAGATTTGGTCATTGAGACAGCAGTGTTATATCACAGTGTGTGGCAGAGTTGAACTAGTTCGTACTGGTGGAGCAGCGTTTAGCTACCTCTATTATAATGTCTGTACCGTAGTCCTTTGTCATCTAAGTTAGTCACAGAAGGCATTAATCACAGAATTTATTGGTGGCGGTTTATTGAAATATGGTGTTAAAAGATGTGTTTTATTGGTTGATGTTTTATCAACGAGTAATAACAAGAGAGCTCCACCTTCTGGATGTTTGCAGACATAAGAAACTTCCTATAGCATTCTTCAGTTTATAATAATGAAGAGCAGATCTATTTGGCCTTTCTTGACTTGACAATCCAAACAGTACTTATTAAGGAACTATTAATACTGTTTTTATACAGTTCTATAGACATACATGCAAATTATTCTTTGACCCTGTATGAAACATAGTGTTCTGTTGTGTATGAATTCTTCTGACATGAACTAGCAGACTATAAATAACAATATTACTACTAATTAATGAGAACTGTTTAGAGGATGTAAATGTATAGAGAATGTAAAACTTAGTTTTTTTTAAAAATGATTCTGGATGATGACACTACTCCAGACCCATGCGTTTCATGACATCACATATGCACGACAGCTCTGTCTCTGTTAGCTTCTAAAGGTTTACTAACTGGCCTGTAAAATCTTGGGGAAAAACACTGAATGCCAAATAAACTTGTAAAATCACACACGACATGATGTTGATCCAAATACATCAGGGAGTTTGACAGAACAATAAGCTTGTGGGCTTCTCACAATAGAAAAATAATCTTGTTAACCGTCAAGGGATTTCAAATGAACGTTTCTTTTATTGGAACAGTTGAGGATTGTTATACTTTTGGGTTGCGTTTTTGTCCCTAGCAAAATACCATTCGTTTACAGTTTTTGTTTTTTTTTCTGAGAAACTGGCAGTTCTGTTTTGCTGGTGCATTTTGTGTGTTCTAACTTGTTCACAAACCTCAGGAAAATAAATATGATAGTGATGCATATAGTTTATGAAAATGTCTTCAAGTATCATATGTTTTTGCCATATTGTCCATACTTATCAGCATGTGTGTGTTCTTGTAGGGGACTTCACCCTGTCTCAGATAAAGAAGTCATTGCTATGTATGAGGGCTCCCATGTCCCTCTGGAGATCATGAGTGACTTTTATGGCAAGGTTGGTGATTTATGTAGGACCGATTTCCATTAAGCATCATAAAAACAATCATAATAATCTCAAAAAGCACTGCTATTTTTTCCATCAAATAGTCCAAAAATAGGTTTTTGTTTGTCTTGTTTTAATCATGTTTGTCTGCTAATATCCTGTCCACTGTTGTTTAGAGTTCCCATGGGCACACTATGAAGCAGTTTATGGACATCTTCTCTTTGCCTGAGATGACCCTGCTCTCATGTGTTAATGACTACTTCATGAAGCACAACATCGACTATGAGCCTGTACATCTCTACAAAGATGTCAAGGTTAGACCAGAAGACAAAACAAGTCATCAGTTATGTACAGGTGGTGTAAAAAACTCCAGCAGCTACATTTTGGGGCTTATGGTCAGTCGATCTGAAGATAAAGATGTAAGAACTCTCAGATAAAGAGGATAAACACTCTTTAATAAATTTGGCCTTAAGTATTGCTGTTTGTGTGGGTTATGCATTGTGTTTTTCACCATTTTACAGAGGCATGTCTTCCAGCACCATCTGCGCCTACTCTGCTGGGGTGTAGGGTTATGGTTCAGAGAAGATTGATGACTGAACAGCCCACAGTTTTGACAGCTTTTTTTCAGATCTAATAAGAAACGCTGAAAGCAGCCTCATCTTGTGTTCTTTCTATGCTGGATAAAAGTCCCTATAATTGTCACTTTGTCTGAGGTAAATTAATGAGGCACAGGAGGGCCACTGGCAGGGCCGCACTGGCTTCTTTTGATGCAGAACACTGTGCCTTTGTTCTCAGCTCTGATATTTTGTGTCTGGTTTATTTTTCTCTGCTTCCAGGAGGCCATAGGAGATGTCCATGTAAGGGGAATTATGTATCGAGCTGTTGAGGCAGATATTGGTAATGCTAAAATGTTTTTTTATCTCAGAATGCCATACTGTTGTTTAGATGGCAAGGTTCGTCAGATTAAATTGAACAAATAAATAGAAACTTAATGTAATATAAAATACTATAATAATTGAAGAGTTACTATTGAGTTAATATTGAGTTACTGTGGTCGATCTCTCTCACTTGGAATTTGTCACTTTTAGCTTAAGTATATGAAAAATATATAATCAATATATCACTCACACTTTGCTTTTTAATGTTTTTGCAGAGAAGTACATCTGTTATGGTGAACAGACCCATGCAGTTCTAAGAAAGCTTTCAGATAATGGAAAGAAGATGTTTCTGATCACCAACAGCCCCCTGGACTTTGTGTAAGTACAACTACTGGCGTATTTCTACATACAGTTGTATGCAAAAGCTTGAACACCCCCGGTCAAGTTACGTTTTTGTTAATTTTCTAAGTGAAAACAAGTTAACACATCCTCTACAAGGAACAGAATATAATAAATATGGCATTTTCTGCAAATTTTAGTGCACAATTTCTATTTATTTTCTTATCCTATTAGAGAAAATTAGACCATAAAATATAAAATGGCTTATAGCTTAACATTTGTGCAATCCACATTTCGCCTTTTTTCACCCTTAATATGTTAAATTCAGCAATTAAACAGTCATATTGTATTAAACTGTGCAGAAGTGTGTTCTCTGTAGAGGATATTTTAACTTGTATTCACTTACAAATTCAACAAAGCATGTAATTTGACCAGGGGCTCCCAAACCTTTTCATACGACAGTATAGACATAAACAAAATTTTTAAACTGAGCAAGACTCTGTACTTGTTTCCTTCGTTAACCCGACTGAGGCCACATTTTTAAGAATGGTTTGTGTTTGTGATCTGGTCACTCTTTAGAAATCGAGGAATGAACTACATCGTTGGAAAAGACTGGAGGGACCTATTCGATGTGGTCATAGTGCAGGCTGACAAGCCAAGTTTCTTTAACGACCGCAGAAAGTGAGTTCCTGGAAACGCAGCGAGTAATTCAACTGAAACTGGCAGTGCTGAATTAGACTTGTATGAATGACGTTTTTACACAATAACAGCACCCTCAGGCTTTTTGTTTGCCCGTGTCCTGACACAGTTGCATGTGACAAAGCTGAAAAGTTAACCATGACAACTGTGGAATACTGCCCAAACCAGAGTACCAATTCTCTATGTTTTTTTTTGTGTTCCTAAAGGCCATTCAGGCGAGTTACTGATAAAGGAGTGTTGCTATGGGACAGGATTCACCATCTGGAGAAAGGGCAGATTTATAAACAGGTGCTGTATGGCCTCTGGGCTGAACCTAAAAATGGCAGAGAGCTCATGTATATTCTCACTGTTGGTCTGTATTGTTTTTCCACTAAGTGACCTATCCATACTTCATTCTTTTGTAGCTACTGTTTTGTGTAAAGGTTAGACAAGCTTTAGAGAATGCTGCCAGAAATCCCACTGAACCTAATGGGAAATTGTAGAGATCTTTGTATATAGTCACTAGTTAACGTGTAAAGCACCTCCGAGCTGGACTGCATTGTAGCTAAATTTAGACTAGGCAGCATCTATTTTGCCACCATAATGTTTGCTGTATTACACAAGACTATTTCTGACCTGTCTTAATCGTGTGACCTTTCCCTCGTTAAATAGGATTTTATTTTGTTGTGCAAAGCTTGCCTGGCCTGGCAACAGTAGCTACAAAAGAGTTTTTCATTTTGAGATAATGGCCAAAATATCCGGTGTTTACCAACAGTAAAGAACAAGAAAAGCTGCTTTAGATGTTAAATTTGTATGCCTCTGAGGCATTTTGGGACAACATACAGTTTGTAGCTGCTACTACAGCTGAATGAAGATGAAAATATGGCAAGTACAGGACTTTTACAAGCATAAACCAGGGTTTTTACAAGCATGAAGTACTCAAGAAAGCTGAGTAATTCAGAAGACAAACTGGCTTCATAATGACCCCTTGAAAAAGCCTAGTTGCCCATAAAATCCAACCAGATCACTGGTTACTACTAACTGACTCTCTTCAACTGGTTTGCACTTTATATTGTTGTTGTAACTGGAAATATTCTGCCCTAAGGAGAGTAAGTTAGGCTGAGGAGGTCAGTGGAAAGCTAACCAGCTAACAGGCTAACGTTCCAATAGTAATAAATAATAATAAAGACAGACTTCGAGTTTAAGCCTTTAAAAAAGAAGTTACAGTAATAGTGCAACTAAAGAAAAGTAAAGAATGTTAATTATATGACCGTTACAAGCTTAAAATGTCTGTAAACTAGCTGACATCAGTCAAATACCGCGAGCTAACGCTAGCTTGGCGCTAGTACTGCATTCATGTTTGCGTTGACACCAATGTTGTTCTGTGACGAACACGAAGCCACACGGACGTCGGCATAGTTAAAGCGCTACTGCCGAAAATAGGTGATTAGGAGAGCTTTAGCAGTGTATATTTATTGTTTATTTAAGGTAAAAAAAAAAAAATGCAGGGATGAGCATTATGATTGCATTTTCTTGTTGGTTTTATTGTTAGACTTAAGTGAATTAATACATTTTTGTATTAAACATTGTTACAGAACACTGGTATACACTTAATAATTTTGGCTTTTAGCATAAACAAAATAAAAAAAAATTTAAGTGAAATAACTTTATTACCATAAGTCATTCATGTAGGCTATAAACAGAATTGTCTGGCAAAAGCATTTCTCCCACACATGTTCAGGTTTCTGCTGAAATATTATTTTATTAAAATTATTTCTGTATTTCTTTGTTAGGAATGTTATAAACATTTAAAATATTGTCTGTTTACACTCTGCTGGAGGTTCTGCCTGTAAGTCTCTCAAAGCATCGTGGGCCACAGGAATAATGTGGACACGTTTGAAGTACAGCATGAGAGTCTTGTCATTGTTATGTGGGAATTTTCTCAAACTTCTAGTGACTTTCAGCATTTCCCTGTTTCCAGGGAAACTTGTATGAGTTCTTGAGACTCACTGGCTGGAGGGGCTCAAAGGTTTTGTACTTTGGAGACCACATCTACAGTGACCTTGCGGTGAGCAACGCACCAACACAAATGTCTATGCTGCTGAACATTTTTGAACCAGGCATACATCAAAAATAATGCTGCTAGGCATATTTGACCTCCTGTGTTCACATTACAGCAGAGAGAATATTGGCATGTTAGCAGCAACAAAGCAACAAAAGTGAGAGTATCAGAGAGACAGCATGAAAGCAGACAGCACTCAAAATATTTCAGTGTTGTATTTTTTACAAACATAAAATTGTGCAGTGCAGTAGTTTCTCAGAATCCTAAACTTGGCAACTACTTTAAGTTATATTTCACTGAAAAATCAAATGGGCAAAACTTTCCCCCTCACGCTAAATGTAGCAGACATGGTTGGTGTCTGAAGTCTCTTTAGTGTTGCTCTGAAGCTGTAAGGCTAATGTAGTTAACAAGTAATGGGAGCCTATACCCTATTAATTAGCATTGTACAAATTGCTTGCCTAAATAATCATAATCTCAAATAGACTTGCTTATGTGGTTTCAGGCACTGTATGACACATTGTTATCTATAAAAATGGCAAGAATATGCTGCATAGTTCAAACAGAATTTTGCATGTATGAGGCAAGCGTTTAATGATTTAGGCGTGTAGTTTACACAACACAAATAATGGGGTATAAAGTCATATGCAAAACTTTGGGCATCTCTCGTGAAATTACTTGTGTGCTCAAATGTGCAGAAAAATGCCATAGTTTGTTAAGAGGGTGAGGATGTGTTAACTAATTTTTACTTAGAAAACATGCAGTTTAAGCTGGAGTGTTTTTAAAATTCTGCATTCAGCTGTACACCGATTAGGCATAACATAATGACCACCTCCTTGTTTCTACATTCATTGTCCACTTAATCAGCTTCACTTACTATATAGGTGGACTTCATAGTTCTACAATTACAGACTGTAGTCCATCTGTTTCTCTGCATACTTTGTTAGCCCCCTTTTACCCTGTTCTTCAGTGGTCAGGACCCCCATGGACCCTCACAGAGCAGGTACTATTTGGGTGGTGGATCATTCTCAGCACTGCAGTAACACTGACGTGGTGGAGGTGTGTTAGTGTGTGTTGTGCTGGTACGAGTGGATCAGACACAGCAGTGCTGCTGGAGTTTTTGAACACTGTGTCCACTCACTGTCCACTCTATTAGACACTCCTACCTTGTCAGTCCATCTTGTAGATGTGAAGTCAGAGACGATAGCTCATCTGCTGCTGCACGATTTATATAGGTCATCCCCTAGTCCTTCTTCAGTGGTCACAGGACGCTGCCCACAGGACGCTGTTGGCTGGATATTTTTGGTTGGTGGACGATTCTCAGTCCAGCAGTGACACTGAGGTGTTTAAAAAACAGGGTAAAAGGGGGCTAACGAACTGGAATTTAATTTTAAGAGTGGTGTTAAGATGGAAGACTGATGCCCTGTTTAGGATCTGACTCTGAAGCATGGCTGGAGGACTGGGGCCATCATCCCTGAGTTGCGAAAGGAGATCAAGATCATGAACACGGAGGAATATGTGCACACCATGACCTGGCTGCAGAGCCTGACCAACCTGCTGGAACACATGCAGGTGAGACTGAGGGGGGGCACTCAGGAGCAGACCATAGCTGTAGGGGGTTTGCTCATACCAGTCCTTATAGGAAAGTCTGTGCATCTTGGAAACACCCCTGGGCAGTTATGTCCAGTAACACAAGACCAAACTCCTATCTCTCACAATGGGTAAAGAGGTAAAACCTGAAACTAAAAGCCACATTAACATTCCAAAACCATATTTAAAATCACTGGTAAAATATGACCAAAACCACATGAGTAGTTTAGTGTTTGGCTCAAAAAACACACTTGCTTTACAAGCAAGCCAGTTGGCTCTTTTTATTAAAAGGCAGGACTTTCTTCATAAACAGATGTCGTATTTAGTGTTGCAAGCTTTCTTATTCACTTTTTCAGCCAGTGAATTCTCTCCTCCTCCTTTATAATGTCTCAGCTGATACTCAGTCATATGTAGAGGATGAACCATTAACAAAACAGGTGAGAAGAATTAATGCGTCGTTATTACATGCTGTGCTGCGTTTTGTGTGATATAGTGCCACAGTTGACTACTCATATCAGATATTTTTAGGAAGTGGCTAATTTTTCAGTATAGTTTACCCTCTTAAACTATTGAGGGACCGTCACTGGGTCCACTGGGTCCAGACATCCATCTCTGACTTTCATAATTATTTTATATATTGGCTTCAAAGTAGTTACTGAATAATTTGTGGTAAGCTTATTTGTCTATCACCACATAGTGTGCCTTTATAGTAACATATTTTAGCAATGTGCCTATATATATATATATATATATATAAGATTATGTAGAATTTACTGGGCTTTCCTGACGTTTTTCTTTCTCTGTGTCTGTTGCAGGTGCACCGAGATGCTGCCTCACAGGCAGTGATTCAGCACTGGGTCAAAGAGAGGGAGGACATGAGGTAACACATCGTAGCGTATTCTATATGTTTTATACTGAAGCATGTATTCTGCACGTGTATATGCATAAGCAACATTGTATATAGACATGGGAGGAAGAAACATGCATTATATCGCTGCATCTGAGCTTTTTCTTTTCAGTATAAGCCATTTTCTACATTGACTTTAAATGGCTGTATGAATGAACTTCTGTACGATTTGCTGTGGCAGATCCCGGGCGAAAGACATCTTCAACCCTCAGTTCGGAAGTCTTTTCCGCACGTATCACAATCCAACCTACTTTTCCCGTCGCCTCTCCCGCTTCGCCGACATCTACATGGCTTCCATCAGCTGCCTGCTCAACTACGACCTACAACACACTTTCTACCCCAGACGCACTCCGCTGCAACACGAGGCCCCCTTCTGGCCAGAGCAGACCAGTGCAGGGGCCATGAACATACCCTTCCAGAGCACGCGAGCAGGATCTGAATAAGCCTGGACAGATGACAGGTGGCGTTACGGTTATAGAGCAAAATATATATCTATAATGTGTATATTTATATACCACAGTGCGACTGCTGTTACTAGTGTTTAAAGTAATAGTTTGACGAAAAGCTAATTTATACACTTTGGCGCTGACCCAAGGTGACGTGTTTGGAGTCTAAATTTTGCTTGTTTGGTTTACGACTTGAGCTACATGTAAACATTGTAAACAAACACAAGAACCCAGTAGTCACCCAAATAGCCCAGATAGTTTCTGTGGAAATACATCACCAAAACTTCTCCCAACCTGTTCAAACTGCCTCCAGGACCTATCTAAGGTCACACAGAGTTGACAGTGTGGTTTAGGATACAGTATGACTTAATGTGAACTATAAAAATGAAAAAAACTGTGGGGAGCCTTTTAGACAACAGGATCTCTTCATAAACCACTTTAGGATTAGGAGTGCTGATGTAGTATCAGTTTTTGTGACAGTGACTATCATGAATATGAAGGAATCTGATCCAAGATCAGTCCTATAATTTATAACCACACTGAAATGGCTCCCACAGTGGTGAAGCTTTATTCATCTAGTCTGGACAATGTTAGTGAAGACCTGGATGCAGTTTAAGCAGGTTGAGAGAAGTTTTTTGGGATGAATCACAAAAACGATTTGGTTGACTGTTGAGTTCTGGTGTTTGTTAGCTATATTAGCCTCAAAGCTCCAATGCTGAATTAAAGATGCAAAATTGGACGCCAAACATGTCTTAGCTGATCAGCTAAACCTAGGGTAAGTAGAAAATTGTGCAAATACGTTTTTAATTAATTAGTTTTTTGCCAAACTGTTTATTTAAGCAGACAAATCAGCTGTATAAATGTGGTATTTACTAATGCTGGAGTTTAAACAACCTTGTTCAGTTGACGTGCCGCACATCTCCTAAAGTAGTGATGTAGGTATTTCCACTGTAAAAAAAACAAAAAACAAAATGAAGTACTGTTTTTTGCATGTTTTCTTGATGTATTTTTAAAAATGGTAGAGTTCAGCTATTCTAGGCTAAACAATCATGCAGTTAGTACACTAACGTTGCCAGTCAAAGATTCACATTGCGCCAGTGTTACATATTTAAAAAAGAATGTAAGAGTGGGTAATTTTTCACCAGGCATAAAACACAGCCATAGCTCTTTAGTATTTAAAACTGTCACTACCTTATTTTTATATTTACAGCATATCTGAACTCTATGTGAATGTTTTGGTCTTCAGTTAGTGTCTCTTAATTAACTGGAGAATTGAAATGCATATTTTTTGATTGTTTTTGTTGATTTGTTGCTAAAGTGTTTGCTCTTTTATCAGAATGTGCCTCAGTGTGGTGGAGATTTAAAAATAAGCAATAGCTTCGGTTTGTATTTAGTGCATCTCTAAAATCTGTGCTCTGCTCATAGGAAAATGGGAGTAGTTGTCGTCTTCTTTTCTGGCTTTACATGCTTGCTGAAAAGAGCAATATATAGGGTCTAACTTTCCCTTCTGCTCTGTCACCAGCATTATTTTTCAAACCCAAATCCTAACCCTAACTCAGGGATGGATTATTCTAGAGGACCACAGCACTGCACAGTTTATTATTTTCCCTGCTCTTATAAACTGATTCAACTCATAAAGGCTTTAATAATTAATAATTAACTGATGAGCTGCATGAGGTGGGCGTCCAGTAGGGATATCACTAAACTGTGAAAGTGCTGTGACACCCAAAACTAGCATTGGATCAACAGCAGAGCCTCTTATACCAACACCGTTGAGCACACCACCAAAGCGAACAGCAATCTGAAGTACGGCATTTGTCCTACAGCGTTGAAATGAAGAAAGAGCTTATCTTTCATAGCATTTTAAACTTGGTTTTTGTAGTTTTGCTTTGCGTCCTTGAATAAAATATTTGATACGCACAAATTCTAGCAAGTTACAAAGTTTTATGAAAAAGTTTTATGCATAAGTGCTTTAGATGCCTGTAAGACGGTAGAAAACCTGGTGTTCTCTATTAAATGCCTTGTATGCTTTATTTATGCATTGTGTTGATTTACTACATTTTCTGCTGAACGTAATTTTAATATTATTGATGGTTTATTGACTATAGAATACTGTATAATTAGAGCTTTCTGTCTTTAAAAAATGAGGCCCAAGTGCTCACTTTCATTCTACAATCTGATGTTTTCTGTGTGTGTATATTCTATCTGGTTATCCTGTTGTCATTTTGCTCAGTTTAATGACCAGTGTATTGTAAAACTTTGTTTTTCTGGCCAGCTTTCAACATGACATGACACGATATATAAATGTTTATCACTCGTGAAGGAACTGAAATAGCGTTGCACTTGTTTTTGTTTTGTTTTGTTTTTCAGATATGGTGTTATACGGTTCATTTTGTGTGTATGCCCAATGAACAGATGTAGCTGTTTTTCTTTCTTATGAATGAAAAGGGACAGACTGATGGGTTGGACCTCTGACACAAAAGCCTTGAGTGACTACGGTATTCTGAGGTTGTTTTGACTTTTGTTTGAAGTTTGCTGGATTTATTTTGTGACCACCCCCATTCAGAATGGGTTACATGTGTGACGTATTTATTAAACAATTACCTGAAAGATTCATGTGTTCAAATGCATTTTTTATCCAGCTTTAAGTGTATCTGAGAACCTAAGTTCCAGTAACAGTTGGGATGCGAATTGCTAGAAACAGAAAAAAAACATTGGTACATTCTGCTTAACCTATATTAAATTGAAAAAAGCACAAAATACAGTACTTTTGGAGAGTAAATGTATGCCTGTTTTTTACTTGATGCTTGCAGCACATTCCAAAAAGCTGGGACAGTTTTTAACAACACTCAATAATCATTTGGGGATTGAAGACACTGATTAATCCAGGTTTTACCTTGCTGGGCCTTTGCTGTCACACAAATTTTGCATCCACATTTTCAATAAGAGAGAGGTCTAGACTGGAGGCAAGCTTGTCTAGCACCCACAGTCATGCTGTTATAATGTGCAGAATGTGGCTTGGCATCATCACATTGAAATAAGCATGAACGTCCCTGAAAAAGACATCATCTAGAAGGCAGCATACATTGCTCCAGTATGTATATTTTTCAGCATTAATGTTGCCCTCACAGAAGTGCGAGTTACCCATGCCATAGCAACCAGTATACTCCCATAGTATGAGAGACCCTGGCTATTAAACTCTTGAGGTTTCCATTGTGCATAAGTCCATTTCAGATTTTCTCAATGATGTTGACATGTGACGTCCGCTGTGCATAGTACAGTCGTAACTTTCATTTAAATACAGGCCGAAGTGAATTAACAAGTCACTGCTTATTGTTTTTATTAGCATTTATTACCATACTTTCCCAGCTTTTTGGCATTTGAGGTTTCTAAAATAGGTTATCAATGCTTCAAAATGGATCTCCTAGATTTTATTAAGCTGATACTTAATATTCAGTAAGTCTTTGCAGTGACCCCTTATTCAGTTGGCTTCCATTTGTCTTTATGCAGTCTGGATTTAATCAGTAAGATAGTCTCAAAGCTGCTTCATTACACTGCCAGGCAATTTATCAAATGACAGAGGATCACAAAGATAAGGATGATGAGGTGACCCCAATTAAATCCAAGCCATCTATACTGTGGGCAGACAAGAATAGGTAGGCCTATTGGACATGGATAAGCAGAGGCTGTTTGGTGAAAGAACATTGCATTGCTGAGAGACTTTGGGGAGACAGGAGCCAAACAATGGAGAGCAGATCTTCTCCCATGGATGGGGACTTAAACACACCAACAAACATAGCGCCTACTATTTTCCCAAGAGTGGGCTACAGCATTCTTTCCTATCTCATGTTTATCAACACTCTTTTTTCTGTCTTCAATAACTCGCTAGTGATTGCTGTGATGCTGAAGAACAAACATCTTCTCAACGCCATGAACGTCATCATCCTCAGCCTCGCGGTTTCTGACCTCATGATAGCCCTGTGTGGCTCTGCGATCGTCACTATCACCAACTACAAAGGCTCCTTCTTCTTAGGTGATGAATTCTGCATCTTCCAAGGTTTTGCTGTGAATTATTTTGGTAAGTTCTAAAGGATTTTTAAATACCCTGATTCATGTGTCACTTCCTTGCTGAAAAAAAATTTTGTTGGTTCCTGGTGGTGTCCAATAGTATATAATGTAATAATGGTGTAGTGTGTTTTTTGAGTTGAAATCACAGTGTAAAGGACTCTAATGGTGTAACAGGTGTTCTTGGGCTGATTCCAGATCCATCTGATTTTTTTTATAATGGAATCTAAAAGTCCTACAGGAAAATAGTGGTCTCAAATGGAAACCATTAAGCCAATTACCTTTTGGAAGGTTTTAATCCAAATGATTCTAATGGTCTTTTTTCAGCATTAACTGGCTTTGCGGTTGCTTTTCGTTTTTGGTTGAAAGAAATTTCAGACTGCTCAGACTTGTGAAGCGGCAACTTTGTGTAACAGCAGCATCAGCAACTTGCTGAATTGAATTGTGGACCCTTAGCTGTTCCAGGTACAGTTATCAAAATAGATGCATGTAAGATTTGAGAGAATGTTTGGTCATTTTTGATGCCAAGTATTTAACCAATTATACCAATTATTTTATTTTAACCCTAGGTTTTTTTTAATTATATTTAGTATTATTCTTATTTACTTTTTTTAATAACTGTGGGCCAATGGATCATCACCAAGTGTTGTAAGAACAAAATTGCTATATTATCTTTTTTCTTTCCATTTTCATTGTAATATTTTCACAAAACTTCCCCAGAACCATGTGTGCATTATTCAGTTATTAATCTGAAAGGTGACTTCCACTGATTTTTCAACATTTCTGCATAATTAACTGATTAAGATCATTTAGAGTGGTTTGCTCTAAAGGAAGTTCTAGGGAAGTTGTAGAGAACATCACAAATTGTTCATAGTGGTGGTGATAGGAACCAGACAACTAAGGAGTTGAATGCCTCTAAAAGCTCTTCACAGGAAGTTAATTCATTAATTGATTATGAATATGTTGTTTAATGCCTGAGATACTGTTAATCTCAGTTTTGAACATAATTTTTAAAATTCATGCATGGTGGAGGGGTACATGCATGGCACATATATATGTGAATGGCAGATAACAGTCAGAATGTTTCTCCTCTAGGTTTGGTTTCTCTCTGCACTCTGACGCTGCTGGCATATGAGCGCTACAACGTGGTCTGTAAACCCATGGCTGGCTTTAAGCTGAATGTTCGCAAGAGCTGTCAAGGCCTGGCCTTCATCTGGCTGTTCTGCCTGTTCTGGGCTGTGTCACCACTGCTAGGCTGGAGCTCGTATGGTCCAGAGGGGGTCCGGACATCCTGCTCTCTAGGCTGGGAGGAGAGATCGTGGAGTAACTACAGCTATTTGCTCCTTTATACGCTCCTCTGCTTCCTTGTCCCCACAGCCATCATCATCTACTGCTACACCAACGTTCTGCTCTCCATGTGCAAGGTAGTGTTGACATAGTGAGTCTACAAAGCAGAGAGTGTATCAGCTGTGATGAAATTGCTAGTGTTTGTGAGATTTCAGATTAATGAAGAACAGAGATTTGGGTCATTCAAACTGTTCGTTTTAATCAAAGAATGTATTTGACTTGAATAAACTGTGTTACCACATGAAGAACACTGGGAAAAGTAATGTTCTGAATTTACTTGATTAAAATTAGCAGGGGAGCTTTTCATGCAGCCCCTCTAGTGGCTGTTTCATAGGATATTTTTATCAGAGTAACAAAGACACTGTTGGCCCTCTGTGTGTGAAATGTTATGACCTTATGTTGAGCTGCTAGCGAGCAATAAGGAGTTAAAGGGAAGTGGGGAGACCCCTTCCTGTGAAAATTCTCTCCACAAAAATGGCCTTGCTGAGATAAAACTGACAGCACAACTGCAGCTTTCTTTACATGAAAAAACTTTGTACAACTGCCATAATAGAAAATAGGATAAAAAGGCCTCAGGTGGCCCTGTTAGCGACGCTGTGCTGCTTTCAGAGTAAGCAGAGTTGGGTAGCAAAATGACAACTTCCCCTTGTAGAATTAATAAAGTATAACATCCACATTTCCATCAAAATATAGTCCATCAATGTTATTGAAGAAAACACTGCATGACTGAGGGGCCTCTAAAACAGGTGGAAATTGCATTTAATGGCTACTGTTTTACACACGAGTGCATAATTTCTACAGTTAATATGAAAATGAGAATTCATTCAATTATATTCAATGCGTGACTTTTTTCAGTGTGCATTTTTATGTTGAATGAAGGTTAATGGTTTATAGTGTGCCACAGTGGTGTAACTCAAAATAGATTATTAGGTAGGCCCATGAAAAAGGGTAGGCCAACTTGGTAGATACAATTTCCAAATGTGCCAATGTCCCACATTGTAATGTAGGCCTGTTCCTGACAGCAGTGCAGTCATAGGCAGAGCTTGGCACTCAGACAATAAATCAAACTTCATTATCTTAAAAAATTTGGTTTAATGAATATTCTTTCCTCATTTGACAGAGAAGGTCTTTGGTCAGTCTGGGTAGTGGCCCCAGGCCCACTCGTAGCTATGCCCCTAGTGTACCACAAGCAAATGAGGGTTATAAGAAAGAAACCCAGGCAACAAATGTCTTCATCTCTCATATCTGACATCTACTAATGTTCAGTGATGTTTCCATGAGAATAGCTCCTGGACTTCAGTGTTTTTTTCTTTTATCATAAATAAGATGTCGTGATGCCTCCCTGTGTCCTGTGTCTCTCTCTCCACAGCTGAATAAAAGTGTGGAGCTGCAGGGAGGTAAATCCCATGTGGAGGAGAACAGGCGAGCTGTTAAAATGGTTCTGGTCATGATTGGAACGTTCTTCACCTGCTGGTTGCCCTACACTGCCATCTCCATGGTGGTGGTGGTGGACCCTGAGCTCCATATCCCTCCTCTAGTGGCTACCATGCCCATGTACTTCGCCAAAACCAGCCCTGTGTACAATCCCATAATTTACTTCATGACCAACAAGCAGGTGTGTTATACTGAAATCAAAAGTACTACAGTGGGAATAATATCAAAGCCATGCAGTTTATCCTCTTGTTAATATCAGCACTCATCAGCACTAGATATGAATCAATATTGATATGAATATTAACCTTTTTAACCCTTTACAGCATGAATTCTGAAATATAAATACATTTTTTATCATTTTCTTTAGATTCTTTTTAAAAATTGCATTTTGCATTTTGTTGCCATATGGCAACAGCATGCACCAACATACCTACAATCTGCAATAATGCAATGGGACTAAGCCAGTGCACTGCCTTTGGGTATCTGCCACTTCTGTCATCCAGGCTTGAAAACAAGTCATGTACATAATTGCCATTTATGCATAAATGTTTTAAGAATACAGAAAAGTATGAAGTATTGCAATTCTGTTGTCACATGCTGTAGCCATATGGTAACAAATATAAAAACATATGATATCTAAACTGGTTTAATATAGGAAAAAGAAAGTGTAACTTCCCACAGATTGTGTTTAAATTTTTGTAGGTTTTCAATTCTGTGAAGTTGTATCATATTGTACACCTACATCTGGAGCTACAATCTATATACCATATATGAATATAGAGTATGAAATTTAATATACTGGAAACAAACATTCATCCATCTGTTTCTTTTTATCACTGACTGCTGTGATGTGTTCAGTTTCGGGACTGTGCTCTGGAGGTGTTGTCCTGCGGCCGCTACATCCCCCGTGGCAGCTCGGACAGCCTGGAGATGGGCTCCTTACGGACGAGTCGGGTCAGCATAGACAGCAGAATAACGCCCGCCTGACCACACACTTGACACAATGCATTAATAACTAATTAATCACTCCCCACTGTTAAAGTTCAAAACATTTTTCATCAAAATTATTCAGTGAAGATAATCATTTTCATTATAGTTTTAACTGATTCCATTTCAGTCAGCTGAAACTGTTGAAACAGGATTTATATCCCTGTATGCTGTATTAATCACTTTTCTTTTCACTGTATACATCAGTATTTTATTCAGTAAACTTTCTCAGTTTAATTACATTCTGTAGTTGTGTTGTGGTTTTTGCAGGTGGCCTGGAACAGTTCAGCGCTGACTGTAGTTCTGGAGGGATTTTGTTTACTTTTTTATTTTTAAGAAAATAATGCAGTCTTACAGTAAAGCAACATATGTAATATCACACATTACTCATTAGAAGTCCAAAACATGGTACAGAATTGTGGGTCTTATGTATTGTAGATCCTCAGATATGCTTTAAACAAAAGGAAATGTGTGGGTTATAAGACGGGTTACGTTTTCAGTGCATAGCCCATCTGAGTAAAAAGTGCTGGGTTTATACTGGACATTGTGGCAGTTTTAACAACATGGCTGTGACTCTTGTTTTCTCATCTGAAGTGAGTAATTTCACACTCTTTGTGGAGAAAGCAGCAAATGAATAAAATTAAATAAGCTTTTGATTTTTAAATAAAATCTTCAGCACTGGGTATATGTGATATGTCTGTTATGTAACAGGATGGAGACAGTAAGAGGTGAAATGTAGATTTGATGGATGTAGGCTAATATAAATCGCCTGAAGGATCAGAGTGAAAAGTCTAATCCCAGATTTATTAACATGCAGTACATGGACATCAAAGAGTCTCTCTCCACAATATGATTAATGTATTGAGTAACTGTAACAAATAATGAGAATAGCTTTAGGACATTGTTAGTAGTAATAATTGTAGTAATAATAGTAGTAATATATTGCTACCAATAAAAATTATTAATATTACTACTACTAGAATGTGTAGCTAGCTACAATTTAGCTACATTTCCAGAAAAAGTAGTGGCTACTTTGTAGCTATTTTTGAAAAGTAGTGCACTACTTTTTAGCTACTTTCAAAGCGTGATTGTCAGAATGTTTTGTATCTCCATGTGACACACCAAACAAGCCCAACTGAAAATGTGAACAAGACACTGCATTTGAAAAGCTGCATATATCACCAAAAAGTGAGTTTAAGTGTAACCAACAAATCAAACTTACACAACCAAAGGCGATATCCAAGAAAAATTTAGACTAAGTAAAGTCAACAAAAATACCTGAATACAAACTAAACGATTTTGTGCAAAGCATTGTCAACTGTTTAAATAAAACTGCTCCAATTTAAACAAGATAGCAAGATATACACGCATGACATTCAGAGTCCTTTGTTAAACTTCAGCAACACTTCAGCCTCAAAATCCTCATCAGTGACGCTGGCTCTGTTTGGGGTGAGAATCAGGCCTGAATAATCTCTCCACTGCTGCAGAGCTGCTGCGGCTCCACAGCAGAACTAGATTTTTAGATAAAATAACATAAAATAATCCTCCTTTGTTGTAAAATCGTTATAACACACAGTTTTCATATAATTATAACTGTTAATGTATAACTGCTAATTCACCAACCTTTAACACTGAAGACGCGCAGACTGCTGGTCACATAGCAATGCAGATAACGAAAAGGCAGAGAGAGAGAGATTTAAGACGAACATCGATAGTTTGGAGACTAACAGACTTATTCGCATATATAATTACTCAGTGGATTTCCTCATACGTTTAATCTGCAACAAGTTGCAAAGCTGAAGTCACTTCTCATTCACCAGCTTCTCATTCGAATTTTCCCATTCCACCTTAAATGGCGCAGTAGTACATTCTACGTTTGAGGTGGAACAGGACAATTTGAACGAAAAGCTGGTGAATGAGAAGCGACTTCAGCCTCAGAAAAGTCGAACATTGAGAGACATTTTAAAAGAAACTCGCGGAAAAGTTTGAGTTTGAAGTCTGCGCTTTCATTTATATTTGTTAGCCTATCTGAGCACATTAGCACACTGTGACTTATGTACAGCCAAGATGGTAAAATGGACATAAAATGTTGTGGCTCCCAAAGTGGTTTTATTTTTGTTGAAAGGACAAAATGGCTGTTCTTAACATTTCAGTTACCGACCCCTGAGCTAAGCCTACTAGTACGGAGTGATCAGCGTGTGACCGTTTGCTTGAACTGTGCGCAGCTTAGTCAGGATTGCACAGTCGCCTCCAGCCCAGTTAACGACCACGTTCTATGGTTCAGATTTTGCGTGGATCGTCTGAAGCTTGTAGCAAAATTGTTGCAAAAATTATCGCTATAGCTACACAAAAATTTGTGTAGCTAAAAAAATTTATTTCTACAGCTATTAGCTACATTTCATCAAACTGTAGCGGCAACAGCTATTAGCTACAAAAATATGTAGTTAGCTACAAATAGTAGCACGCTACTTAGCTACTCCCCCATCCCTATAAATTATATTATATACACTGATCAGGCATAACATTATGACCTTGTTTCTATGCTCGTTGTCCATTTTATCAGCTCCACTTACTATATAGGTGCACTTTGTAGTTCTACAATTACAGACTGTAGTCCATCTGTAGTCCTGCTGTGTCTGACCCACTCAGACCAGCGCAACACACACTAACACACCACCACCATATCAGTATTACTGCAGTGCTGAGAATGATCCACCACCCAAACAGTACCTGTTCTGTGAGGGTCCATGGGGGTCTGACCACTGAAGAACAGGGTAAAAGGGGGCTAACAAAGTATGCAGAGAAACAGATGGACTACAGTCTGTAATTGTAGAACTACAAAGTGCACCTATAGAGTAAGTGGAGCTGATTAAATGGACAATGAGCGTAGAAACAAGGTCATAATGTTATGCCTGATCAGTGTATATAATATAATTTATAGGGATGGGGGAGTAGCTAAGTAGTGTGCTACTATTTGTAGCTGGTCATAATGTTATGCCTGGTCAGTGTATAATAGTAGTTATGATCGTAATTATTATATATTACTGCTAAAAATTACTAGCCTAAGTAATAGCATTGCTATTATTATTAATATTACTATTATTATTAATAGTAGTATTAGTAGCATTATTATTAGTACTATTATTAGTATTAGTAGTAGTAGTGGTAGTAGCATTGCTCTTTTGTATTATTATAATTATCATATTATTATTATTATTATTATTATTATTATTATCTATTGTAGCTTTATAAGCAGACTATCCACCTATACATAAGAATAAGAACCTAGTCCTATCCCCTCTCTGTGTGTAATTAATTTTGCACCAGGATGGATATAAATATCGGCTAACGAGTGAAGTTTTACTAACAACTATTCCCTGATGCTCTCGGCCTGGCAGGGTGTTAATTACACAGAATGGGCCTGTGGACGTCAGCAGAGCGGATAAGCTGCTCTGTGTGAGGGTAAAATGAAGCAGTCGTGTTCTGTGGACGTACAAAGAGCAACGGAGCCGCCTTTTCTCCGCTACCCTGTGAACATGGCACTGACAGAATGGGCCTAAAACCGCGCGCGCCGTTCTGGAGATGAACGCTAACTTCAGCCAGGTGGACGAGTGGGGCGCGTGGGCAGGTAAAGTGGAGTTGACCTTCGTCGTGGCCGACTACGCGGTGCTGCTCGTGACGTTTCTGCTGGGCTCGGCCGCTAACGTGTTCGTGGTACACGCGGTGCGCCGCCACAAGTCCCTCCAGACGGCCACCAACGCGCTTCTGGTCAACCTGGCGCTCGTGGACCTGCTGCGCTGCGCCACGGACTGCCCGCTGCTGCTGCTGATCGTGCTGCGGGCGCGGGGGCGCGCGGATCTTGGGCAAGCGCTGTGCAGCGCGCAGCTCGCCAGCTTCTCTCTGAACTGCGGCGCGCAGCTGCTCACCGTGGCGGGAATCAGCGTCGAGCGGCACCGGGCCGTCACGAAACCTTTCGAGGGCGGCGGAGGCGGCGGCGAGCGGCGGAAGCGTGTGGCCGCGTGGATTCCGTTCACGTGGGCCGCCCCTGCCCTCGCGTCGGCGCTGTGCGCGCGCTTCGCCCGGGACTCGCCCGTGTACTTGAAGTGCAGGGGAGTGCGCGCGTACGACCTCCGCACGTTCGACTCGTTCGGCCGGTACGTTTTGCTGCCCGCGTGGTGCGCGTGCCTGGCGGTCATAGCCGTGTGCTACGCGCACATTTTCATTGTGGTGAGGGCGCACAGCAGGAAGGTATTCGATAAAGGCGTGTTCCTCCCGCCCGGGAAGAAAATAGGCGAACAAAAAGAGAAGAAAGGCTCGGGGAACGTGAAAGGGAACGTGCCGATCGCGCATGAGCTTGATAAAACCCAATTAGTACCCGAGATAAACGGAGCAGTGCAGACCGTGTTGCCTGACGGTGGTCACGACGAGCCCGTTAACGCTCGAGCAAGTAATGAAGGTCAAACTCCAACCCCCCAAGACAGTGTGACCTTAGTGTCTGAGCTGCGCGAGAACGCGCCTGAGCTCATAGATGTGGAGCGCGGACAGAAGCCGACTTCAGAACGCGCGTCCCCGACGCCCGGGGGCACTCAGAGCGCGTCAGGGACGCACCAGAGCGCGCACGAGAACGCTCCAGAACTCACAGATGTGGAGCGCGGAGAAGAGCAGACTGTAGAATGCGCGTCCCCGGCGCCTAATGGCACTCAGAGTGCGTCCGAGAGGCACCAGAACGCGCACGAGAACGCTCCAGAACTCACAGATGTGGAGCGCGGAGAAGAGCAGACTGTAGAATGCGCGTCCCCGGCGCCTAATGGCACTCAGAGTGTGTCCGAGAGGCACCAGAACGCGCACGAGAACGCGCCAGGACTCACACATGTGGAGGGCGATGACGCGTCTCCGACCAAAGATAAGAGCGCGAGCGAAAACGCGCGTGAGAACGGGCACCAGATCGCGAGCCTAGAAGCGCACGAGAGCGCGCATCAAGATGCACCGCAGGATGCGCATCAAGACGCGCACGGGAACGCGCATCAAAATGCGCATGAAGACGTACAACAAAACTCGCCCGAGAGCGCGCCCCAGAACGCACCCGAGAGCGCGCCCCAGGCTGAGGAGGTGGTGGGAGAGGTGTGCATGATGCCGCCGTCTTTCGCCAACAGGGACAGAGCAAACAAGAAGAAGGAGAGTAAACTGGCCAAGCGCTCCGGATACATCATCTTCACCTTCCTCGTCTTCTGGCTGCCGCTGATCGGGACGATAGTGCTGAACGTCTTTCTGGACAGAAAAGAGAGTCCAGGCGTAAGTCCGAGCCGTTCATCTGTAAACAGCCTCAGTATAGATAATAAATAGGAGTCTCTATAATAGAAATGGCGACTCTGCGGTCATAAACACAATAATATCTGTCTGCAGAACCGCAGAGCCACAGTTTCGCTCCAGCAGGTTCAAGCCAGCGACACGTGTTTCGGTTTTTCTTAGCGGGTTTTAGGCTAATCAGCATTTCAGCTCGTTTGGATTTCCGGTTAATTTGTGATAAATTAGCGTTGGGCTAACGTCATATTTTACGCTTTAGGCTGAAACAAACTTTGTTTTAAACGCATATAGAGATTCACAGGGTCAATATTACACGAGCTTTATGTGTCCTGGGTAAACTAATGGGTTATGTCGACATATAGCTCAGTTAACTTACCCTCAGTACGGGAGCTTTATGTGTACACTTACATTACATGTGCAGGAATAAAACTTTGCCTTAAGCAGGTTTAAACTGAGAATAATATTAAGCTTTAGGCTAAAACTAACTTTTTTTTGAACGTATCCCTGCTGAAAACACCTAGAGAAACCTTTAAGTGTTTCTTTTGGTTTCTGGTGGTTTTTAAATAGGAGTCTCTATAATAAAAATGGAGACTCGTATATTGGCCACGGTCTCCCTTCCTGAATGGTAATATGCATAGAGACACCTACAACCAGCACAGTCACCGTTTACATCAGAGACGCTATAAATGAGGATGGCTGAAACATGAATGGGACGCTCGAAAGGCTCAACTTTCCTATGAGGACTTTGTTTACATGGCACAATCGCGCTGTCCTACTGCGCATGCGTTCCGCTGGAGTGAAACTGCGTGTGTAAATCTGCGGCTCTCAAATCCTTTTTGTCATAGACACTGTTTAATCTGTCAAAACTGACACCTCTTGCTTCTTAACCCTAATATTTCAGGAGGACAGCGTTCAGGAGCTGGAGGTTCTTGCGGTGTGCATCGCCTGCATGACCTCCCTGACCAACCCCATCATTTACGCTGCGGTCAACCCGCAGTTCCGCAACGAGTTTTACTACCTGAAGAACAAATGCAAAGCACTGTTTGGTAAACAGTGACATGAAAAATGGAAACTTTTATCCAAATATGCCAAACAGTGGTCCTGTTTGGATATGCAAACAGATTCACTTCTGATGTAAATCCGTGCAGGAGTGGCAAGAATTATTACAAGATAGAAGACAATTTCAGTTTTTCAGTTATAACATCTCTGTCCAAAGAAAAACATCTCAAACACAGTAACTTTACAGGAGAAGGCACAAACTTTCTTAACTTTTAATGTAAGTTAATGTAAAGAGGTTTTATTCCAAGTCATTTTGGAGCATTTCTATTCAAACATTCATCATAACATTTTCACAGAATGTGCAGGACAGCTGCCGTGTTTACAAAATAAAAATGAACCAAAATGAAGATGTTTATTTCTGGACAACAATGATAAACTTGTCATATTGTCAATCAGTTGCATTCATTTCTGAAATCCATGGATCTCACATGAGTAGGTGAAGAGGGCAGCTGCATCTCAAAGGCTGAATTTCAAATTTCTGCAGGCTTGAAAAGTTAAAATAAACACTGAGGTTTATGTCTGAGGCTCTGTCCCAAAGTAACCACAGTAAACATCCTCTTTTAGTCTTACATCAGCTTTATTTTTACATATTTGACATTTTGTTTTGTAAGCAATTCAACATCAGACACAGAAATGAATGAAAGGAGTTGTCAGTTGGGCCAGTCAGCATCAAAGCACAGATAAACACCCGTTGCCTCTGTTTGAAATGAAATATGCAGCACTGCTTCGCACCTCTCTGACTTTTTAAATCTTCCCCTTTAACATTTTCTTCAGTTTCATATTTACAGACCACAGTTTACTTAAATTTGATAATTTATTTATGTATTTAATTGAAGAGCAAAAATGTCATTACGCACAGTTATTGTTTTATGGTTGTATGTTTGTAATCGTCAAATAAATAAACATTATAAATATGTGTTCAAGTATTTGATTACGTAAACGCATAATAACCGTGACGTGGAGGATGTTTTTCATGAGCAGCAGGAGGCCTTACAGAGTCTTTTAATACTGCTTGACACAGAGAGTGAGAGAGAGACATGAAAAACTATCAGCTATTTCATGGTCCTACTTTGTAAAATATCAGTTAAAAATGTTACAATTTCACTCAACAGGAAAACAAACAAACAATATTAATAGTGAATTATTACATTACAATGATTACTGTAATCCAATAACATACACAACATAAAAGTAGGTTATTTACTTATTTATTTATTGTTTGTTTGTGTGTTAAGAAATATTTATATCTCTTTCTTTGACAATGTTGTTACATAGTGGACAGAAAAACATGTTTTTCTAAAGCACAGGCATCATATTGCTTAGATAACCTGGGCCCAATCCCATTTCCCCCTTGCCCCTACCACTTACCCCTTACCCCTCCGTTTTGTGCGTTCATGCCCTGGGGGCTAGGTGTGTCCCGATTTTTTTGTTGAGATAGAGGGGTAGGGCGAAGTGCTAGGGCTACATGGCCCTCCAAACTGAGGTTTTTCAGAGAGTCACTCCAGAGTGTTATGACAAAAAAAAACAAAAAAACCGACAAGATGGCTGCACAAGCAACCAAAGAAACCCACAAATGTGAGAATTTCCTCAGTTAAACAATAACCACTGTATTGTTTTAGTTCAATGTCATTTAAATGTATTATGGTCATTTTCTACATAACAAGTATAAAAAATCGCTAATAGTATGCTAATGCCTCGGTAGCCAGCTGGCTAAACTACCCGTTCCACCTTAAATTTGCGTTCTATGTTTGTGCCGTATGTTCTTGTGATGAATTTTCCACATAAACCAATCACAGCTGGCCAGTGGGCTTGACTAAACAGTATTTTCTGCTTACAAAAGGCTGGTCAACAGTGGTCATGAAAAAGAAAAATCCAAGCCCACTAACCCACTGAAGCTTTTAAGAAAATCCAGCAAGCTCTGATGCATTTCGGTAAAGTGCTTTTCATTTCGTATCATACAGAATACGGTCAACAGTTTTTTCAGAATAGTGCAAAACATCTCATCTCTGTGCTTTAGACAAATCAGTATTAATAATTAACAATATTGCAGCCTAAAAGAGCACAATCTGAGAAGATCAAGTGAACTAATAGTACCTAGATGCCATTTATTTTCGTAAAGCTGTAAGTTTGCTCTTCATGTTACAATCAGCAGCAGTTAAGAATGTAAAGATGTGATTAAGTAAATTGTCAAATGCAGAATTCGCTTTTAAAGTGGGTTTGGTTCAGTTTGGTTCAGTGATGGTGAGGATAAGAGCAGCTCAGCTTTCACCTCCTCAACAACCAGCGGGAGACGGAGCAAAAAAATAGAGTGCAAGGAGGATGAGATACACAACCACCAGAGCAGTACCTGAGAGAGAGAGAGAGAGAGAGAGAGAGAGAGAGAGAGAGAGAGAGAGAAGACGAGAAAAAAAGAGGGAGGGACAAAGTGAAAGGAGAGTGGGAGAGAGAGAGAAGGTGGGGGAGGGAGAGCGAGAGAGTGAGAGGGAGGGAGGGGAAGAGAGTGGGAGAGCAGGAGGAGCGAGTGGAGAGAGAGTAAGAGAGAGAACAATGGAGAGAGGGAGAAAGTGAGAGAGAAAAAAGAAGGAAAGGAGGAGAATAAGGGGGAAAGAGAAAAGGAGAGACAGAAAGAGGGGGAACAGAGAGATAGACGGAGAAAGTGAGAGAGAGAGAAAGATAGGAAGAGATGGAGAAAAGGTGAGACAGGGAAGAGGGAGAGAATGGGAGAGTGAGAGAGAGGGAGGGGAGAGAGAATGAGTGAGACGGAGGAGGAAGGAGAGAGAGGGAGAGTGTGAGAGAGAAGGAGGGGAGAGAATGAGTGAGACGGAGGAGGAGGGAGAAAAAGGGAGAGTGAGAGAGAGGGAGGGGAGAGAGAGAATGAGTGTATGGGAAGTGAGAGAGAAAGTGTGTGTAACAGAGAGAAAGAGTGCAATGGAGAGAAGGAGAGAGAGTGTAAGAGAGAGAGTGAGAGGGAGAGAGAAAGGGAGAGCGTGGGAGAGAGGGAGAGAGAGTGCAAGGGAGAGAGAGTGTGTAAAGGAGAGAGTGTAAGAGAGGGTGTGTAAAGGAGAGAGTAAGAGAGAGAGTGAGAGGGAGAGAGAAAGGGAGAGTGTGGGAGAGAGGGAGAGAGTGCGAGGGAGAGAGAGAGTGTGTAAAGGAGAGAGAGTGTAAGAGAGTGTGTAATGGAGAGAGAGTGTAAGAGAAAGAGAGAGTGCGAGGGAGAGAGAGCAGGAGAGAGTGAATGTTCTGACAGTTTCAACTTCTTTGCAAACCTCAGAAAAACTGAATATCATGACACACAGTGTGTATCTTGTTAAGTGTCACAATATTATATTTGTACCACATCGTCCACCACTAGCATAAAAAATGGAACATAAACCCAATAAAACCCACCAAACCCTATAGCATATATTACCGATACATACAACTGACCAACCTGCTCTGTCAATATACTCTGACCATCATTAGGGAGAAGCTCAGTGCTCAGACTACACTGCACATCCTCCAGGTCAGCCACTCTTACCCTGAAAGTAATCAGACTTTCCGTCCATGAAGATGTAGTTGACGATGATGACACTGAAGATGCTGGCCCACAGATGCAGGTCACTGAAGATGAGCACAAAGCCAACATCCTGTTCAAGAGCAGAAACAACACACTCAATTAAACACAGGTCAGTCACGTCTAAAACATACAGCAATGAAGTAGCTCAAAATATCCTAGTGGGAATATTTCCAGAACTGTTCAGTGGCTGTTGAAATGATACTTTCTTTAACTCCTTAAACTCTAAGGCCCTGTGTGTCAATATACACTTCCACTCCTCACTCTCATAACGAGGGAGGAGGGCAGCACAACCCAACGCGGGGTAAAATGTAACATGGCATTTAATGTAGTTGAAGAGGTTTCAGTAGAATCTGCTCCTGATCACTTTCTTGTAATCCACAGCAATGTAGTCTGTGAATTTTGACAGCTATCTAGCCAAAATTCCTCGACCATTCACACTGATGACTGTTCCTTTATCATGAAAGTTTTCTTTCACTGTAAATGTTTTTAAATGAATAAGCAGTGTGTAAAATCAAACCTGTATTATATATTATTCTATTATATTATATATAATCATCCTTTTGGTGGTTGAAGCACAATTTTGAAGAATATAAATAATTCACAGTGAGGGCTAGCCGGGATACAGAACAGCCTCCACACGGCAGGGTCAATTTTAACATAGTTTAGTTTTACAACTAAGCCTCCCAAAAACAAAGTCCAAGCCCCGCCTAATAAAAATTCAAGCGATTAATTGTTGGGAATTTTATCACAGACTCATCAAAACTTACTATATACGTAATATTAATAAATATTAAAATGTCATATGCTGATATTTCCTGTTCCATTTTGTGATAAAAAAAAAATATGTGTTTGACTCTCACAAATTTAACTAATCATATTTATTATTTATTTATTGGTTGGAAAACTTGTTTGGTTGAAGCAACACAGAAGCAGACTGTTACAATTAAACCCTCGTATGGGGTAAGTTGTAATATTTGTATTTCCTTCACTCAAATGCAGCAGCAAGAATATTAACACGGACTGGAAAACAACATAACATTAGACCAGTTTTAGCATCTCTGCACTGGCTGCCTGTTTCCTCGATCATAAAAGTTTACTACTAGTTTTTAAATCTTTTAATGGTTTAGCACTTTCATACATTTCTGAGTGCTGATAGATGATGCTCCAAATCGAGCTTTAAGACCATCTAGTGCTGCTTCTCCATATTCCACACATGAAACTTACAAAGAGAGGCAGTGTTTTGTTTTTATGCACCAAAGATCTGGAACACATTACCAATAAACATCCATCAGACTCCTTCTGTCAATGTTTTTAAAAACAGCTAAAAACATTTTTCTTCACTTGAGCATTTTACTAGTTTTTTTTGTACTATATATTATACTATACTTTTATCTTGTGCTCACTGTAATTATTAATATACCCCTTTTCTGCTATTTATTATTTATTATTTTTGTTTTTGTCTTTTTTCTTTCCTTCCTCTGTTGTGTTTACTTCGTATTGTGAAGCACTTTGAGTTGCATTTTTAATGTATGAAATGTGCTATATAAATAAACATTATTATTATTATTGTTATTATTATTTTTAGCTCAATTGTTCATTAACAAATTACATAACAAATAATAATAGAATACACTGGCCACATGAAAGACACTTGTTTTTAAGTCTGAGCCCAATAACTCACACTGAAGCTTTGAACGTCTGTTAAAACATTAAATAAACAATCTGCTTTTCAAAATTTCTATTGGTTGTCATGGAATGTTCACAAATTGTGTATAAAAAGATTATTTAAAACATTAGAACATTAAAAAATGAATTTTCTTATTTTCTAATGACAATGATGTCTTACAACACGTCCAGTGTGAATATTAAATGAATTATTTTAGGTGATAATTGATGTAGCGTTAATTAACCATTGTGGATGAGTACGGTGCCGCTGAGGCAGCTGTGCTGGACTGGTTGAGGAAGTGACTCACGTAAAAGGCGTTGAAGAGGATCAGTATGGGGATCTGAATCATGCACACCTGCACCGCAATACAGCTCCCCACCTCCAAACTGCAACAGAACAACACCAGAGCAGTGAGACAGCTGTGTGAGGGCAAACAACCACACACCCTCTATAGAGAAGAACATGTGGAGAATTAATGCCACATCTAATCTACACACCCAGAAACAAAAGCAGAACCAAGATGAAAGGCTGAATTGTTAAAGGAGGAACAAAGAAACCACGTAGAATCATGTTTCTGAATCATGTTTCTGTTACATAATGATAAATATGCACTTGGTCTGTGTGGTTGAGTTAGAGACCCACCTCAGGCTGATGTTATTCTGCAGAGCAAACTGAATCCCGTTAACTATCTCTGGGATTTCGGGGACCATGGCCAGAATGGTCACACCTATAAAATACTGAAAACACACATGCAAAGAGTCAAATAAAGATGATGGCAAAGATAAGAATGTGGAATATGTCAGTGTGTGTCTCCAATGCATACTGTTCTACGCAAAAGTTTGGGCGACCCTGGTCAAATGATGTTTCGTTTGTTTTCTAAGTGAAAATAAGTTCAAAACGTCCTCTACAGAGAACGCACTGCACTTTTTAATGCACAATTACTGTTTATTTATTGAATTTTTCACACTGGAATATATTAAAGATAATTGTGGCCTGTGCAAAAGTTATGGCACAGTTTTAGATTTTACGTTTTATTTTTTCCAATATGTTAAATTCTGTAAACAAACAGAAACTGAGCACTAATATGTGTAGAAAAATGTAATATTTAAGTTTCTTCCCTGTAGAGGATGTGGTAACTTACTTTCACTTAGAAAATCAACAAAACATGTAATTTGACCAGGGATATTCAAACTTTTGCATGCAACTATACATAACAGATGTTGTGATGATTGAGATCAGGCTGCATGCCCTATGCACGTGAAGACGTAGGCATGTGTGATGAGAGTGTGTTACATGCCTGGCTAAGAGTGTGTGTTTGTGAGTGTAAGGCCAGAAACATACCAGACGCATGAACAAACCACAATACTAAAAAAGTTGGCATGGTATGTGAAATGCAAAAACCAGACAGAAAGTAGTGATTTGTAAATCCACTTTGACATGTTTTCAAAGGAAAAGAGTACAACGATAAGATATTTAATGGTTTACCTTATAAACTTCAATATACACTCATTTTGAAATTGACATCTGCAAAACGCTGGGACAGACTCTATGGTGGATAATATCATTAAATTATCATTAAAAGATTACCCTTTTAATGAAAAACCATTGTAAATAAACTGAATCTGGTCACTGCATCCATAAATGCAAGCTAAGACTGCACTATGCACGGTGGAAGCCATATTGTCAACAACAACCAGAAATTCTCTGCGCTCAAGCTTAGCTAAAATGGTCTGATGTACAGTGGAAGCATGTATTATCAACCTTACAGATTAGTTATGGAAATAATGGACGTTGCATTCTCCAAGCCAAAGAAGAAAAGGGCTATCTAGATTGTTACCAGCACAAATTTCAAAGGCCAGGGTATCTCATTATATTATTAAGGCCAATGGCATGGGTAACATGCACATCTATGAAGGCACCATTAAAGTTGTCGGAAGAAAACCTCATATCTCCAAAATGGTAATGTTACAGGAGAAGGAAAAAACATACTTTACTTTTGATGTAAGTCAATGGAACCAGGATTTTTTCCAAGTAATTCTGGGTCATTTCTTTTAGTCCATTCATCATGAAATTTACAAACACACAGCATGTCTGCGTGATCAGTTTAGGTGCTGGACTGGCCTGCCCACAGTCCAAATCTGTCTCCCTTTTAGAGTGTCTGTAAACTGGATCTGCTATTACTCCTATAACCACAGCAACAATGAATACTGAGGAGTGTGTGTTGCTTTACTTGTTGCACAGTCTTTCACGTTTAGCCTCATGCCCACTAAATGCACCATCTTTCTGCAATTCTCAGAATTTTGCTTGCATTGCATTATGAATTTTAAGCTTACAGATGTTAGAATGCAAGGAAATCAAATTTCATGTAGCTCGAAGCCTTCGCATACTTGCATGAAGTATGTTTCTGCCTTAAAAGCTGCATGCAGCCGAGTGATGCTGGGGTGGTTCTGTATGGGGAGGATGTGCTCTGTGTGTGTGTGTTATGTGCCTGAGAGATGCCGGGGTGGTTCAGTATGGGCTGAATGTGCTCTGTGGTCAGGTCAGCGCAGACGGACATCAGCACTGTGGCGATGATCAGGATGAGCAGAGCTCTCCAGCGAGACCAGTGCACCACTGCATCCAGATGACCCGAGGCTACACACGAACACACACACACACACACCTGTACATCAAGTTTTTACAACAAAGGACCAGCGATCAGTGACTGGACCTTTTATTAATGACTGTTAGCCCCTTCTTTCCTAGGCTTATTACACCCTACATACTACAATGCAAACTGGCTGCATCATTTGGTCACACTTTAACTGAACCCTGCTACATAACATTAACATAACCATGCCATAAACATGTCATAGAAGATTCAATATGCTGTCATATAAGTGTCATGTTATCGTTACTGTTAATTGTCATGGCATATGTTGCAATGATTAACGTCACGGTGGCTAACTACAGTACACTTAGCACGTGATAAGCTGTTATGACATCAAACACTATGCCATCTGTATTGACAATCACTGCTAATGGTAACATGGCAGCGTTATACTACTGAACAAAATCTGCTATGACAACTCATGACCATGTATGACATCTTCCATTCCACGTTTTTGGCACAGTAATGTCAATGTTATGCAGTAGGGTTCAAATAGCGTGTTACCAGTTATGCTTAGGTTACAGAAGTGTGTAACAAAGGTACGGTTCTGTTGGCAGCTTCTGGTCATTTAAGGCATTTAACCTTTAAAACACCTATAAGGTCTATTATTCAGTAATCTCTAAAAATGATTTGTGTTAACTACAATGAAACTAATTTGTCAATGCGAATGAGGAATTAACACGTGGGTCCACATGCAGTTTAAAGGGTTAAGATGTAGAAAAGAATCTCACCATGACTATCACCAATGTGGATGTCATAGATGTGTGAGTGGGTCTTCAGAGTGAAGAGAAGGCCGATGATGTACGACGCCGGCAGCAGAACTGACACTGTGTACACTAGCGGTCTAAAACACAGAAACATTTGTGAAAATCCACAGACCACAGTGAGGAGAAACACAGCACTTAATTCTAGGTTGCAATACTAGCAGTGCAGTAGATGATATGTTGGTAGCAGGATGCTTACTTACTCTATATGGCTGTAAAACAGGTTGTAGTTGTTTTCACTCTGAAGAAATACAGTGGTTCAGTAAGTATAAGCCTATCACCAGAATGGTACACAGATACATATACCAAGTAAACAGGCCTGTGCCGGTAACAGAGTCCTCTTGTTTGGATACCCATGTGGAAAATAACAATTTTTGGTGGTAATTTTGGGACAGTTTCTAATACTGAATCCTGTAAGCAAGCACAGTGTGCAGTGTGTGAGTTGAGGCTTAATCTTTGTAAAATAAAACAAATCTAGTTCAACAAAGCTGTGGTTGTAGTAACCTGTCATCTTTAATTTGGCCATGAAACTGTACTGAACATGAACTTTACCATCCAAGGCCTGAGGCCTCCTTCTCTGAAGCCAATCCGCCCAAGGCCATTTGAAATGGCCTGTTTCACCTGATTGTATGAGAACTTAAACATAATTTTCCTTATATATTTTTCCCTGAAGCTTTTTCATCTGATGTCTGCCTATCTAGAACAAGCTCATCTATGTTAGGTACAATAAATGTGGTATTACTGAAAGGATATCACATTATCCAACAGGTTTAAATGTTTCATCATGTTCATGTGAGGGAATAATAGTCTGTTCTTATGGTTCGAGTGAAATAAATCAGTAACAGAACGATAAGTAAATGAGTTTTTGCCATCATTGTTAACACAGTAACTCTGTTAACCATCACCAGGCACAAGCCTAGGACAGAAAGAAACGGCACCATGAAAATGGCATTTTCAATTGGTTTGAAAGTATCTTACCAGGTCATAGTGACAGTTTTTGCAAGTGAATGACCCATTGCTGCTGTTGGTCCCAGAGGAGTTTGTGCAGTCTTCACACACTAGATTCCCATAGGCTTTAGAAAACAGTGTGGGGGCAAACACACCTGCCGCAGAAAAACAAACAGGTCAATTAGATTAGCAGTAAACACACAGTGTTGATAAATAAATGTACGTTTGAAGATGGCATAGTGTCGGTGATCACTGAAAAAAGTGCATATAATGAGAAAGAAAGGAAGAGAAAATGGTAAAGTAAGAGAGAGAGTGTGGGTGTCAGAGAGAGAGAGAGCACATAGGACAGAGATAATGAGAGACAGAGTGCAAGACAAATAATATAGATAGTATCATTTGCTCTCAGAACAGTCTAAATTTGTTGTGACATGGTTCAAATCAGGTGCTAGAAACATTCCTCAGAGATTCTGGTCCATCTGGACAGGATTGCATCATGTAATTGCTGCAGATTTGTCAGCTGCACATTCATGCTGTGAAACTTCTACCATGTTTCCCCAAAGGTGCTCTACTAGGTTCAGATCTGGTGACTGTAGAGCCCATTGAGGAACAACCACATGGAGCCAGTCATACTTTGTGATCATGTTAGAAGTAGCCAGAGAAAATGGGTAAATAGTGGCCATAAAAGGATGCATATCAGCAACAATACTCAGGATTTTTCGCAAACAACACTGGACTGGTCCTCAGCGGCCCAATGTGCGCCAGGAAAACATTCTCCAGACCACTGATCTGCTAACACAAGGCAGGCTGAGTTAGAGCCGGGCGATATAGCAAAAATATTACGTCAAGATGCTTCTAGATATTGTCACGACACACGTTTTGATCAGCTTTGACACAAACTGATATCAAAAACTATGAACACAATGGGCCTCATTAACAAACCGTTCTTAAGAAGACATTCCTTCTTGAAACCCAATTACACAGTTTTGACAAAGATTCTGACATTTACCAGTGTTTTCTTATTTGTGATTTATTCTTAGGTAAGAACAGAATCTGCACACACTCAAAAGCATCAAAGCGCAAACAATTTTGCAGTTTAAGAACACGTCATGAGTCTGAAATAGACTTTTTCCTAGGACCTTTCTTAGGAACAAATATAAGAAAAAACAATGACTTTTATTCAATAGCTGCGCTCCAAAGCATAGGCTGCAGCCAAGGTAGGCTGCATTTCTTGGCTGTCACAGAAGGCCGTTCCAAAGTGAATGATCCTTCGTTTACAGCCTAGAAATGCAGCCTACGTTTGGAGTGATTTCAAGGACGCATCAGATGTATCCTACCCAGGACCCGCAGCTTAGGCTTTGGAACGCAGCTACTGTTTCATATACTACACTGCGCTAAATCCATTAATTAACATGCAGTCGACTGGCATGCTTTAAATACTGACGATATCCAGAAAAGCGTTTTATTGCTTATCACAATAAAATTTATCACAAAAAGAATTAAATATTGTCAGAGGTGATTCTCAAATCACCACTGTTGTAAAGGTGGGGTATCCAAGTTACTGTACTGTTCAAGTCAGCACAAACAAGTCTGGCTATTCTCCTCTGACCTCTCTTATCAACAAGGTGCTCGCAGAACTGCCACACACTGGGTGTTTTTCTGTCTGTTGCACAATTCTCCAGAGACTGAAAATCTCAGGACAGCCACGGTTTCTGAAATACTCAAATACATTGATATGTACAGAGCAAGAGACAGACAGAGAGTGAGCCCTCACCTCCGATAGATATGAAAAGCAGTGAGGAGCTGACCCCTGCTGAGCGACTGTTAAACCTCTGCTCCCTGTGCTTCAGCCCACCAATGATCATACAGATCCCCTGAGAACAAGAGAGTGAAAAAGAAGTTGAGAGAGGACTTTGAGCTGAATACGGAATACGTGACAAGCACTATAGAAATGCAGGTATTTTTCTCTCTTTTTTGAGTAAAAAAAGAGAGTGAGTTAGTAGAACAGGTTTAAACTAATTACAGGTTTAAACTAATAGTTTATCACCTTATTTACTTCACAAGAATTGAACGGTAAATACATTGTATTATGTGGTAAACTTTACTACGAGGCTTTAAGCAAGTTTACTTATTTTACAACAGAATTGATAATTAACTGGAAGATGTGAAGTTTTCAGAAGACAAATTTGTACACTTAACTTCAAATGAATTTGTTAATTTACTTAGTGAAAGTGAGAAAACCGGTTTCCCAGTAAACCCAATATGTCACAGTTTACAGTGAATGTGGTACTGATGTAATGTCTTTGATCCCTCACTGGAATAAAGAGGATGCATCCAAGCAGTGTGCCTGTCAACGCTGACTTCACAATCTCCTCTAAGCACTTGCTGTTCTGGCGATGGCCCCTTAACAAGGCTGTGATGTAAAAGGTCAGCTCAGTAATGGAGCCGAATGTGGCGTTGACCACTGCCCCGACTGCAAAGTTACTCTGCGCTGATATACTGCAGACACACATAGACAATCCATTTCAGTTTAGCTCTGCTGCACGAACGTTAACCAACAGAATAGGCAGGTATTGATGATGGTCATTAAATCTGCTAATAAAGGGAAATTAGATTTTTAAAGATCACATGACAACTGACACACACCCACATAAACATATATAAACACTTATGCCAGTTGGTATCATTCATCATTTTGTCATAAAGGTTGCATTTTCTAGCTTTAATGCCTTATGGACATAACATCTATGTCAGGTAATACTGATTATTTTCTGACATTAAGTTGTGTCATAACACTTTCTGGGTTGACACAATATATACTTTCTAGCTCAGTGTACATCACAATGACTTAATGCTGAAAATATGACAGATTGCCATGTCAGACTGGTTGACCAAAGATTTTCTGTGGCCTTTAGGTAAAATGTTTTATTTTACATTTATAAGATTTAAGCTATGTCACATGATTAACATTACGTCATTGTGATACACACTAAGCTTCAAAGTCAGTTGTTATAACGCCTTAAAAGTGGCATGCCACAACCCAGTGTCTAAACAAAATCGATGTCACCTGACACAGGTGTTATGTCAACTTGACATTACAGTTGCCAAAAGCAGCCTTTATGAATGTTTATGCAGGTTTATTTACGTTTATGTAAGTTTATGTTAATGTAGGTTTATGTAAGTAAGCACCAAGATGAGCTTACACTGTCATTTAATTAGCAAGTTAGAAACATTTCTTGCTTCTGCTGTAAAGTCACTTTTTTGAGATATGTGGTTTTGTTCTGACAGACTGAATTTGGAATATATTATTATTACATAAAGCTACTTATCTATATAAAATATAACACATATGGGATATGTATATTCACATCTTCAAACTGTACAAAAAACACCCGTGTGTGGTGGTGGCGGTGGTGGTGTGGGAGGCGTGCTCACCTGGCTATGCCCATACCAATATAGTAGGATAATGGAATGATGGAACTTATTGCTGTGGCAAACTTCACCTCAGAGCTGACAACCTGGTTGCCTTGGTCCACATAGCCAATCACCATTGAGATGACAACTAGAGGGAGGAGATCTAGAAGACAGCAGTTATCTAAGGAAAATAACATGCAAACTGAGAACCACACACTAGATTAACCCTTAGCCAGAGCAGTCCATGCCATGTGAAACAAATTCATTCAAATGTAGCTACCAGTTCTTGACCTCCTATAGACTGGTGAGTGAATGAGCCTATTGACTTTAATCTGCTTTTTAGAAGGATACTGACGGCAAACACATTGATCCCATCGACCGTGTACTTGTAGTAGTAGACATTCACTGCATGGTAGCAGCAGAGGATGGCTTTCCCTTCCTCTTCCTGAGGTTCAAACAAAAAGTTAATATATAACAGCAAAAAGGGCATGAGATTTATACCAACTGATGCTACCATCTTTCACTAATTGTTAGCACTGATCCTTTTAATATTCCATTTTGAGTGTTTATGTGTGAAAGTAGGTCAATCTTCATATCAAGACTGCCAGAGAACTAATTTAGATAAAGGTTTTTCGACAAGCTATCCACTAGGGTTGAGTGTTATGGCTAATAAATTGGCATCTATTTTTCAGCAATTCATTATACATAATACATAAACAATGCATATACTGATATTCACGGATTTTCTCTGAAATGGCTTATATGCATTCTATAGAAGCTGAATACTAATGGTTTATTATGTCAGATGCCAAAATGTTTATATATATGGTCTATGTGGAATTGTAACACAATGTTAGTATATAATATTTTATAACATTATGGCTGTAGGCATAGTGAGGCACAGGAATAAGTAGCACCTCACCCTCCTTCCGGAACTTATGTGAACTTGCTCAGGGAGGCATTAGCAGGATGGTCCTCAAAGTCCTGGCACTCATTTTGGCCACAGGGATGGTGAAAACCAGAAGCCAGGAGAACAGCCCCAGCACACAGTGAGCCACAGCCAGAGGGGGATATCCCAGAAACAGCCACACGTACGTATTCACCCGCTTCTGCAAGAGAAAACACAATACATTTACTCAGTAACTGCTGGTGGATGTATTCAGTAGTATTTGTAAGAAAACACACACTTTATCTAGTCTTAACACATTTACTGAATGGCTATCATTCCAGCTAATTTCATCAGAATCCTTGCACTCATAGAAATTTCCTCCCAGGAACCTTTATAATAACAGTTGACCTAATTTCTTGATAATAGTGCATTTATATTTTGGAGTTTTACAAGAAAAGGTTTAATTTAAATACATGATTACAGAGGGAGGGGCTGTAAAGAGAGTAATCCATTTGGCTTTGAGAACAGATCTTTTTTAAGTGAAAATCTAGAGAGAAGTAGTGTGCACTGTTACAGTTTTAATTCCTGTTATCACATTACGGTTACTGACTTAATAAAAATTATGTTACTTTTTTGTCTCTAAGAGAACAATATTAATTACACACGATGCATTTAAAACATACACTTCCTCTGATTATCCACGCCAGGTCTAATCACGCTAATCTGAAACTGTTCGATAAAGATCTTCATGCTGGAGAAAAAGCCCCAACATCAGTGAAACAGACCAGACTCAATTTTCCTTCAAGAACAGCTCTGTTAGCTTTACATTGTATTCATAAAGATTAGCCAAAAATGATGTTTACTGTGACTGGCTGTTTCTTTCTTAATAAAGTTCTATGTACTTTCCAATTGGTATAGATGTGTATGGGTGCTAAAATTGACTTAACTTTACAGTACAGTTTTTGTTGCCAGTAAAGTACTGTAAATTTACAGTAAATCATTTCAAATAGTGTAAAATATTTACTGCGAATAAACAGTGTAGAGTAATGCAAAAGCAAAGTAATGAGTAGACTCTATTGGATTACTTTACCAAAAAGTAATTAGTTAAGTAATCCCGTTATAGTTTAAACAGACAAACTTTTTTTAGGGGGACATGTTTTTCTCCCATATTCTTTTTCACACCACTTTACCCAGTAGTGCTGCTCTGGAGGCCTGCGCTGCTCCTCCACGTTGTTTTCCACTGGAGTAGGCAGCAGGAGGGGGGAGGTTACCTTCCCTTCATCATGATTCTCCAAAAGACCATCATTGTGGAGCATTACACTGAAACTAGACTGTGAGCCACTCACCTGAATGAGCAAATACAAAAGAACTCAGTAAAACACCACATAGACAGATAGGCAGTAGATGCAATAGCTGCTTGTTCAATACTATCTGAGTCCATTTGGCAGCTACAGCACCTGCAATTCATGAACCAAAAAGCAATAATAAACCCATACCTCATTTCCATAGAGTAGCCACATAGTAGATAGTATGCAAGCCATTAAAAGCTGACTAGTGTAACTATCAACAGGGCTTGTTAGACTAGTATATTATTGCATTCATTTAAACCCATTCAAATAAATTACAAACTTGTTAACTTGCAAACTTGCTAATGCCAGAGGGCAATGTGTAGTATTCAATATAATAAGAGTGCAACCTTTTCTATTGCTTTTCCAAACGGCCATAGAAAATAACAGGACAGTCTGAAGCACAACTTCCCTAAAAAAGAAAGAGGTAAGCAAGTTAGATTAATAAATGAAAATCAAAGGTTGAAGGGTTTATGTGAGATAATAACAACAGTAAAACCACACCTTACCATGAGGGACTCCAATAATGGTGATGAACATCAGCACACCAATGAGAAGGTAGACCAGAGAAATCCACCAGCCAAATAAAAACACGTACAGGACGTTGCCACAGGTAATTAAAGAGCCTGATAAAACATGAAAGACAGAGTGCGAGAGAAAGATAGAGGAAAGCAGAGAGATTATTATACATAAAATCATGTCATATGTATTTGCACTGAGTTGGCAGTTTGTTGGTGAACCCACCATATTAATGCACCTTTTAGGTTTACAGTTACAGACTGTAGCCCAACTGTTGCTGCACAATTTATCAGCACCCCCTCTATTCCATTTATTAATAGAAACCTTAGACCACCAAAAGCCAGATATTATTTGGGTGGTGGATAGTGATATGGCATGGTAGTGGCAGTGGTATGTCAGGCACAATAGTGTTGTTTGAGTTTTTACATGTCGGTGTCACAGCTGACCTGAGAAAACTAAATTATCCAGGCAACAATGAAGGATCCTTGTGGTCAGAAACTTTATTGATGAATGAGTCTGACCTATATTTCATTTAATAGTGTTGACTGAGTCTGACTTGTGTTTGGTTTCATTAAGTTAAACGAGTCTCACCTGTGTTTGGTTTAATGATGTTGAATGAGTCTGATCTGTGTTTGGTTTAATGATGTTGAATGAGTCTGATCTGTGTTTGGTTTAATGATGTTGATTGAGTTTGACCTGTGTTTGGTTTAATGATGCTGAGTGAGTCTGTCCTGTGTTTGGTTTCATGATGCTGAGTGAGCCTGATCTGTGTTTGTTTTAGTGGTGCTGATTGAGTCTGATCTGTGTTTGGTTTAATAATACTGCGTGAGCCTGATCTGTGTTTGGTTTAATGATGTTGAGTGGGTCTGACCTGTGTTTGGTTTAATGACAGTGAATGAGTCTGATCTGTGTTTGGTTTAATGATGTTGAGTGGGTCTGACCTGTGTTTGGTTTAATGACAGTGAATGAGTCTGATCTGTGTTTGGTTTAATGATTTTGAATGAGTCTGATATGTGTTTGGTTTAATGATTTTGAATGAGTCTGATCTGTGTTTGGTTTAATAATATTGAGTGAGTCTGACCTGTGTTTGGTTTAATGACAGTGAATGAGTCTGATCTGTGTTTGGTTTAATCATTTTGAATGAGTCTGACCTGTATTTGGTTTAGTGATGTTGTGTGAGCTGACCTGTGTTTGGTTTAATGATGTAGTGTGAGCTGACCTGTGTTTGGTTTAATGATGTTGAGCGAGTCTGACCTGTGTTTGGTTTAATGATGTTGAGTGACTCTGACCTGTGTTTGATTTAATGAGGTTGTGTGAGCTGACCTGTGTTTGGTTTAATGATGTAGTGTGAGCTGACCTGTGTTTGGTTTAATGATGTTGAGTGAGCTGACCTGTGTTTGATTTAATGAGGTTGTGTGAGCTGACCTGTGTTTGGTTTAATGATGTAGTGTGAGCTGACCTGTGTTTGGTTTAATGATGTTGAGCGAGTCTGATCTGTGTTTGGTTTAATGGTGCTGAGTGACTCTGACCTGTGTTTGGTTTAATGATGTTGAGTGAGTCTGACCTGTGTTTGGTTTAATGGTGCTGAGTGACTCTGACCTGTGTTTGGTTTAATGATGTTGAGCGAGTCTGACCTGTGTTTGGTTTAATGATGTAGTGTGAGCTGACCTGTGTTTGGTTTAATGATGTTGAGCGAGTCTGACCTGTGTTTGATTAAATGATGTTGAGTGAGTCTGACCTGTGTTTGGTTTAACGATGTCATGTGAGCTGACCTGTGTTTGGTTTAATGATGTTGAGCTCTGAATAGAGCTCCTTCACAATCTCCGATCTGTCCTCGAAGGGTCTCTCGGTCACATGGCTCTTCCACTTTCTGAATCCAAACTTAACATGAAGAAAACACACAAATAACCATATCAAACATTAACATTATTTACGTTTACACATTCTCACACTCAAAGTTAAGTGCAATTACATACCTTGTAATTATTGGCAAGTTTCTGTGCCTCCACCTCATTCTCAGCACTTATGGTGGTCTTGCTTGGAACTTCTTCCCATATCCCATCAGCTGCATGTGTGCTGTGTCCTACAAAAGGGGCAAATAAAAAGACATCCTTATAAAAACTACTCTAAATCAGGCACAGAAACAACAGTACTGATGAAAAAACAAGAAAGAGTTTTCAGCACTGCGTAGGGGCTTCCTTACCTTTGTGTTTGAGTGTGAAAGAGCCACAGGAATGGAGGCTGCAGGGCAAATTCAGGTGACATTCGGGGGTCTCTGAATATGAGTGATCCATACACACTCGGTCACAACAGGAGCCTGGAAGGTGACCTTTAGCAGCAGCACAACCTCTGACTTCACCCATGGTCCCGCGGAGGCTCTAGGTCAGTGGAGAACAGCACATCTGAACAACTGATGTTATACTCAGTGACAGTCACTGTTTGCCAAGCTTCAAAAACAACTTCTATAATGTCTATAATGTCTATATTGGGAAACATTAACTGAATGTCAGGTTTTATTAGCTTTAAATAAAATTTGGATGACAGAACCAGATTCATCTGGGCAAACTCTTACAGCTTGTGCTCCAGTTTACTGCTGCTAACAGAATAATGTAACCCCCATACTGCATAACTCTGAGTCTAAAATCATCACTTACACTTTTTTGGTTTCTTCTGATTAGTTTCATGATCAAAGAGAGGAAATCAGCAGGGGAACTGTAAGAAAGCTTGAGGTTTCAGAACTATTTCAAAACAGAGAACTACACTGGGCGAAATCAAACACTGTTCCCTTATTGCCAAGACAGTCTAGACAGGCTGAAATCCAGTCAATGCACAGTAGAAGCAAGGTTTTATTATATTTATAGGCAAAACGTGCAGGAGGGGTCCTGGCATTCATGTATATAGAAGCTAGGATGAAGCTGTCAAGGATGTTAAAGGGGCTGTAACTGTTAGTACTAACCTAATAGCATCGTTTGAGAGATGTCACTTGCAAATCAGTCTCATATTAACATTATTCTCCTCATATTTCACTGTATATGGTAAGTACAGTACAGTCCTGCGTTATCGCACAAGCTCTCTTCACACGGATAAGCGACTCTGTTAACAGACACTGTTACTGATGTGTCGTAAGATGTAAACAATTCAAAGTTTTACCTTGAATATCACTGTTGTCACTGACTGTCCTTCTCCGAGTTTCTGTGTCTGTGGACATTTCAGAACCTGTGCCTCGCCAGTTGCACTACAGTAATAAAGCTCATGTGACGGCAACATTCTCCGCACGAGCTAAAAGCGTACCATGAGACTTACGGGAATTGTAGTTTTTGCACACCCGCGGTACTGACGAACAGCTCCTGAACCTGCTGACCAAACGGAGAACCACATGACTGACGGTGGGAGGAACTAGGGCAGCACGAAGTGGACAAAATACTAGTGTTGCCGTCATGTTACTACATTATGACTGCAATATGCCGTGCAGTGTATTACAGACACCGATGAATCAATAAGAAGCCATTGTAAAAGACTGGGCTGCATTAGTTTCATCAAAATAATTGACTAATGTTGGGTTACATGAATACCTTGATTCACTAAAACACTCTTAGAATCACTTATGGAAGTGTGATTAGTCAGGGTGTGTGTGTATATATATATATATATGTATACACACACACACACACACATATATATATATATATATGTATATATACACACATACAAACAAACACACACAGCATAGCCTCTCTTGTGGTTCAGATCACCAGTGTCATCATCTAATGTGAGACATACGGCCTCATGGGTGATGCTCAGTCCACTCTTGTGCGCCTTTTTGGTTTTGTTGGTCTGCATGTATACCTGCGGGAAGTGACGATGGCCTATAAAAATGCAGTAGTACCATCAAAAATATGGTGCTGGTTTGTTTATGGTTTCCTGTTTCTCATGATGTCTGTGTACTACATGAGAACGTATATCGCTGCTGTTGGAACAAAACCTCGTATCTCCATTTTTGATGTTTTTCAGTTTTTAACATAATTTGAAAAAATGCCTGTTACCCTTTACATTGTGTGTAAATTTCATGTTGAATGGACTAAAAGAAATGACCCAAAATGTCTTGAGACAAAAAGTCTGGTTCCATTGACTTACATTAAGAGTAAAGTGTTTTTTTTCCTTCTCCTGTGAAGTTACCATTTTGGAGATACGAGGTTTTCTTCCGACAACAGCGATATATATATAAATACACACACACACACTGTTTACTTAGGCTCCTCTTGTTTGTGTGTCTGCCCAATTTTAAGATTAGCTACTATCAAATCATTACATGTACATGCAATATCCATTTAAAATAAATCATTTATTTCCAATGTCAATACAAATAAATTAAAATAGACCTATACAACAAGCATTCCAAATGTGACATATCAGTCCAAAGCCGATATTAAACCTATCTGATATATTTTTTTTTTCCTCTGAAGCCAAGCTGTTGGTCTCTGGTGAGCACCAATCATCATCAACAGTGGCGATGACTGTACTGTCATGTTACACTGTACTGTACAATGTCATTCCCTCGCGATCACAGCAGGTAAAAAAAAAAAAAATCAGTGTGGCAAAGTACTGGCAAGTACAATACATATATATTTTCACAATGCTGGCATTGCTGTCTGGGATCCAGATAAAACAAGAAAAAAAAAAACAATCAAACAGCTCCCTCACTACGCTTAATAGATTCAGATAATATCCCAAACGCTTCTCATAACATGCATATCTCATACAGGAAAAAATGGAACCCTTTACTTCATGCACCCGTTGTCCATCATTTCTTTTAACACTCATAAATTTCACAGGCAATGCAAGAATATCAGCAACCACACATTACAATCCTTTCTTCAGACTGAGAAGGTATAGGAAGCACTTTGTGTGACATAGGAATTCATCTAGAGTGAAACATTCATTCACTTGGCTAGAAAAGGGTTCGGCAGTGAGATCATGAGCCTCAGACAAGGCAAAAGCAAAACTCTCTAGAGGAATTTGCTTAGCGAACACCACTCGCTGTAAAACAGCCTGAGAAATCTGGCTTCCTATTTCTTTTCTGTGTCCCATCTAGTTCCTCTGCTGCCTTCCAGGAGGGATACAGGCACAAAGGAGAGAAAGAAATTCATGAAACCTCTCAGATGTACAGAAACCCTTTTGCTACCCAATGCTAAAGCTACACCTCTGTGTTTATCAGAGAAATCTGGCCAAAATTCTATATTTTTTTACATAGACCAACTATTCATTGTTCACTGTTTGACTGAAAATTTGCTAGTCTTCATGACATACCCAATGATAACATGAAAAATGATTTTTTTTGAGGCATTCCCCTTGAACACCTGTACGAGGCGTATTTCTAAGTGCACTGGCCAGGCAACAGACTTCATAAGGTACAGCAAGGCTGTGGCAGTTAAAGGCAAAGTGAAGCCGGGTTTAGAGGCTAGGTGAGGAGCCGTGCCACCTGAGCTTTAATCTCCTCATCTGGGTGAGAGAGCAGCAGAGGGAGCCTGCTGTGAAACTGAGAGGAGCTGTCCAGCAGCACACAATAAAGAGAGTCCTGTCGCCTCCTCAGAGCTTCGGCCACCTGTGCAGACGGCCTCCAGGCCCGCAGGTTCCCCACAAAGAACAGCAGGCGAAGAAGCACATCTGTGCTGGTGCACCCATCGAAGAGGAGCACGAGGGAGGCTGGTGCCTGTAAACACAAAAATCACAACTGCATTTAACATGTTTCTTTGCCCAGAGACAAACATACATTAGTACAATGTCCTAATGACAAAACTGCTCTTTAACCACATCTCTAGCATCTCTAGCTGATACACACATAATGGCTTGCCAAAAGGAAACCATACACACTATTTGGTGTTATTAAAGACTCTGTTTATCTCTTAACAATTTAATTATGCAAAAATTTGGAAACACTGGTGGAATTCCCTTTTAACACAATAATACACATACATACTTAAATGGTATTCTATTTGCAAGGTAAAGGTTTATGCCCAATACTACCAACTAAAGATGACCTACAAGAGACAGGCAACAAGAGAAGGTCAGAATACCACTGATGGGAGTGTGAGACAAACTTCCCCTGTCAAAACTAAGGCCTTCTTATTATAGAGGGCTAAATCTATTTTTGGAGTCTTACATCAACAAGGGTTTAGGGTTTAGGACAGAGGTCAACCACAATAAACAGCTCAAATAAAACATATTACATAACATAATCCCAAAAAATAATCCTAAAATAGATTTAATCAGTAGGGTATTTATTCACTCTTCACCTGGGCTTGTACTATGTCATCCATCATGTCTGGATTGGATGATAAATTCACTAGAACCTTCAAAACCTGGATCTGTAGGGTGATAAAAGTATGTCAACAAAAACGTCCCAAGATAAATGTGAAATTGCTGAGACAGATATAAAACATACAAAACTGGATTCAATAAAGTACCTGTAGGACTTCATTGCTGACTACAAGTAGTGACAAGAGGAGAGTGATGGAGTTCTTCATTAGATGCTGATGGTTATCTGTGACTGTCAAATTAGTCAGCAGCCTCAGTGCCGCCAGCTGAAGGTCCGAGTTCACAGGGGACATCTCGATCAACTGCACCACTGATGGAACATATACCTGAACCGGAACAAAAGACTATTAAAGAGCTATGAAAAAACTTTATAATAAGAATACTACCAAGGCTCTTAAGCTCACCTTTAGCTGCTCTTGATTTCGGATATTCATACTCAGGTTACTCAAGGCATTCAGAGTCTGCACTCTAACGTCAGGTGAAGGGTCAGAGAGGAAACCTGCTATGATGTGAAGGCCTCCAAATTCCCGGAGAAGGTCCTAGAAAGAGAAAAGGATTTGGTAAATGAACATGCAGTGATTATGTTAGTAACTGAAAGATGACAGTGACGCATAACAAAATAAACTTTCTCAGGCTGGCCAACTAAAACAAAACCGATGATTTTAACGCTCATACACGGACGTACAACCATTAAGGCAACTCTAAGCTCATTCTTATAAGCAAAGTTTAGGATATAAGACCTGGTTGACTGTAAAAGCAGCAGCGTTCCCTAAAGTGATGAGGACCTCCCTCCTCTCTGCTGGGCTGGGGCTGCTCTGGAGAAGAGAGAGAAGCATGCTGAGGTGCCGTGGCTCCAGACTACCAGGGGACTTTGAGAGAATTTCACCTTAGGAGAAACAAGAGAGGGAAAGAAAGTGGTTTTAGCATACAAAGCTGAAGTTGGCTTCCTATTCGCCAGCTTTTTGCTCGAATTTTCCCGTTCCACCTTAAATGGTGCAGCAGTTACATTCTGGCGCCTCAGGCTGGCTGGGGCGCCAAAATGTAACTGCTGCACCATTTAAGGTGGAACGGGAATTTTTAAAACTTGTGGTCTTTTAGGCAAGGTGTGAGTTCACTATTTCTATAAGCTCTCATGCTATCTATACTTTAAAATAACATAAGTTCACGTTCAGAGAAACCCTTACCAAGAGTATTACTAACCTAGCTACTTAGCTAGCATGCTAATACTCTTTGTATTGTAACTGTCAGTAACTAAGTTCAGTGAGCTAACATTAGCTACTTAGCCCAGCTAAGCCATCTGTACCACTTACTTGATGCGATTTCTGTGGTCAGATTCCCACTGTCAGTCTTACTAACAACATTAAAACCAGACACTTTGGCCATAAGGCTCCCCGGTTGTACGGCCATAGCGTTACTTTTTCTCGGGTTCGCTTTGTTTATCTCCGCACCTCCTCCTCCACGTAACAGTTTGTATAAACCGTAAGAGGCTCCGGCTCCCGCCAGGATCCCCAACAAAGCCTTCATGTTACCCAGCCGCGGTATCAAGCCATCTTCGCCCATTCTGCAATCAACGTAGCATTTCATCAGTAAGCTTTAAATAATACTTTCCGTTAACGACGCCTTTCTCTGCTCAAAGCCCATGACTGACGGCCCTGCATTTGTTTCTAGCTATCAAAGTCTATGGCCGTAGCCCAATATGCGTCTTTGAGTTCTAACTAGAACACTTAACCTAGTGCGTAGAACGGCCGGAGTTCTACGCACTGCTGTCTAAGCGTTCTCAATAGAACACAAGTAGAATACTTAGCCTAGTGCGCAAAATGGCTGGAATGGCAAGAAATAGTTACGCATACTTAGAGCGCTTAGCCTAGTGTGTAGAACTAGGCCAAGTGTTCTAGTTAGGAAACATGGACGTGTGTTGGAACACAGCCCGTTTCTGCTCTGCACGCCAGTGGCCAAACAAAACGTTTCACGGGATTCTGTTGTTGCCTCAGTCTTGCATAATGCTCGTACACCAATTTTATTGATTGACAAGACCCTCATTAAACTGCGTTTTATTTTATTTTATTTTATTTTTAAGCATTGTGGTCTTTCATTGGTCTTTGTTTGTACACTGTCTGACAAATTATACAAAACAAATGAACAATCGATTCTTACTCTTACCCACAAAAATACAGGTATCTTCTATAATTAAATTATACCTTTTTTTTTTATAAAAAATCTACTTTCTACATTGTATGCTATCAAATAAAGATGTCCAAAACGTTTGTGTCACATTACAAAGAACATTAATAACCTTATTTCTTCTATTTTTATTCTTGCTTCATCCGAAATTAACTTTACTGGCCAACCTCTTACAGTGGTTGCCTAGCAACGCGAGTCCGAATGATCAACAGCTAAGCTAGCAACAGTGCAATCTCCCAGTTTTATTACCTTTTATACTACTATTGTACGTTTTATCTTGTAGATAATTGACAGTCTGCAGGTTCGACAGTTGTAATGAATTACCCAGACATTTCAGACTCTGTTTTAAGAGAGTATTTTCTTAAACATTCACTTCCTCAGCTTTTCAAAGTGATTTACGTCATGACGTAACAGTTAGCGTAAGTACCCCTGTTATCGGCCACCTCAAAACAAAACATCGGGAATCTAAGCTAACTGTAAATAAATGAAAGTACTTTACTCACCCCAATCAACTTAGCTGAGAGCTGAGACAGCAGTCAGTGTAATTGAGCTATTCTAAGCAAAGAGAGTGCTTTACCCTGCCTATACAAAGCTTAATAAACCATTTTATTTAAAAATCTGACATATTTTAACAATATAGTTAATCCACATCTGTGAAGCATTAACTAAAAACACAAACATTTAAAAGTGTATAATTATCAGTGCTGCAGTGTTTAGCCTAGCACATTCAAAGTCAAGGTAAAACACTATCAAATGGAAAAAAGAGAAATAATAACAGGCCTAAGTTCTTATAGTAGGGATCTGTTTGTACCTAGTGTGTGTGGGCTGTGCATCACATGATTTAGCAACACTGAGTTGTTATCTTGATTCATCAGGCCTTACCGGCTGGATTATGTGTCTGTCGCCCTGAAGACCCCTTACGCTTCATTGAAAATGAGCTTTTGGCAATTCAGGAGTGTCAGAAACTTGGGATGGGCTGGTGTGTTGTGTAGCATACTACTAATTCAATTTTGAAATCCTTTCAGTGCCTGACCATCGAGGCCATTTCTGAACATTTGTGGGATCCAAGCAACATCCTGCTTGGGGGCCACCCCAAATATACACTTTTGTGAGCAAGTATTTAAAAAGTCAAAAGTACTTATTTTATCTCGATAAGAAAAAATAAGAACTCCCTTTATCTTTGCATATAAATAATAATAAGAAGAAATTTAACATACTTGGGGTGTCTCAGGGACCCTAAACGACTGCTTATACTGCTTATAGCCAGAATCGGCCTGCTGGCCATAGCTGATAAAACTGTGAACTGTCATGCCAAGTGATAACGCTGTTTCTTCTTTAATGTACAATATCTTTTCAGGCATACATGTTTTGATGATGATGAGCAAGGCACAGTCTCATTATTGCCACTGAGTTTGATGCATGATGTTTGTGAAGAATGGTATGACCTGGTATCCCTTCTTTTTTAATCTGCTTAATTCTTATGTAGATTTTTTTCAGATTCAGTCACATGTATTAGAGGAAGCCTACTCGTGTTATCGAAAGACTTTGACCAAGTAAGTGTAATAGTGAACTCAGCTTTAGTCTAAGTGACACAGTTGATTCATCATTCATTGAGTTCATTAATTTATCAGTAATAAACAGGCTATAATTTCCTGTTTGCCCTCACTAACTCTGAATGAGTTAATGATGGACTGCTCTCAAGGTATCATAACTTTATTGCTTTCTCTAACTGCATGAAGGACAGTGAAAAGTATGGAGAAGTTTCTGTGCCAAGACAAAATCTAAAATAAGTAAATGTTACAAGGTGTTATTCTTATCTTTATGTCAACACTTCATTATAAAATGGTGACAGGTTTGTGTTTGGTGTTTAGGACACTTATCAATTTCACGTTACTAGTTCCTCCACTCTTTTCCTCTTTTTCATTTCAGTTTTATGATAACAGTTTAAAAAATCTCTAAAGAAGAATACCATGTTTTTTGTTTGCAACAGATGCAGTGAAGAAAATACGGGGAGTATGTGTCATCAGTAAAATCATTATTTCAGAATGGCACCAAGTGGTTAAAGACTCAAAAACAGGACAAAAGTACTTTCAGGTAGTTTTAAATGTACCATTAACCAACTGTGAATGACTATGATAAAAGTGTACATACACCGATCAGGCATAACATTATGACCACCTGCTTGTTTCTACGCTCATTGTCCATTTTATCAGCTCTACTTACTATATAGGTGCACTTTGTAGTTCTACAATTACAGACTGTAGTCCATCTGTTTCTCTGCATACTTTGTTAGCCCCCTTTTACCCTGTTCTTCAGTGGTCAGACCCCCATGGACCCTCACAGAGCAGGTACTATTTGGGTGGTGGATTATTCTCAGCACTGCAGTAACACTGACGTGGTGGTGGTGTGTTAGTGTGTGTTGTGCTGGTACGAGTGGATCAGACACAGCAGTGCTGCTGGAGTTTTTAAACACTCTGTCCACTCACTGTCCACTCTATTAGACACTCCTACCTTGTCAGTCCACCTTGTAGATGTAAAGTCAGAGACGATAGCTCATCTGCTGCTGCACAGTTTGTGTTGGTCATCCTCTAGTCCTTTATCAGGGGGCACAGGATGCTGCCCACAGGACGCTGTTGGATGGATATTTTTGGTTGGTGGACTATTCTTAGTCCAGCAGTGACACTGAGGTGTTTAAAAACTCCAGCAGCACTGCTGTGTCTGATCCACTCAGACCAGCACAGCACATACTACATCAGTGTTACTGCAGTACTGAGGATGATCCATCACCCAAATAGTATCTGCTCTGTGAGGGTCCATGGGGGTCCTGACCACTAAAGAACAGGGTAAAAGGGGGCTAACAAAGTATGCAGAGAAACAGATGGACTACAGTCTGTAATTGTAGAACTACAAAGTGCACCTATTAAGTGGAGCTGATAAAATGGACAATGAGTGTAGAAACAAGGAGGTGGTCATAATGTTATGCCTGATCGGTGTATAATTGTACAGTTCTATGCAAACATACATTACATTACATTGCATATTTTGTTGATTTCTCAAGTGAAAATAAGTAAATACAATCTGTGCAGCAAACTATTTAAAAACTATAAACTTAAAAAATAACATTTTTCTCTGTGTGTTAAGACAATGTTAATTTATATTTAATCAAAAAATAGGAATAGTGACATGCAAAAGTTTGAACATTCCTTCATTCCTCCTTTTGGATTTGTTAGGACTGGTTAGCTAACGCGCTAACACTCAAAAATCATGGGCTCCTCGAAGCAGCTGGCCGAGGATCTGAAAATTAAGCTAACTGATTCCTACAAAGCAGGTGAAGGCTATAAACAGATCTCAAAGCACCCCCAGCTCACAATTTCCACTGTCGGTAATGTCTTTAAGAAATGGCAGGTTAGGTGAACTGTGGAAGACCAAGAAAACTCTAGAATTGCTCATATGCTGGACTGAAAGGCAAAGCAAAACCCCCATATGACAGCAAAGGACATAGGAGTGGTGTTGGTTTTACTTGCTCAAATGTGATCTGCATGGAAGAGTCATGAGAAGAAAAATTTGCCCGTGACAAAAGTCTGAAATATGGGCCAGAGGCATTCTGGAAACATCTGGAGGCAAATGTGACACAGCCAGTCAAGAAACTGAAGCTGAAAAGAGGCTGGCTTCTACAAAAGGATAATGATCTAAAATATACCTCAAAATCCACCACAAACAACTTAAAGAAATGCAAGCTGAAGCTTTTGGAATGACCCTCACTGTCCCCCAGCAGGAAATCTGTGGATTTAAACATGCTGTGCATGCAGGACGGCCCAAGAATACAGCAGAACCAGAAGCGTTCTGCATAAAAGAAGAGGGTGAAACTTTCTAAAACAAGAATAGTGAAGTAGCTCTGTATTAACATTTGCAGATAAATGTCAGTTTTTAATATGTTGCTGCAGATGTTGTGTTTACCTGTTTTCACTTCATAAAACAACAAAACTTTTTTTTGCCATGGATGTCCAAACTTTTGCATACAACTGTATATGTTTCTGTGTATGCTTGGTCAGAGACCAGGGCAAGATGTGCTAGACAGTCATGGTCAACACAGAACTTCCTCAAGCAGATGGACTCAACTGCCTGGAAACCCTCAATCAAGGTCCTGTTCCTCCCTATAAAGCTTTAAATTGACTGCACTTTCTTTTTTAAAATATAAAATGTGCTTAAACTGTAAAGAAACATAAATAGAGCACTGTGCATCACTGCAATTCCTACTAGATATAATACCAGATTATCTGATGGCTTTTGTCTTTCTGTCTGCTTTGGGCAGCTACAACCTGATCTATAAGCTGGAAGTTCACAGCTTCATTAATTTCAGTAATGAAATATACTGAATTTACCATATTGTTATACATCTCACTCTATTAGCTCTCTACACTTTTGCAACTGGTCTCACTTAGACCGACAGCTTTTGCTAAGATCATTGCACCAGCTTTGCTGACTTTGTTGATTTTTTGTTCACATTAGATTTGGAGTGTTCTTCAACCTCTGTGGTTAGTTTGTGGCACCACTTCTGAAATGATAATAAAGATTAAAGGAAATAAGCTGCACTTGTTCGGAGGAACTCTGTTCAAAGTGAAAAAAGTGAGACGCACTCTGTCAAAATCTTAAAATATACTTGAGTGAAAGTTAAAAGCATCTACATTTAAGCATATAAAAGTAAAAAGTAAATGTTTTAACATCCACATGGCCTCGGCAGTTCCCATTCGGGGAATCCATAATGCCATCTTCAGGGCCAGTCCATCACTTTATTAACTCAAATGAACTGTGTTAGATGGCTTCAGCAGCAGAACTTGCCCAGAATCACTGACATCTGACATATTTCCCTTTTGAAAACCAACAAAAGAAGGTTGAAATAGCTGTTTATAAGCCACATGAGTAAGCTACTTTAAAATACTTGATATTTCAAAACCATAACATGTGATTTGCTGGGCTTTAGGTTACAAACTACTTTGTCTGTTATTCATGACTGCTGATACAACTTCATTAGCTAGTTAGCAAGCTAAAGCCAGGTTTATAGCCAGACAACACAATTATTCACAAATTTTATTATAGCGATTGGAGAGTATAGGCAAGCTGTATGCATTGAGTGGCTTTATTGGGGGCAATCCAAATCTCCTAGTCATCACATGCAGGGGTTAGACAACAGGCAGGCAACATCAGTAGTATACCACCAGTATGCCATTGTAGGAAGTTTGCATAGTATCACAGTATGCAGTCCTAGACGACGAGCCTTAGACTTCATTAAGAACAAGGCCAAACACAGGTAAAAGTAGGGGTTGCAATCAGTCCATAGAATAAGTCACAGGTGAGCCAATACAAAATGGGAGAGTCCAAATAAGAGAGCCAGGGGGAAGCTGGAGTGAGCCTATGCAGAACAGAGCAGGTCCAAATAGAGTGTCCCCAGAGAGAGACATTTAGACAGTTATGTTCAAATGTATAAAAATAAGTTTTGCACAAAAGTTTGCACAGCTTGGCGATTAGCTCACTGATGCTAACCTAGCAGAGGGCATTCCATTTGAATAATCTGTTCCTCACTGTCCTCTTGTAATGTAGGCATGACAATGGCAGTGGACTGAATATCTGTATGATTGTGTGAAACGATAATTTACATAGAGTCGTATGCAAAAGTTTGGGGCACCCCTGGTCAAATCATGTTTTTGTTGATTTTCTAAGCGAAAATAAGTTACCACTTCCTCTACAGAGATCAGACTTCTGCTCATTTTAATACACAATAACTGTTTATTTACTGAATGTAACATAAAAAAAACATAAAATGTGGCCTGGGTATCTTACACTCAGCAAATAAATAGAAACTGTGCACTGAAATGTGTAGAAAAAGCCATATGTAAGTGTGTTCTCTAAAGAAGATGTTTCACCTAGAAAATCAACAAAACTTGTACTGCAGTGTTCAAACTTTCACATACAACTGTACTACACACTTTAACACACGACTGATGTTTGTGTGATGAATTATGGTTAGCAGTTAGGAGCAGAAGAGAATAAAGTAACCACTGCTGTTATTTAGCAACCAGTGGTCAGTAGAATGAAACATTTATGGTGTTATCAGACGTAACAACAGCTTTTCAACCAATCAGGTTGTGTAATTGGAACTGTTGTGTACTAAGTTGCATTCAGTTCCATCTGTGATCCCTCAGAAGGGCTGCTCTGAGGCTGCAGCCACGTGTCCAGCACAGCAATGATGACGTGCCCTGTTACTGCGGTTATGACAGCATGGGTCAGCTGCTGCAGCCCATCAGAAAACCAAACAAGCTGGAGAGTCACACAGAGGAGGAGCAGCACTGAACAACCAGCAGGAACTTGAGATTTCACCCAACCAGCCTCTACCACACTTCAAGATGTGCCAAAGCCAAACCTTGAAAATTACTGAAATAGTTATGCTCAATCATCACCAACACTATCTTTTGTACTCTAATCATTCAGTATTGCACACATAACCTGCGTGTATCTGCTGGTACAGTTGTCTGTTTAAGCAAACAGTGAATATGTAATGACCAGAATATACCTCTGAATAAATTACAAGTCAACAAGTGAGATAAATATATTTATTTACTTTTTTATGTTTTTTTCAAAATTTGTGTTTACAATTAAAGCATTTTTGAGTGCCAAGTGCACTTTTTAAAAACTCTTCACACCCCCGTCGGCAGAAACATGCAGCTTAGCACAACAGTTCATTTCATGCCCAAAGTGCTCTACAGCTATAGAAACACTGCAGAAACATCTCAAAATACATATAACTGGAATAGTCTGTCAATCAGAGCACAGTCATCTGAAAAACACTAATAACTGTAGGCATTAAGTTAGAGCCACTATTTTATATACATCTATGAAGTAGTAAAGAATTATTTCCTCTGCAGTAATGTTTTACACTGTTTTTAGTTTATTATTCTTTGGCTGATCTTGTAAACACTGTGAACAACGAAAAAGTTGATTTGAAGTGGAACAGCGCAAAATTTGTTTTGAAGTGTTTTTGAGGTTTGAATTGAAAAATATTGATTTTATTTATCTGAAGTCTTGCTGTGCATTGTTTAATTTAATTTTAATTAACTTTAATTCTACTTTACTTTTGTATCAGAGTTTTAACTGAGTTTAATAAAAGCAGCTAAATTGTTACCCCGTGATATATTTTTCAGAAAAAATTACAAAACAGAATGGAATAGCTTTATTGTATGAGAACAGTGTTTCACATTACATTTACATTTACATTTACATCATTTAGCAGACGCTCTTATCCAGAGCGACTTACAAAAAGTTATCTAACAAAGTAAAAAGTCGCAGATACTGTGAATGGTTACACTACCTGATCTGCACCATTTGGCCACAGACTGTCATCCACATCAGACCTAATGTCCCCTCTGGCTTATACACATATGAATACGCATTTTCTTATTATGTGCTGTGCCCATAATGCACTGTCCATTGTGAACAAAAGAACTGTAGAAGTGCGCCCTCTTTATAGACCTGGGCTGGACGTCAGCTCAGATGTGAATCAGTTATGACTGGCCTATTTATATACAATCAGCAGTTGGTCTCTATAACCGTTATTATTTGTGAAGCTTGTTGTCTGATAAAGTATAAGTGATTAAGTAAATTGATATGCAGTTTTTTTGTGTTAGAACAGTTTTGTATGCAAGCATTCGCTAACTGAGTGACAGAAATACACAGTTTTGTTAAAGGCTGAGACTGAGTGAGAAAGAGAATTGGAGAACCTGTTTTTGAATTATGATCATACTGTATTCAAAAAATGATACAACTGTTCATAGTTTGGCCCAAACAGAGTTGTTAAACTAATTGTATGAAGAGTTTTATGAAAGAGAACCTAGCACTGAAAAATGCTCGTTATTAAAACTGTAAATAGTAATAATTTAAATAAAACAAGACAAGACAGAATTTTCTTCTTGTTGTCTAAACGAGTTGCTGCCTTTGTTCTTCTTCGCACTGCATGCAGTGTAAAGGAAAGTTCCTTACAGTTATATTATATTTAAGCAATCACAGTTTGCTTAAAACAAGCGTTTTACCCCAGTTTTAAGCCATTTTAGCTCCCCAGTCTAAGCGTCTCAAACCAGCTCTGGGTCTTCAGACTCACGACGCCTCTGTCCGCAGTGGCTTTGATCCAGCAGTCTTCCTCAGTACCACCGTTCAGCTGGGCTGCACAAACACAAACCCAAGGCTTTAAATGTAGAGCACAATGACAATGCTTGCATAAGGACACTGTGCAGTAGTGTTCCAGAAAATGAGAAATGCAATCTGTATTTCATACCCAGATTAAAACCTATTCGTTCAAGCTGGAAAATGCCTATTGTGTTGGGCGGCTTTTTTTTCTTCTATAGCTTTTAATCACTGTTATTTTATTTGAAGATTGATGTTCAAAAACCTTCCCAGTATTTTTGTTATCTTTCTTAAAGCACTCCCACGTAAAGCACTTTAAAGCAAAAATAAAAATGAACAATTCTATATTTAAAAAAATATATACTATAATTGTAATAATAATTAGAATATTAATAACATTACGTTATTCTTCCTCAGAAGAATGGTATAGAAAATAGAGATTTATACTAACATTTCTCCTAATGGAATATATGTATTTGATCCTTGTTTTATTTACCATTTCCTTTTTATACAGGAAGTCCCACTGAGACAACAGTCTCATTTTCAGTGGGATCCTGTTTACATTGAAACAAACAACAAAAAATGCTGAGTATACAGAGCAGCCCAGTTCAAATGTTGGAACTAAGCTGTTACTGCTATGCGAAAGTCAGAAAGAAAGATGTACTTTGTAATAACTGCAGCTCTCCCATGGATGGAAAAAGTCTGGATCAATGATGTGGTTTTCACTCTTAGTTCATTTACGCACACCAGTGCTTGGGTTTTTGTGACCATGTATGTTTTTAATTTGGTTCAGTTGGCTTCACACTGCAATGGCTAAAATGCATCAAATTGCACATACGTGTATTTACACATGTAGGTGTTTATTTATTGGGCAGAAATATTGCAGGAATACAAGTGCTCTGTTACACTCACAATTGCCACAAAAAACAGAAAAATAGGGAACAGTCTATGTTTATTCACTTAAGACAGCTAGTTTGATAGGGTAAAGAGAATCACAGCTAAAGTAAATGTTTTGATGTTTTCTACCTTTTTCTGCAGTAAAGATGGTGCATAAATCGAGTAGCAACTCCAATCTGTCAATCATACTGAGATTTCAACAGTGCGAACTAGTGGTAAACTGGCGTTACCCCAACTCTCCATGGAAAACTACTGCTGTTTGAACAGGGCCTTAGTTAACACTAGGGTTGTACAGACTAGTTGCTGATCACATGATTATTACTCTAACAACATGGACACCTCAGAGAAGACAACAGGTGAGGAGCCTGGTGATTTCAGGGTCCATATCACTGGTTTCCTTAAGGCTAGCAACGCAATGCAGGGCTTGTTGGAAAGGGCATGTCACTCTCTACTGACCGGTGGAGTTTGGCTTCGTTACTGATTTTTAAAGTTGCTTGTGGCAAAGTTATACCCTCTGCTGTGGTTTTATTCATGATGTCATTAGAGATTAGTCAACATCGACTCAACTTTCATTACATAACTGTCGACTTTAAAAATTCTGAAGTTGTGCAACCTCCAATTAACACAGAGATAAAGATGTTACTCACCCACAACTACAGTTTTTCCTTCAGCTGATTGGCGCTCTGTTTCCTGAGAGAGCTCTGAACTGATGTCCACCATGGTCCCACACAGATGGACCCCTGCTTTCATAGTGGCCGGCACACGGACGCTCACAACACCTGTGCAGAGGTGTGTGTTAAGCACAGAGAGGGAAGAAAGCTATTGAGAATTGAGCTACTGAATCCTGTAATTTCTTATGCTATTTTTCTTATATTAAAATGGGAGATGTGACAAAAATATATCACAACACTTGGTGACAGTTTCATTACAAATGATACATGTCATACCCAGGCATTTATTATTTTCTGAGGTTAACCAACAAGTTATGGAACAGATACAATGCACCAGGAAAACTGCCACATGAAAAAAAGTTAATGACAGAGTTTCGATGTTTTATTTAAGAACAAGCCATTCAACAAGGAAAATTTATAAAACATGCAGTTGGTCAGTGCTTTAAAAATGACAATAGAACCGGAAAAAGACAGTGTAATGTAATTTCTAACAATGCTGACACAATATTGTCGTATTGCCCGTTTTATTTATTTTATCTGGTTAATCTTTAGGAAGTAGCCCAGCTGAGACCGGAGTGTTGTTTATAATGTGTGATCATAAGGCACATAATGGAAATAGGAATCAAAGAAAACCCTCAAAACATCTAAATATTATGTGTGTTACGACATTGCATATTGAAATTGCATGCAAAGTTTCAAAAGAAAGTTAATTTATTAGTTCACATTCATGTAATGACTGAAATGTTTGATTCTCTGTGGTTTGCTTACAGAGCCAATTCCTACAGGACAAGGTTTCAAAAATATTCTTGGTGTATAAAAAAAATACCTTGCTGGGTATGAAGGTCAGCTGTTCCAGTTTGGCTCACATATACATCAATGTTTCCAGCATTAGTGACCGCTGTCAGAGCACCACTCGAACTGTCTGCAGGATCACAACAGATATTTATTACTGCATTCAAATTCAGACAGATCCTCTGAGAAAGTTCACGTACCAATGATGACATCCCCCCTGACGCTCTGCACACGTGCTTCACCTGTTCAATAGATAACAGCATGTTAGTCATGCGAATTATATGCACCTACAAAATACAAAACAAACTTTAAAAAGACTTTGAAGTGTTACTAACTAAATACTGAATAGATACTGAAAAAAATAATATTTTATTCAGTGTAATCTGTTAAATATTTAGTATTACGCAAAAATGATAAGTAGATGTAAAAATAAAAAAAAAAGCTATATTTAAAAAAGCTATTTATATGGGTAATAAATGTGTCTTTAATTTTATATTTACATTGGTATATATATATTTATGTTTAGGTTTACACTAATTATGTATGATGTTTTTACATACATAACCACACAAATTGCCATGATAAATGTTTTTTTTTAAATAACGTGCCCAAGACATTTGTACCGTGATTTCTACTTTTTTGTCCTGAACCAGACTGTGCATCACAGTCTGAATCAACACAAACACCTCAGAAACAAAACAACAGCTTTTTGCTCCTGTTTCTCACCGTGTAAATGTCCAATATGGATTTTCCCTGAAGAGGAAGCCACTGAACTTGACTCAGCATAAATGGCTTTCACTTTTACTGGACCATGCTCTGTGGACACATTCATGGCAGTCCCCTGGATCTTTTTAATATCAACACTCTGGAAAATTCACACAAATAGTCAGATTAGTGTTATAACAACGTAACTGGTGTGTACAGAGCATGTAATAAGATGTGTGACATTTACACTGTCTCCAGCAGCACTGATGTCTACGTCACCGTGTATAGTACCCATGCCTGTGATGTCTCCTCCACTGGACCGCACCTGTACTTTATGACTCTAAAAATCAAAACGACTGTATTAATGGTGCATTAATGAGATGTAATACAGTACCTGTTATGACACTGTACTATAAGAAATACAATTCAGGTTATCTAAGTCTTTTTCCAAGCAACAAATATAGCTTTAACAAATGCAAAAATAGATAGATAGATAGATAGATAGAAAGAAGGACAGACAAATAGACAGTGATCAACAGAGAAACAGACAGACAGACAGAAATAGATACGTAGACAGAAACAGATACAGAGACAGATAGACAGACAAAAATATAGACAGACAGACAAATAAACAAACAGATGGATAGATAGATAGATAGACAGACAGACAGACAGACAGACAGACAGACAGGCAGAAAGACAGGTAGGTAGATAGGTAGAGTGATAAACAGACAAACAGACAGACAGATAGATAGACAAAAAGAAGGACAGACAGGTAGACAGAGTGATGGACAGATGGACAGACAGACAGAGAGACAGATAGATAGATAGATCTATAGATAGATAGACAGATAGATAGAAAGACGGGTAGATAGAAAGACAGGTAAGTAGATAGGTAGACACAGTGACGGACAGACAGACAGACAGAAAGAAAGTCGTGTAGGTAGATAGGTAGACAGAGTGAAAAACAGACAGATAGGCAGACAGATAGACAGATAGATAGATAGAAATATAGATAGACAGATAGATAGATAGAAATATAGATAGACAGATAGATAGACAAAAAGAAGGACCGACAGGTAGACAGAGTGATCGACAGATGCACAGACAGACAGAAAGAGAGACAGAGATAGATAGATAGATATATAGATAGATAGATAGATAGATAGACAGACAGACAGAAAGACGGGTTGGTAGATAGGTAGACACAGTGATAGACAGACAGACAGACAGACAGACAGATAGATAGATAGATAGATAGATAGATAGACAGACAGACAGATAGATAAATAAGCAGGCAGGCAAACAGAGAGAGTTAGAGAGAGACAGAGAGAGAGGGAGAGAGATAAATAGACTTACAAAGACAGACAGAGACAGACAGATAGATAAGCAGGTAGGCAAACAGAGAGAGAGAGAGAGAGAGAGAGAGAGAGAGAGAGAGAGAGAGAGAGAGAGAGAGAAATAGATAGACAAACAGACAGACAGACGGCTTTATTATCCATTTCTGTATACAGGACTAATGCAATATCACCTTACCTTTACAGACTGAAGGACACAGTGACCTCTTTCTGTTTGAACCTGACAGAGATCACTTTCCATGTTCTGGATCCTCACATTGCCCCTTCCCTGAGTAACAACTTGGAGATCTGCAGGGACAAATAAGAATCAAATGGATGTACTATACTTTGAGAAAATGTAATAAAACAAAATTCACTCACTGACCTTCATAGACTCACTCTGAAGGATTAGGATTGGTTTCACTGGTTAATTATATGATTTTAATAATTTCTAGCTTTTTCACTACAAGGCCAAATGCATGTACATCATCCTGTTAGCTACAGAGGACTTATGGAATTTGCACAGTATTACAGTACAATACAGTGCCTTTGATGCACCAAGTGAAAGTGGCTTGCATCAACTAGAGGCACAATATGCCTTATACCTCATTCAACCAGACGGCTCATATTTTGTGTGCCAGATAATTATTCTTCATGCCAAAAAGGAATATTATACAAAACTTTAATAAATATTAACCTAATTTAAGTGGAAATGGACATAAACACATACCACTTTTAATTGGAGTTGTCAGTTCTACAGACATATTACTGCTGGACTCATCCGAGCTGATAATACTAAGTTCTTTGCTCTGGTCATCATAGTGAACATGAAAACTGTCCAGACTGAAGTCCTGCACATCACCGCTTCCAAGGAGAGTAATGAACGCCCGGTCTGCACCGGGAAAGGCATGCGGATCTAGTGGTCGTACTGATATATTACAGTGCAGACTGCATTTGATTTTGACAAATGAACTGACTGCTACTGTCCACTGTCTCAGAGCGCTGCCCGGAGGAGCAGAAACATCCGAAAACGCTCGACAAGCATGGGAGGGAAAGAGTCTCGGACATCCCCGCACACATCCTAAACGAACAATCCCGTAAAATAAGCGGTGTTTCATTATAAAAGTGTCCTTAAAGCGGCTGTGACTCGATTAAAACAGACCCACACTGTACAACAGGTCTTTACATCACGGGGGTCACAGAAATAAAGCGCACAGAAATGACGATGGAGCTCTGGGACAACGGACATGGAATTGTGGGAAATGGAGTTCTTGACATTAACCAATTTCTTTAAACCTTGTTTATCAATGGGCTCAACTCGAAATCACACAGACCACTGTGTTCGTAAAAGCAAACACTTCACATATAAAGATATCGATATCTTATATATGCTTTTTTTAATTCAGTTGCAAATGATTGTTGCAAATTGTTGAAGGTTATCTCTGCAGCGTTTTAGGAATACTGGACTACATGCGCCATCTAGTGGTCATGTTTTGAATGCAATGCCCAAACCAAATGATGAATTAATTTCTGATTAATGAAGTAGTGGGTAATTATAAACTGGAAGGCCATTCCCTGGTCTGCAATCCATCTAGGAAGTCAGTTACTAGCTACAGTGAAAAAACGACCGCCCTTCGCTTCCACAGTGCAGAGACCTGCATCTACTTTGTGCAGAGGTTTAGACGTTCATGCAAAATCATACTGAATGCTGAGTAAAGCTGGGATAAATACGAGGTAAAATAACTTTAACCATCACTATTATGATGGGGATGCTGTTGTTGTGTGGATCAAATGTCCATTGCAGTGGACATCACCAGGACAGACAGACAAAAAGATAGACAGATAGGTGGGTTAAAATACAGACAGACAGATAGACAGACAGACTACACATACCAACATCCAAAACACACCATTATGCTGGTTTTGGCTGGTCTATGCTGGTTTTCCTAACAGGGATTATACAAATATTATACAGATTTTTAAAATAAACTTACTTTATGTTAGACTTAGAAAAGGACAAAGCATGATCATATTTCTGTCTCTCTGGAACACACGTCTGAAGTGACACATGGTATTTTCCAATAGTATAAGACCTTTTTAAAGCCACACTTACATATTTATTCCCTGCTCTGTTGTTATATGTTTATTTATTAAGATGGAATGTAAAACAATATAATGATATTTTCTACAGAAACACTGTTTACACTTGGTGAGGCTCTATAATATCATTTTTTGTGTAGAGGGCAATACTGATGGAATTTACTGCATTTTAATTCTGGTATTTTTAAAGAACCAACACATTTTGTGAGAAGCTACTTAATATCCCTGCAGTATATTTATTTATTTGATGATTTTTTTTATTTACAATGTTTATATTGTTCGTTTTTTATGAATGAAGTTTATGTGAAGGACAGAGTTTATATTTTTTATCTTTAGTATTGTATATATTGTCTATACAGCAATAAGTTATAGCTATTAACCAGGTTAATTACCTTGTTTGTTAATTCTCTCCTTGTTATTTCCTCCTTGAGTGCCTTGCTTCTCAAGAGGACTTCATTAATTCAACTATATTGATTATAACAAACTATACTGAGATTACATCCAGCATTTATCAGCATAGGAACTGAAAACTGTGCAGCTCTGTTCTTTATTTTTATTTTTGAAACATGTTTTGCCCCACCACGTTTGGAGGTGTGGCGCCACCCCTGCTCTCGTCACTCTTGGCTGCACCACTTGGACTAGTTGTACGGCATCGGTCTGAAGGTCCGCTGGCGGCTGACTTGCACTCTCGGCCTGCTGGCGGGTGCAGTCCGCCGGCTGGCGCAGTGGGGACACGGCTGAGGAGGAGGGCTTGGCTCAAAGACGGGTGATGGAGGAGGAGCCGGGGGGATCTTCATATCTTCCTCTCCAGCAGGTTTGGGACGCATCTTCAGCGGAACGGCCACACCTTGCATTATAACGTCCAGCGAGCTCGCTTGTAGTCTGAACACAGGAGCTGCAGCATGGACGAAGGTGGACGTCCTGGGGTTTTTCGGTGGCTGGGGGTTCCTTAAAACAGCCTCATCTGCGAGCGTTTCACCTGCCGATTGCAACACGTGGCCTTCCACAAAAAGACCAGTACTGATGGTGACGCCCCGACAAACAAACGGCTTTCCAGCTTCGCTCTTCACAGGCAGCGCTGGAAACTTTGCGGGCAGTGGCTTCTTTGGAGGGAGCTTCACAGTTTTGTGTTCTCTCTCCAAAATGTCGGGGAAAAAAGTGCGGTCCATTCTACCTGCAGGTCCACACACAGTCGGAGAGCCCACACGAGAAGCCTGTCCCACCACTGTCAGTGGCCCAGAAGAAATTCTGGAGTACATCTGCGCTCCGTTGCTCCTCTTCTGGTGGTTCTCCTTCTCCATATCTGCACCTCAGTAAAGATGATAATAGGTGTCAATCACGGAAGGACCGAAAATATTCTTTTTTTCTTCGGGAGAACCAAGAAAAGGAATTCTGGGGGGAAAAACTTGCTTTCAGATGTGCAAGTCCTATTTCTTCTTTCTTTAAAAGAAGAAAAAATCAGTTGCGTTTGAAATAACGTGCTTTAAAACAGCGACCACGATCCGCTCTGACGAAGAGTTAAATGCGAAATGCGTCTTCTGTACAGGTTCCACATTTACATACCCCTGCTTTCCCATTGTGACGTCATTCGCATGCCCATATTTGGACATATCTCGAGAGTCGTTGAATACGTAATGACCAAATAAGGCAATCAGCCCCGAGGGGGCGGGGCACCTGTCAATCATTTTCGAGTCCAAACAGTCAAATACAACACTTCCCTTATCAATCACTTTTCCTCAGGCCAATCACCAGCTGGAGTTTCCTGTCCATCATTATTTACTGCAGATTTCACAGTCCCTCCAAAAGAGGGCGGTAACTGCACTCTGATTGGATAAAAGCAGATCTATTGAAACAGCATGGAGAATGTGCTGTATTGAGCAGTGACAAAGTTCTATCCTTACATAGTTATATTATTATATTTTAGTCAAAAAATATCAATAATATCAATATCAATAAAATGCTGTTTTATCTCTTTGTAGCCACGACAGTTAGCAGCTAGTTAGTTAAACGGCTAATAAGGAGTTTTAGCCTATCAAAATATCCTACCTAGAGGTTTTATTTACGGGTATACCTGTAATTATGCGCTACGGTAAAACATTTCGATAAGGTAGCAGCTCGTCAGAGCACTGCCACAGCCCTCCTCAGTGTCGTGTAGCTTAGTCGCATCAAATTGATTCGCAGTAGCTTTAGCTCGCATGCAGCAATATTAGTATTATAGCTCTTTAACAACCTTGCAATTCGGAGGATCCAGTGTTATTCGAGAGAAGAATGTTCACAGGACAAAACATATCAGGTTCTGAACATTTTTATTTAACACAGGGTGCGATAAAGGTGATTTTCTGAAAAGCCTATTCATTCTGGCCATCGAGAAATGGAGCTTAGACCCGGAGTTCCTAATATGGGCATAAGAGCATGGCGCTGACTACAAAGTGACGACACGACTACAGTGGTCTATTAGGGACATGAAGAGACCTGCTTAATCATAACCTGCCTTTGCCAACCGTCCCATAAAATACAGAATCATCCCTTGATTGGAAACTAGAAGACGTGTTCCATAATGATACAGGAGACATTTTGTTCCTTATTTTTGAGAATCAAAACAGTGCAAATCTATTGGAGAGAAATATTACAGGCTAGGGCGGTTTGTATGAGACTGAATGAAACCCTGCTTGTCTATCTCAGCCTGTCTGTCATGCTATATTCCAGGACCCAAACAGAGAGAGTGACTCACGACCAAGGAGATACACCTGACAGCGCCACAAGATTTAAAAAATAGCAAGCTATAAACGACACATCCAAGTGTGTGTATGTAGTAATTTAGGGGCTAAACCAGCGGACCCACCTTAAGTTGTACAACACTGGTTTGCTGATTGTAACCCATACAGTGGTAGAGATCAGATGACGTTTATGTTAGCTTCTTATTCTCATTTCCCGTTCCCCCTTAAATGATGTAGCCCTTGCATTCAGACGCTGATTGTCACTAGCGTGTACAGGCGGTAAATGCTGCACTATATAAGGTGGAACGGAAATTCCAATAGGAAGCTAACATCAGCCTTGAGAAATTATCAAATGAAGCGTGGTGCTGCTAACACAGCAGACAGAGCTCCACTGAGTTTAATATTTTATAGCTACTGTCTTCGCAATTTTCATAAGTGAATTACGTGAATATGCGAAAATGATGTAAACAGTAACCTTTGCGGAAAGACCTGCAGAGAACCAAGGTATGAAAAAGCTAGTTAAGGGGGTTTTCTGAGCAGGTGGGCAGTGAGAAATGTTGACAGGATGTTAATTTAGTTAGCTAACATTTGTAGCATTATTGACTGTCAGGATTGTGTCAATCCTTTAAGGCAAAAAACAGTTTTCATTTTATCACTATCTAACCACACTGTTTATCTCAGTATAGCATATAAATAATAAATAAGATATAAGAGTAAGAAAAGAAGAAGATGAAAATGCAAAGATTTTAGAAAAAAAAATTTGTTGCATGAAAGCAATGCTGTGAGCGTAGCAGGAGAAATACAGTTGAGTTTAAGGTGGACTGGTGTACATCATAACTCTCGGTCTGAAAACTAGACCCACTGCGGCCCTGAGGGTGTGTGTAATAATCATATCAGTGTTTAAATCCAAATGTGATTGATAGATACCAGTGCTGGGGAAGCTAAGTTACTTTGAAAGCAGAGCTTTGCAGACTACCAATTACTTTCCAAACTGGAAAAAGTTTGGTTAACTAAGCTACTTAAAGTTGTTCAAACTATCCATCCATCCATCCATCATCTAAACCGCTTATCCTTCTGGGTCGCGGTGGGGTGCTGGAGCCTATCCCAGCTGTCATTGGGTGGAAGGCAGGATACACCCTGGGCAGGTCGCCAGTCCATCGCAGGGCAGTTGTTCAAACTACTTCATGAAAAAAGTATCAAAATTGCCAATGTAATGTGGTACAAAATTATAACAAAATATAAAACGAAATAGTCCCATGACTGCAAAAATGCCACACAATTCAGTTTATAGCAAACTGCTCACTTGATCACAGGTCATACATAAACCCAAAAAAAAAAGAAGACCCCACTATTCATGGGAATCGCAAGGAATGTCAGCTTTTATAGCTCATAATTGTTTGTAGTTTCAGTGGGTTACTACACAAAAAAATGGCAAAAGAGTAATTTTACTACTTAAATCATTATGCAAATATCAAAGTAGTTAAACTACAAGCAATCGACTGCCAAATGTAGTTAACCCTATAGTTTATAGAGCTAGTTCACTCCTCCCCAACACTAATAGATGCACTGTGATTATTTTTACTATAAAAGTGAAAGTGCATCATATTTAAGGTTCATATAATGTAAACAGTAACAACTGAGCAGTAAATATTATTAACCATTTTATTTATAATACTGCGTACTAGAAATAATATATGTTAAAACTGTTGTTTTGCACAGCACAAATAAAATACTTTAATGATAATCACACACATTCTTTTTGCTCAAAAATACAAAACCGATCAAATTCAAGATTGTGTGTTTTCTTCTCACAATAAATGGGCCTCTAGATACATGTCTAGTTAATGTTTAAGCTCTCACCCACTATTAGGACCACCCAGGTTACATCAAGAGAAGAGACTTTGGGAAGGTATTCATAAGACATAATTTGTACATGTATATTTTGGGCCCAGAAGATTAAGAAGATTAACTTAATTAGAATGAAAACTTAGACTTAGGTTCCCTGGGGGAAAAACTAAAGTCAAACACATCTCTAACTCAAGTAATACTTGCTCAAAATCGAATCAAATCACGTTTATTGTGACATCACATTTACACAGGTGCAAGGTGAGTGAAAATCTTAGGTGCGTAGTCCCCTGCACTGCTGTTATTTCACCTGTTATTAGGTCATCATTATCATAACACTAATGTATCTCAGTGAATGCTTTTCTGCTTTCTTCCATTATTTGTTACCCTTATATTACTAGCATTGGGAGAGTAGGAGAGTATGATGGCAACATTTGGTGAATAGCACCACCTGCTGCTTGTCTTGGGCAAGGCTTACACATGCGTTATTTCAACGAAGAAATCAGTCACTGACCCTGCTGAAAAAGGACCATTAGAAACCATGTATGGTGACAGTGCTTTCAGTGGTTCCCAATACTGGTGCTGTGGTCTCTCTGTCCTGCATATTTTAGTGTTTCTCTGCTCTAACACACCCACTTCAACTCAGGAAGTGATTGTTAATTAGCTAATGAGTACTTTTTCAATCAGTCCTGCAGACAGTGGACACTCATCCTGACTGCCCACCTGGTTTTCACCTCCAGCCAGGATGGGTCCAGAGACAGGAACAGTTCCTGAATCAGTGGGGAGAGATTCATCATCACTGGTCTGGGCTGAGAGCAAAACAGTTCTCCAAAACAGCTGAACAAAGAGCTCAGAGCAAAATAAAAGATCCTCTGAAGAGCTCCTCCATGGAAATATACTGCCACCTATTGGTTGTACGAGGAATGAATATTATTTTGAATTGAAAATATTATTTCACAGCAATTGGAAGGATATTCAGTTTATATGAACAAGTGTGTTAGATCTGAACTCTCTGGGTAGATCTCCAGGACCAGGATCGGGCATCCATGATCCAAAAGCATTAGATGGAGATTTTATAACCAAACTGCTTAACACTGTGTTTAGGCTAAAGGTCTAGAGTGCTAAATGTCCTAAGGCTGTGACCATTGTTAAAAAAAGGAAAAGAAAAGAAAGAAGAAGAATGAATAAAAAGCTACAGGTGTATTAGTCAGGTGATGCAGGTGTATTCTGCCAGTCTTTGTATAGTCAACAGCAGTGAGTTTTCTGTAAGCAGAACTCTCCTCAGTCCACTCACTGTGATGTTACTGTTTGTGTTTTTCTGCTCTTTCTTTCAGAGGGTCTGTTTATACCAAACATAAGCACTGAAGTGACATTCACATTCAATATTACATGACATCTTCATTACTCTTTGCTGCACGTGACCTAATGACCTTTCCCTTCTGAATAATACAACCTGTAACTGCATGGCAAGCTCCACTTACACCGCTCATCGCTTTCCTGTGAATTCTAATTATTTAGGCCTCCTTTTATAGCACTGTTATTGTTATGAAAACAACATATACTGACTTTTTACCGGCCTGTTGAAGTATACTGTGGACATTTGCTTGAACCCACTTTATAATTTTTTTTTTTCCAGACGCCTCACAGATCAGAGAGATAAAAAACATCACAAGCGAGTTTTATGGAGCACGATGTGATTGGTTAATTCCATGATTAATAAACAACGTTGATTGGTTCATTTTTGTCCATTTCTACAGATACCACCACCTGATTAAACCGTGTTGGAGTCTCCTGCAGTCAGTCAGTCACTCCAAATAACTCTATTTATTGACACCTTCATTTGTCCTGAATATATATATATATAGACATTCAGGACAAATGAAGGTGTCAATAAATAGAGTTATTTGGAGTGATGCTATAGAAAAAGGCTTTATTTTTGATGCTTTAAAGAATTTTAAAGTTTAAAGTACTTGACAAAAAATCGTTGAGTTAAAAAGCTTTTAGTATAATTTGACTACGGACAACAAATCTCTCCACATGTTTTGGCGTGAGCCTTCATCACACTCTTCATTGTGACTTTTCCTAATGAAGGTTCACACCAAAATGCATGTATTTTATGTTGTAATACATTTTGATTTATATAATACGTATGTATAATAGATCATAATAGATAAAATCGAACCCCTGGGCTTAGGGCATCTTCAAAATTTAATGTTAATTTCCATACGAGCAGCTCTGTATTTGTATTATTCAGAACAAAGTTTAAAGAACCTTCATATATTGTAAAGATTCTGTACCATGTTTTCCATTTCTATTAATCATTACTATTAACAGAATGAAAAGGACACTTTGTGTCACCAACCTGTGTTATTTTATCTGATGACTCCTAAGTGATGCATCACAGAGGTCACTATATATTTCTGACTCTGTTGTCTGATGAAGGGCACAGTGTTTACAAACCCTCCTTTACCCTCATGTTTTCCCTCCATTACCATGGTGAATGTTTTTACAGTCATTTCTCATGAAGGTAATGTTTATGTACCTCCAGCACCAGCCCAGTCTTTCAGACAGAGTGAGGAGAAAAGCACCATCTGCAAAAGTTCCAACCATCTCCCAGTGCTTTACAGCCATGGCTGACACTGAAGTGGACGACACTTTCAAGAACAGCTCACATCTCGGATCACCAACACTGCTGACCCCTCACTGTAATGGGGCTGAAAGGGAGAATCTCAGTGCAGAGTCCTCAGCCAATGAGAGACCTGCTAATACTGCTTCAGGTTCATTACCTGCAGCCCGTTCTCAGCTCTTGCGGATGCTGGAGGCCTCTGAGGCCCGCAGGTCTGCATATCTCCTCAGCACTGAAGAAGCGTCTACAGCCAGCGACGAAGCAGTCATAGAGGCACCCAGGACAGAGAAAGTGAGTTTCTTAAAGTCTCTTTATTTATCATATGCAGCGTGTGTATGTAAAGGACATTTGTATTTTGAAATGTTGCTGGCGAAGCTCAGGTTATTTACTGTACATACATCAAATAAACATACAAACAAAATAGAGAAAATAAAAAGAACCTAGGTTGCTAAATTATAATAATAAAATCTATAATAAAATAAAAAAAATACAAAATGTGTGAAATATCAAATGTATGGGACTAAAAGTGTACAGTTCTGTTGTAGAGCAAGAAAAAAAGCTAAATATGAGCCGTGTCTATAAAGTGCTTATTGGCCACCTTGGAAAGAACACTTGTGACCCCAACACTGTTAGAAATAAAGGTGCTGTGCAGGCACATTTTTCATTTATTAAGGTACAAACGATGTTCCCTCAAAGGTAAAAGAGTGGTTTTAAGGTCCAATTGTGTACTCTAAATAGGTTTGCCCAGTGGAAGAGTACGTATTTGTACGTTATTCATAACCTAATGTTTTAAAACAGAACAATAAAATAAAAAGTCTGGAGATGAGACGGGGTATGTGGAGCCAATACAACTTGGAAAATATAATCTATGGTACAATTATGTTCTCTGACTAAATGTACTGAGATGCACCCTTGAGGGTCCCACCTTAGTGACTAGAGGGAAACTGCCCCTCAGTTTCATACCTTTATTTCTGAGAGTGTAGTGCTGTACAATTCAGCAAATTAGTGGGTCCAAAGTGTCAGATTAAAGGAATGGTTCAGCAAAAAAAATCATACATACATACATACATACATACATACATACATACAGCTTATCCTTCTGGGTCGCTGGAGCTTATCCCAGCTGTCATTGGGCAGAAGGCAGGATAAACCCTGGACAGGTCACCAGTCCATCGCAGGGCACACACACACACACACACACACCTAGGGGCAATTCAGCATGTCCAATCAGCCTGACTGCATGTTTTTGGACTGTGGGAGGAAACCCACACAGACACGGGGAGAACAGGCAAACTCCACACAGAAATGACACTGGTCGCCCGGCCGGGAATCGAACCCAGGCCATTCTTGCTGTGAGGCCACTGTGCCACCCTCAAAGGCCCTAAGCAAAACTAAAGAAGCAAACCTTTGGACACCAGATGCATCTTGGCCAATCAGTTATGTTTGGGGAGGGGGAAACAGTGTAGATTTTTTCAGTGAATCACTTCTTTTTAATCCTGTTAATGGGGTCAGATTAAAAAAAAAAATCTGCAGATGTTTGAAATAGATTTATTATGATGCTACCACTTTAGATCAACTTCTGTTAAAAAAGTTAAAAAAGTTAGATGTGTCCAGAATAATAAACAGAGCTGTAGGTTCCTTATTTAAAGACTTTAATGAGAAACCGGTAAAACATTGAGATTGAAGAAGTAAAACTGACATCCATAATACCTTACATTTGAAATGTGGTGATGAAACCTCAAGCAGGTACCTTTCAAGAAATCTTCCGTCAGAAGTTTAATCATTGTCCCAGCTTAGGACACATTCAACTGGCACTGTTCAGCTCTTACCTCATCTCACCATTTCCCAAGTTTTGAAAGTGATTTGCAGTATAACACAGTGCTTAAAAACAGCAGTGAAACTTTAATTAAGCTTTTTTATTTAACTGAACCAAATACTATGAATAAAATCTACAGTTTGCTCAACCTCACAAAAGCCAAGGATGCTGCAATATCTCTACATATGAAAAATCTTTCACATAATGGGATATTTTGAGTGGTATAAAAAATGACAAAACTCTGGAGCCTGATCTCATGAACAGGACATTATTTGTCATGTTATTTCAATTTTCTGTTTTGTAGCTCAGCATTATATCTCTCAGCCTCACTGGTTTAACAGAATTCACAGTTTTACATAGTGTTTATGTTTGTGATCATCTTCTCTTGCTACAGTATCCAGCATGCATTTTGGGAATCCCTGTGGTGCCAACCAACCCTGAGCGCTAGCCTAGACACTGATCTATTGGCTAATAAATACAACCAAGCTAGAATGAGTGTAACTCTTGTCTAAGTCATCATGTATACTAATGCATTTGGCAGACACTTTTATCCAGAGAAACCTATAATGTAATCGGTTAAAAGTATTGCCCAAGGACTCTTACACTTGCTCAGGCAGGGAATCCCCAATCTGCTGCATAGATTCCACAATGCGCCATGTTTTTTACCCTTTCACACAGAGAAAAGAAGCCAAAGTAAGGCAGGATGTCTAGATAGACAGGAATTTTCCTTGCCTGCTTGTTTTCATCCTCATCTGATGAGTCATTTCTGCAGTTTGAGGAGTATATTCTGTCCATTGTAGTGATAAATTGAAGACAGTTACCACGATTATATAGTGACAACCCAGCTAGCAGGGAATATTCCCATAACTTGGGCTAGCGTTACCTACAAGTTCTCATAAAGATTAAAGAAAACCTTTTAACCTAATGTTCAAAGAATGTTTTAAGAATGTTTAGCGTTCCAAATAATGTTCCTATAAGGTTACATATTAACTAAGACATAACGTTATAACTGCAACATTCGGAGGATGTTTTAAGGATGTTGTTAGGGCAACAGATTATGTTACATGATGATTTTTTCAGGGAACGTTCCCAGAAGAACACTGGGGGAACAAAAAAATCTTGCCGCTGAAAACATTAATAGAACATGTATGTAATATTCTCAGAACGTTTTTAGAACAAAATATTTTATGTAACACACAACTAATATCTTACTTTTCAATGGTCAGTTTTAGAATCATGTTCATGTCACAGCCTTGTACAGTCTCAAATCTAAGCTGCGTAAGTATTAAAGCTGAAGTTTAAGTATTGTGTTGAATGATGTGCTTTCAGAATGTATAGATCTGGATTAAACAAAGAAAACTTACAGAGAGATCTCCAAAAAAAATAATAATAAAAATAAAAGACAAAATAAAAATAGAACCTGGGCATCCCAAAGCCCCTTCTGAGTGCATTCAGGTCAATAGAGATGTGCTGCACCAACGAATGGAGAAGGCAAGCCACAGTCCAGCTGCACTAAGCTATACTCAAAAAACACACTGCAAAAAAAGGTATCTTGTCAAGTGAAATGATTTTAAATCTAGTTGATAAATCTAATATTTCACATTTTGAGATGGTTGTGCACTTATTATAAGATGATCTGTCTTATTTCATAGACTATTTTCACTTGTTTTAGGTAATTTTATCAAGCAAATTTATCCCACTATACTGCCAGATAGTTTTATTACTGGTTTTCAAACTATAATTCTTTTCTGTTTTCTTTTTTCTGTTACTTTTATGTTTTGTTTAGTCTTTGAATACATTAGAGAAGGAGCATCCAGAAATTGAACGTGTTTACTGAAGGCAGGTAATAACATTGTCTGAGCATATTCACAGTGCTCTGATTCAAAACAGGATCATATTTCATGTTCTACTGGTTTGTGCACTTTAAATCATTACATGCAGGTGCATGAGATCACACTGCTTTGTGTGTATGTGTGCACACTGACCTTAAGAGACTAGACAAAACTTTTTGTTACCTGAACACAAAACAAGGGCGCTGTAAGTCACTCAATGTTCCCCAGGCTTAGCAGAACAGATACAATTAAACGTCATTGGTTGAACACAGAGCTTGTGTGCTTTGGTGCCTGCCACACCAAACCTAAAACTCTATGGTCCTGCAGGTTCTCAAGCTGATTATTCATGTTTTTTCTCCGACAGGAAATCCAGGCCCCACAGCAGCCGCAGGAGTTTAATGAGAGGCTCACTAGAACAGGCCGCCGCTCACTGTCCCGCTCACTCTCCCACTCTTCTGAAGACAAACGTAGCTCAGGTGCCAAAGCCAACCTGCTATATTCTCAAAACTCGTATGCTTTCTGCTCTTAAGTCAGAATAATCTGAATCCAGAAACTTTTACCAACAGCCAGGACTGAAAAAATCACTGCTGAATTTACTTGGTTCAAATGTGTGCACTATTTCAACACAATTAAAATATATTACATCAACACAAGCTTATTTACTTTGTTTATATTTGTGTTGATGCAATGTATTGTATTTATGTGTATTTGGAAGTATATTCAATACAATTTCAGTGTATTACTTTTGTCAGTCAACAATTATTGTAGTATAAATTTGAACACTCTGTTTTATGCTTGTCACATGACATGTTTTGTTGATTTTATAAGTGAAAATAAGATTAATATTACATATTTGGTCTGGTCAACAAAACAGGTTAAGTTGAGCTTTGGCAAAAAAAAAAAGAAAAGAAAAGAAATAAGATTAAGTTGTTTGCTAATTCCCACTCACAGGCTACAACTCTCCCCATCACATAGTTGTAGCCTTTTAGCCTTTTTTTAATTGTGACTTTTTTGATATCTTTTCATTGTTTCTTTCTGTGACTGTGGTTTCAGAGTGGTCTGACGTTTGAGCTGCCTGTTCATTAGGAGAAAAGATATTATAAGTTAAAATAATGGTGACACCTCAACCCTCTGTAGCCAGTAGTTTGTTAGGAGGAAGCCCTCAACTCCTCCCCAGGCTGGGGGCACTATGTGATAAGAGAGTCATTGCTTGTGGGTGGGAACTGGGAATGACTAAACCGAGAGCAGGAGCTGAGTAAAAATTCAAAAAATAATCAGCTTTTGATGATGCAACCACATTTACTGTTTATTCTTTAGTAAGCTCAGCTTACTCAAACTGTGTTTTGAAGACCAAACATTGAAGAAGAACTTTTAACTAAACTAAGCTGAGAAAATAAAAAGCTATGTAAACATACTGAGTTAAAATGTCAAGGTCACCTGACCTGACAACTCAGCACACTGAGAAGTTTTGTGCTGTAAATCCATGTTTTTTGACCTCATAGTGGCTGTCAAACTAGTATTGTACTATTTCATGTTTAAACATACAATATTTCTGTTATAATGCATGTTCATGGTTTCAAAAAGTATTTTTTTGTGGAATCTGATTGATTTTTAATATCCGTAATGCATAAAACTGACATTTTTACTGCATTGTAAAATTAAACCTTTTTCTTGTTGGTTCATACCCAAGAAAGCTCAGAAGAGGAGGCTTCTCCTCGAAACAAGGAGCAGAAGAACTCTAATGGAAACAACGACTTCTGCATTAAGAACATCCGTCAGGCAGCCTTCGGCCGCAGAGAGATAGAAATAGCAGAGCAAGGTACAGTTAGTTTTCTCCCAAAAAACAGCTGTGTGTTTCTACTGATGTGTAAAGTTGATTTTTTTGCCTCTCTTTGGTTAAGAGATGCCAGCACTGATGATCCTGAGAAAGGCAGCCCAGGGAGAGAAGCCACTAGCGGGCGCTAGAATAGTGGGCTGCACCCACATCACTGCACACACGGCTGTAAGTGTGTATGCCTGTTTCGTAATCTAATCTAATCTAATCTAATCTAGTCTACTTTACATGGTTTTCCTACTGTAAATGTAGCTGGTCAGCCAAGACATGTTTGGTGAAGTCTGCTTCTTTATTTTGCACTGGGGCTGTGAGGGATCAGACGAGATCAGGCGTTCTCAGAGTGGTATGGTTGATGTAGCTAACAAGTACTAGAAGTCTGTGTCACCTTAAATATTTTAGGCAACATAGACTTCTACTGTATTAACCTAGTCGTGTAAATCGTGTAAATGAGAGTTCTCAGTGAACTGTTCTTTCAATGTAAACTCAGTTCAAAGGAATTTAGCCTCAGACATTCTGTAAGTGCACTCATTTACTTTTCCTTTATCTCAAAGTCATCAAGTCACATGATGACAAATTCACTCATACAGCAGTTTGTCCTGGTTAGATAGTTCTGGAAATGCTGACTATCTGTGTGTTTGAGAATTACATATTAAATATTGGATTTGCATGGAAGACTAATTTAAGTGTCCTAGTGACCTAAGAGCCACTGTTACAGTCATTGTAGTAGATAGCGGTGTTATTTTAAGTGTGGTAATGCTAAAGAGTGGCTATTCCTCAGGTGCTGATGGAGACTCTGTCTGTGCTGGGTGCTCAGTGTAGATGGGCTGCCTGTAATATCTATTCCATCCAGAACGAAGTGGCTGCAGCACTTGCAGAAGGAGGTAAGCACTGGATTACTAGTCAGTATTTAATAGGTAGATAGATAGATAGATAGATAGATAGATAGATAGATAGATAGATAGATAGATAGATAGAAAAAAGATAGTAATTAGCACAGATAGATAGATAGAATGGGCAGGCAGATAGACAGAAAAAAGATAGAAAATGGCACAGACAGACAGACAAACAGACAGAGAGACAGGTAGGTAAGTAGGTAGATCCACAAGGGGGCACTGGCAGAAAGTGGAATAAAGCCCATGTTCTCACACATTAGGGATGGAAAACGTAAGTCAAGACACATTAATCCCTGTAATGTTATCCTCCGTAATCCCTTGTGAAAAGCAAGGGAACATTAATGTGTCAGATTTCACCCAAAGTACACCAGCCTTTGCTACACCGTTCTCCTCATTAAGAAAATACATTTGACAATAGACATACGCTAAATTTATTATTAAACAAACAGAACCCATTTACAGATTGGATAAACTGGTATCTTTGATTGAAACACAAAGCATTCTACTGCATAAAGTGACAAAAATAATCACAAAACATCATCATCATCCCTCAGTGAATCTCTAACATATGGAACATTGTTCTCTTTCGAGATCGTCCTAAAGGGACGTGGGTTACCTATGGACTGTGGAGCAGTACTTTCATGTCTCTCTTTGTGTTTTTGGCAGCAAGAGCCTCTGCAAAATCCAACAAAAATGATAAATCCACTCAGGACTTCCATGAACCCACCGACACATCCCAGAACTATGCAGTGTCCCAAACGGATGTCAGTGGATGGAGAGGGAATGTCATTCAGTAAATAAGCATACCATGCAGCGGGAATGATAGCTGCCGCCCCTGAACAGATGACTATAAATCCTCCAAGACCAGCTATCAACCATCTCAGTCTTTCTAAGCAACTGTGGGCTCCAAGAACCACAATAAGGCCAACCATAGTGGCACCCAGAGACGCCACCATCATCCACTGCGCAACCTCAATGATTTGGCTGTTGAAGTAGTTTTGGTCCTGGCGGGTACAAAGCATGTCCTTCTGTCCTTTTTTCATGATGTTCCAGCAGATGTCCCATATGCCTTGCTGTAGCACCAGATCAGATTGCTCTCCGCTGATGTTACGGACAGTGCGCCAGTTGGGTGATGTTGTGCTGGTCAGGTTCAAAATCAAGCCACAAATTCCCAAGACCACTCCATACATTACTATTTCTGAAGCTCGCATGGTGGACAGCCAAGCTTATCGAAGAAGCTAATGATCATGAACTGTGAAAGCTTCGAGGAGCAGTTTGAAAAGAAGCAGTGGCTCAGTGAAACTGAGGGTGTGTCCACCTCCCACCGCAGTGGAACATCACACTTATTCAAAGAACAGCAGTACACTCTCTGGTTTCGACAATATAATATTACAGCCCTCTGAAAATCAAAAGGAGGACATTCATGGCTTACAGAGCAGCCCTGCCAGCTTTGTAAAACAATGAAAGAAAGTGTTGGTCAGTGTAGAGGTCAACAGAGAACAGCCTGATGTACGTTCACAGTCCCTTGAGTTGATGCATATTGCAGTAGTAAGATATGAGCCTGTTGAAGTGTTGATGATACAAAAAGCTCTTTGAGAAGTGCCATTTTTACCACTTTTGATTTGTAAGTTTTTAAAATTTTAAAGAACCTTCACAGAATGTAATGGTTCTATCCCACTTTAAGGGTTCTCTTTAGAACCTTTACATTATGTGGACATTCATAAAACTTAGTAAAAGTTCTTCACTCTCATGCATCTTATTTACAAAAATTGTTCTCACAATAATCCATTGAAAGTTTCTCTTTAGGTAACCAAAAGTGGCTCTTCCATGGCATCATGCAAAGAACCCCTTGTCCCACCTTTATTTTTTAAGATTGTAGGAGGTGGTCATTCATAGTCCATAGCATGTGTGTTAATGGCTATGTGCCAAAAAAAGGTATAAAGCCTTTATATTATGAAAATGGTTCTGTAAAGCAGTGGCTTTATGATAGGATTTAAAACAAAATTTTAAGGCAGCCTAAACATTAACGCTTTAAGTTAAAATAATAATTTTTCACATTGCAAAAAATCTTTCAGTTCATTAATCCTTAAAGAACAATCTGTGTAAATCAGATGTGCGAGCACAAAAACCCTCTTTGAAGTTTAAAGAACCTCCACATAATATGAAGGATATATACCAATAAAAGGTTTTTCCCAGAACCTATTCAGTCACCCCTTCATTTCTTTATGTTTTTGACAGGTGTACCTGTATTTGCATGGAAAGGAGAGTCTGAAGATGATTACTTCTGGTGTATAGATAGCTGTGTTAACGTGGAGGGCTGGGAGCCAAACCTGGTAATGAACAAATCTTTTCAGTAACACTCCCTAAAATGTATAACCTAGTTATACATGGAGCACAGTATCAGTAAAAGTATCAATATTAGTTACCAAAATAAAATTTCTCAGTGTTGATTTAATGAATGATAATTAAAATTCATGATAATTAACGATGACTAAAAATCATACTGTTGTTATTGCGTTTGAATGCTGTTGTTTACTGTGGCAGTTGTACGGGATTGCTTATCTCAGTAGGAAGTTTCACTCCTCCCCTTTCACTACTCATTGCTCACTAGCAGCTCAACAGAGTCACAAGATTCCACATAAAGAGCCAACAGTAACCTAATCAATCTGATAAGTTATGGGCAATATATTTTATTTGTTTTGATTACAGTATGTTTTTAACTTCATTACTAGATTCTTGATGATGGAGGAGATATGACACACTGGATCTATAAGAAATATCCCCAACTGTTTGAGAATATCAAAGGCATTGTTGAAGAGAGTGTCACTGGAGTTCACAGGTATCAAGAAACTTGTGTTGTTGAGATGTATTCTAGTCCTACAATTAACAACTCACCTTTATACCGTTATACATTTGAAAGTATATTTTAAGAAGACATAAGTAACTTTTTTGCCTTCCTGCTTTTAGATTACACCAGCTGTATAAGACTGGAAAGCTCTGTGGCCCAGCCATAAATGTCAATGAGTCAGTGATAAAGCAAAAGTTCGACAACTTCTACTTCTGCAAGGAGTCTATACTGGATGGGTAAGAGTAAAATGGTTTCCAGTCTAATCTTGGGGAGTCCCCGCACTGCAAATTCCTGATTCAGCTCACAATAGGTTTAACTCTTAGAAATCTTTATTATCACTGGCCATAACAAAAGGAAGTTGTTATTTTTGGTTCATGATTTCTCACTCGTAGCTCATTGAAACAAGGCATCCTGCCAAAAATGCAGATTCTAACGTATCAATCCATTCCACATTTGTGTTTGTAAGCATGAGAGGAAATGTTTTATTATGAATTAAATTTGATGAAAAGTTATTGTTGCGTACAGTCCTGTTTTCTTGAAAGAAACACCACCCTTTACATATTTTGCCACATTTTTTTTTCTTTTTTTGACATCAAAACAAAGACTTGAACCTATCAAAACAGAATCTAAATCAAACGCAAATGAAATTAACCCTTTAAAACTGAAGAGTAAGTCAGGCAGTTAGCATTTTGTCCAAGCAATTACTGAATAATAAGCTTTAAGATGTAATAAACCTGTGACTTTAAAGACGTAACTATATCTTTAACCAAGTAATTACAAAGTTATAAATAGTATAGTGTAATGACAGCAATAACTGACAGCAGTGCAGTTATTGGGGTTAATAATTAAACAATGAGTTGAATCTGGAGTTTTAGAGCAGAGAGGAAGATAAAAAGGTGCAGTGCATGAATCCCAAGGTCTGAGCTTGAGAATCACTAGCCTGTTTAGTGCTATTGAATAAACACTACCTGACATATGTTGCTTTAGTTTTAATAATAGTTATTTTCCTTTATGTGTGTCTCAGACTGAAGAGGACCACTGATGTTACTCTGAGTGGGAAGCAGGTGGTTGTCTGTGGTTATGGAGAGGTAGAGGACCCATCATTACATTCCATCTGTAAATACAATACTTTAGTATGCTTTCTTCTGCGCTGACCCATTTATTTGTCCTGTATGTGTTTGTATATAGGTGGGAAAAGGCTGCTGTGCTGCACTGAAAGGGTTGGGAGCGATTGTGTATGTGACAGAAGTTGACCCCATTTGTGCTCTACAGGCCTGGTAAACACAGTGATCATTTGCTAAATGTTATTTATCTCCTCAGACTTTGTAGGATCAGTTATTCTGCTGTACAGCAGGTTGTTGTCATCACTGATGTTAGCTTTGTATATCTCAGCATGGATGGTTTTCAACTGGCCAGACTGAACGAGGTCATAAAAATGGTGGACATTGTTATTACCTGCACAGGTAGGTATAACATTTGTTATACACACACACACACACACACACACACATATATATATATATATATATATATATATATATATATATATATACTATATAGGAGCACTTTGTAGTTCTACAATTACAGACTGTCGTCCATCTGTTTCTCTGTTAGCCCCCTTTTACCCTGTTCTTTAGTGGTCAGGACCCCCATAGACCCTCACAGAGCAGGTACTATTTGGGTGGTGGATCATTGTCAGCACTGCAGTAACACTGACGTGGTGGTGGTGTTTTAGTGTGTGTTGTGCTGGTACGAGTGGATCAGACACAGCAGTGCTGCGGGAGTTTTTGAAACACTGTGTCCAACTCACTGTCCACTCTATTAGACACTCCTACCTTGTCAGTCCACCTTGTAGATGTAAAGTCAGAGATGATAGCTCATCTGCTGCTGCACAGTTTGTGTTGGTCATCCTCTAGTCCTTCATCAGTGGTCACAGGACGCTGCCCACAAGACACTGTTGGCTGGATATTTTTGGTTGGTGGACTATTCTTAGTCCAGCAGTGACACTGAGGTGTTTAAAAACTCCAGCAGCACTGCTGTGTCTGATCCACTCAGACCAGCGCAACGCACACTAACACACCACCACCACGTCAGTGTTACTGCAGTGCTGAGAATGATCCACCATCAAAATAGTACCTGCTCTGTGAGGGTCCATGGGGTCCTGACCACTGAAGAACAGTGTAAAAGGGGGCTAACAAAGTATGCAGAGAAACAGATGGACTACAGTCTGTAATTGTAGAACTACAACATGCACCTATATAGTAAGTGGAGCTGATAAAATGGACAATGAGCATAGAAACAAGGAAAAGACTAATATTGTAGTAAGGCAAAAATTAAAGTCACTGAATATATAGTATATATATACCTTTACTGGATTATGAAATAAACAATGTTTTCATGACATTTCTTATTACTACAAACATAAAAAGGGCAATTTTTTGTTTGTGTGGTGAACTTTGTGTGGTGGATTTTGTAGCCATATGACAACAGCATGCGTGAATAGAAATGCAGTCTACAGTGTACACAGTGAGAGTGAACCAGTATAGCAACTTTTGTAAGTCCGGGCAAAAGAAGACATGCATAACAGCAGTCATGCATAAAAGACTTTCAGAAAAGAGGAAGATATGAAGATGTTGGTGTCGTACGACAACAAATATATTTTATCATTTTAACTTCTAGCATCTAAACTGGTTTTATTTTTTTTGTCACACCATGCAGTAATATATCGCTGCTGTCGTAAGAAAACCTCGTATCTCCGTTTTCAGTTTTTGACATAATTTGAAAATTCCTGTTGCTCTTTACATAGCGTGTATATTTCATGATGAATGGACCAAAAGAAACGTCACAAAATGACTTGGAAAAAAGTCTGGTTCCATTGACTTACATTAAAAGTAAAGAAGGTTTTTTCCTTCTCCTGTAAAGTTCTTATTTTGGAGATACAAGGTTTTCTTCTGACAACAGCGATATACAGTTGTAAATATACACTTATATACTGATGTGAGGTCTGATCACTGTGTGTACATTCTGTTTGTGTTTCCAGGAAATAAAAATGTAGTCCTGCGGGAACACCTGGAGCACGTGAAGAATGGTTGTATTGTATGCAACATGGGACACTCCAATACAGAGATTGATGTGGTAAGATCAAGGCCCAGAGGTGGGGCACACAGTCTTTGAGATCTCATTCATACCAACCTCATACCTTATTTTCTCAGTCCTCCAATCCATGCTTAGAAACCACTGCTATCAAACTGCTTAGGAATCCACAATTACTTTGAAGTTTTAGTTTGTAGCCAGCGTGTAAAGCTCTAGATATGAGGCCTGAGGGACACCTGATAGTACGACAAACTGGATGCTGTTTTATACCCATGTCAAAAGCTACTAAGAGATCATTTAACTAAATAATAAGCCGCAAAATGAGAGATCTTTGTTATGTCAAATGGTTATTAACAAAATCATACTTGCACCAGTGTAGTTTTAGGCTGGTGGATAATACTTGTTGAAGTAAGACAGATGTGGCTGCATCTTTTAGCAATATTGTTACAGTGAGAAAAAATTAATAAAAGAAAAGCTCTGATGTGTGTCTCTTACTATAGGCAATAAAATTTAGCAGATGAAAAAATATTCAAAAGTGTTAGGACAAATATTTACATTTCAGGTGTACTGTTATACACCGCTATGTCATATTAGGGAACATAGTGGTACATCTAAGAGTAAAAACAACCTGAATTAAAAAATAATTAATGGAAATCTTTGCATATTTCTATGTATAAGGACAGTAGAAGGATATGTTGAGACAAGGTGGTGATACTGTTGGGATACTGTGGGTGTGGGGTGGGTGTTGTGAGAGATGTCAGGGACGGTTGGGGTAAGGACAGAGATTCATCCCCATGCAGCTGTCCACCAGAGAGTAAGCCTGCTGATTTAAGATCAGTCTTTGTCTTTCCCAATCCTAATAAACTGTAGGGCTGATTGAAGATCAGCTCAGTGCTTTAAGATGCTTCATTGCTTCCATATATGCTCTGTTCTCAGGCCAGCCTAATGACACCAGAGCTGACGTGGCGGCGTCTAAGAGCACATGTGGATCACATCGTCTGGCCAGACGGCAAAATAATAGTACTGCTAGCAGAGGTGAGATTAGATAGTATTAGATAGTAAATTATTAGATAGTAAATATGTAAATATACAATGGATAGTACAAGTTCTTAACTCATAGAGCTTGTTTATGCCCTGCGTTCACAATGCATTGTGGTTGTGTTTACACCTGGCTTTTCATGCAGTCAGGTGAAACTGAAGGTTGATGTAAGGTGTAAACAGCTGCTGATTGGCTGAGAAGCACTCAAAGATACTGTAAAAAACTATAATACATACACATGACAGCACACATCAGATGATTCCGTTTTAATGCAAAGTTATTAACAACCTTGTGGAAAAACCCTCAACACTTGTGTTGCTTGGTGACTACAACCCCAATGTTATGAAACTACATTGTTTAGAGGAAAACGCTTTTATTGTGATTATCATTAATAATAAATAAGATTGTTTGTTGAACATTGATGTATTTATCATACTGTATTTCATTGCTGTTTCATAAATCGATAATTTTAATAAACACATAGCCGCATTGTTGCCAGACAATGATAGTCAAATAGCACTTCAGAAATGTCTGTGTGTATAATAACTATATGGCTATATCTGATTCTGAAGGGTCGACTCCTAAATCTGAGCTGCTCGACGGTGCCTGTTTATGTGCTGTCCATCACAGCCACAACCCAGGTGTGTATGCAGGCTATTTACAGATGAACTGAAAGAGATTTTGTTCTTAATGTAATTTACAGAGCCATCATTTCATAAAATGCACTTCTAGATTGTAAACATTGAGTGTATTCTTGAGCTTTGCCTCTCTTGTCTTTAGGCTTTGGCATTGATTGAGCTGTTTAATGCTCCTGAAGGCCGCTACAAGCAAGACATTTATGTGTTCCCCAGGAAAATGGGTAAGGCTTGCAGCAGAGAATCATGCTCACCCTTATCATTTATTTGATGATATATCAATGAATATATCATTCATTGATATATTATGTGCTTTCAGATGAGTTTGTAGCGGCCCTGCACCTCCAGAGCTTTGATGCCCATCTAACTGAGCTCACAGATGAGCAGGTCAAGTACACTGGTGTGAACAAGAATGGGCCATACAAGCCAAGCTATTACAGGTGAACACCATTATATGTTCATAAACAGAACAAAACATCTTATTATGAAATGACCCATATAATGATCTACATTTATGTGTAAGGTCCTATATATCATAATTAAGTAACAGCCCCATTATAAACATATACTCATTAAACCATTTTTCATAGTGTGATTTCTAATATTTTTGCAGGTACTAAGTTGACTGGAGGGTGAAAATATGAAAACATTCTACTCGTAACCTTAAATGGAAAGGATAAAACCATCTGAACCTTGGATCTGGATTTTGCTGGCCTCCATCTTCATCCTTTTCACTCTACAGTGACAAATGTAACAGGGAACAAACATAAACATCCAATTTTGTGAATTTTATTGCAGAATTTCTATTTATTTGCTGAGTTTAACATACTAAAAAATAAAACATTAAATGTGCCATAACTTTTGCACAGGCCAAAAAAACAGTAAAGTGTGCAGATGTGTGTTCTCTGTAGAGCATATGTTATATTCACTTACAAAATAAACAAAACCCAAACCTTTGTATATAAATGTGTCTTTGCACAAAGACAGTAAACAGATCAAACAGGCCTACTTTTTAATTTTTCAACAGCTATTCCTATTTAACAGTACATAAAAATACCACCTTAATTACACAGGCTATATATTTGACAGCACAGTTAACTAACACACACACATTTTCTAAGCCGCTCCTCCTTCTGGGTCACGGGGGTGCTGGAGCCTATTCCAGCGGTCATTGGGCGTAAAGCAAGAAACACCCTGGACAGGTCGCCAGTCCATCGCAAGGCAGACACACAGACATACGCATTCACATTCATATGCAGGGGCAATGTCTTTGGACTGTGGGAGGAACCTGGAGCACCTGGAGGAAACCCATGCAGACATGGGGAGAACTTAGAAAGGACCCTGGTATTGAACCCAGGCCTTTCTTGTTGTGAGGTCACAGCGACATTCATGAAAAAAATAAATGCAGTAAATTTCACTGTGTTGGACAAATTTTCCAGTTACTGCATCAACTATTCCAGTCTATGTTTAATTAATCATAAATAAATGCTTAATCAGGCAAAAATACCACCTTATTAACACAGACTGTACATTTGACCACACGTTTAACAAACTCACTTGTTTCATGGAAAATAAATGCAGTAAATTTTGCTATGTTTGAGAAAATGTGGAGTTTTCATTTGAATTCTGGTTCTACCTCTAAAAGATGTGAATGCAAAAGTCACAAAAGTCTTGCCCAAAAACACATTCAGGTGCTGAAAAAAGGATAAAGCTGGCTGATATGTACCGACTAGGGTTGAATTTTTATGGTTGACGTGTGTCAGCTTTCAAAATCACTATTTTCAATTAAAAAAGTGTTACAGATACATGTATAAAATGATCCTATTATGATGCTACTAAGCTACAGCTTCACAGGTATGAGCTGGTTTCTAGCTATAAAAATGAAGAAATGTTATATGTGTCCAAAATGATGAACAGAGCTGTAGATGATTCCAGAATGATTGAGAACGCAGTAGAATAGTGAGAATGACAAGGTGTCAAAAACATTGTTGTAAACAAATCATTACAGTATATTATTTATCGTTTTATGTCCTCTTGGTGCTCCCAAAAACCTTGAAATGTTTAATAAAATATATTAAAAATATCTTCTGATGTCTAGCTTACAGTGATCTGCAAAAGCTTGAACACTCCTAGTCAAATAACATTACAAACCTTTGCACATAACTGTATAGTACATAACTGTGTAGTATTTCATTCTACCCTGTATATTTATTATTGAATAAAATAAAAACACTTATGAATGTGACGGCTTTTAAATGATTTTAAATGTTACATACATTGTTGTGCAAAAAAAATGTTCTTTGCTGTAGTAAATAAAAACTGTAGCTGCGTTCCATTCCAGGGTCCCTAAGCAGTTCCGCTATATCCCCACACACCTGAGCACTGGATGTCAGTTAAGGGAACTGGAGCTGATAAATACCTTCATTTGGAACATCATAATGAAACGCACATCTTCAAGAGACAACGGCCTCCTGCGAAGTGATAAACTGTTGTTCACTACTCTCTGTGAGGTTTGAAGTTCCCTACCAGTGGAACTCCCTGTGGTTTGGAATCACCCTGAAAATGTCTGAACACCCTGTGCAGTACACTTTGCAGGGAACTACTAGGGCGACTGGACTGCACCTAGAGTATATATCCCATTTACTCTGCATAGTGGGACTTCAGGAATTCCAAAGCTTTGGAGTCTATTAAGATACACTGTGTTTGGATAATACATCCATTCAGCAAACAATGCATTGCTCCATGGATGTGCAATCTCCCATGGATAGCCCATCTGAACCCACCCACCAGCAGCTGCACCACTGCTCCAGTACTCTAGGAGGGAGCATTGTGCCATCCAGCTACAGGCTTCAGTCATACTGTGAACTCTCAGCTGCCTGCTCCTGTTGGCCTTGCGATGCTGTCTGAAATTTCCACGGCGAAAGTCGGCCACGTGGGCTGGATGGATGCCCCAGTAGTGACCTTTACCATCTTCACAGCGTCCCAACTTCACAAAGCAGTCGTTGAGAGACAGGTTGTGGCGGATGCTGTTTCTCCAGCCTTTGTGTGTGGTCTTGAAGTATGGGAAGTGCTCTTCAATGTACCTGTAGATGGAAGATAAATTGAGTTTTTTGCAGGCCGAAGAAAGGATGGCTTTGGCGATCAGACCAATGAAGGACAAGGAAGGCTTTGAGAAGACTTTTAATTGGTTTTCCTCAAATTCACTGTTGCTGTTCTGGGTTTGGTGCTGAGTGCTGGTGCTTTCTAAAGAAAGTTCTGCTGGAGAAACAGATTGTTCTTTATCACAGGGTAGATCCTTAGAAGGTCTTCTAATGATCTCCTTTTCTGTACCAACTATCTTCTTACCAGTCCATTCCTCAACTGAATCTATCAATTTGTCCATTCCTCCACTGTTATATATCTCTTTATGGTTCCTCATCCATCGAATGTGGCATAAAGTTCTGAGCATCCAGGAGCTTTTATACAGAGAAATCGCATGCTGTGTGCCATGCTGGATTCAGCTCTATTCATTCACATTTCCTCCAGTTCTCTTTTATACGTTGCCTGCCTAAAACAGTGTGAGCTCAAGCACAGTATGTCGTGTCAAACACAATCCCACTGACATAGTTATGAAACGCTGACACTGATAAGAGAATGTTTGTCAGGAATGCCTTATCAGTTTCTGTCTTGCAACAGACAGAAAACATTCTTGTTTAAATATCGAGTTTTTTTTGCTAAGGAAACAGACTCATTGAAACAGAAAACAGAAAAACTGATGAATTTTCACAGAGTTGAGATTTTTGTTGGGGCCTGTTGAGTGCTCTTCACAAAGCTGAGGGAAAACAACAGATTTTTATGTCACTTAAATGCAACTGAAAATGGAAGCTTCTATTAAAGGGGAATTCTGCTGACATGTTAAAATTCCTGCATAATTAGATTGTTGAGATGTAAACACAGTCATTCTGAGTGGTATGCAGAGAACTTACTGACTTTGATTTTCTTTACAGTGGTCATGATAGGAACCAGGGGTTGTAATGTCTACAACACAAATCTAGCCATTTTCTTTCTTTAAATATGTTTTAAACTAAATGCTCATATAAGAACTATCATAAACCAACGTCTCAGGCATCGGGCGGAATATCTGTAACAATTTCAGCTAATACATTTCTAGAATGTAGCCAGTGGTGGACAGTAACTAATTAAATGTAATTTGTTACTGTACTTCAGTAGTTTTTTGTGTATCTGCACTTTACTGAAGTATTTCCATTTTGGGTGACTTACTTTCACTCCACTACATTTCAAAGTGAAATATCTTACTGTTGGACATACTGACCCAGTGCAAGCATACATTTCAACGTCAGTGCAACAGGAGAAAATTTTGGGAGTGCCTATTCCTACATAAATGATGAACTAACCTAACTTTGTGTAAATAGACCACAATATAGAAATATGTACACATATGCAGTTGTGACTGTCTTTTTTCCAAATTTATTCAAACACTATTTCATGTTATAGCAACTTTGTTTTTGCTAGTTTATGTTTATGAACAGAGACCTACAGATGCAGTTTAGTAAAGGAAAACTCATTTGTGAATCTGAGTTTAAAGCAAGTTTTTACTAAACTTAAACTTGTAACTAAGTTGCAAATAAATCTTAAACTGAAACTTCACAAAAGGTTATTTCAGAGCCACTCGGTTCTACCTAATGGAAATTGTTTGCCTTCAGTGTTTTGTGTTCATGATAATTTTAATAGACATCAGTGACAGATTAATTAATGACATTCTATTAGAAGATTTTAATCTTTGAATCTTGAAGTTTTACCCAAAGTGACACTGGAATATTTTCACCTAAAATGAGTTAATGAAGCAAGAGTCTTGTTAAATGGTAATAGGACATTAGAGTCATAATTAATCTTTTAGTACTTTTACTTTCAATACTTGAGTACATTTGAAGGCAAATACTTTTGTACTTTTACTCAAGTGGAGGTCTAAAGGGAGGACTTCTACTTTTGCTGGAGTAATGTTTTACCTTTGGTATCTCTACTTTAACTCTAGAACATGAGTTGTGTATTCTGTCCACCACTGAATGTAGCTTTTAGAGGCACAAAATGTTTGGTTCCTTTCACCAGCAACTTGAACAGTTCTGGCTCGGTAAGCTTGTCTACAATGGAGCATTTCACATCAAAACCACTCCGAATGGTTATCTGTACCAAATTTTGAAAAATCGGTGGAATTCCCCTTTAACCATAGGTTCACTTCAGTGTCTGTGTCACTGTTAACGTTCTATGTGACGTGTTTGGAAGTTACATTTACAGCATTCCCCCTGAGCCTCAGCTGCATAGTTGAAGTCGTTTGGGGCTCTATTTATAGTGCTGACTTCTTGCTACAATGTCAAATGTAACTTGATTCGGTCTGCTAAGTCACAGCGTGTTACGTGTCAGCTGTTGGCCGCCCACCCAGGGGTTCTATCTCACTCTGTCTGATGGAGCCTGTGGTGGGAGAAGTGTGGAGCTCCAGCCGGGATGGCTCCAATCTTCTGGGCCTGCCAGGGCCTTGGCCCTGGGATGACGACGATGAGCCCCTGGGCCTTGGAGGCATCAAACCCAAATCCTCTCCCATCCCACGGCGCCGGAGCTCAGTGTCTTCCTGCTCCGATGACGACTCCCAGCCTCCGCCGTCCAGCAGCCGCAGGGTGTCTTTCGCAGATGCCTTTGGCCTGAGTCTGGTCTCCGTCAAGCAGTTTGATTCCTGGGCCACATGTGGCCCCCCAGCTCCTTTGGAGGGTGATCTGAATGAGGCAAAAGAGTACTTCCTGTCCCTGCTCTTCACTC